TCTGGACCTGTGATTCTGGAAGCCACTCATGGCCAAATGGTAAAACTCCTGCTTTTAACCCAAGCTATCCGGGTTCGAATCCACGCCGTTGCAAAGAGTTGCTTCTTGCACATTTTTCCAAATTTTATGCTGAAATTTTGAAAAACAATTAAGCTCTGGCTAGATGGCAACGCTTTTGTGCAAACAGCCCTGGTTCGACTCCCCCGGTACTGTAAAAGCTTTTGCTTTTTGAAAAATTGCAAACCACAAGTCTTTAGATACGCCTAAGCCTAAGCTGAACATGCCGAATGCGACTCCCGCCGCCGCACACGCTCTCTTTCTCTCTCACTCTCTCACTCTCTCTTTCTCTCTCGCTGTGATCTGTTAAGGTTTTCCAAGTCTATTTTTAATACAGTACGACACCCCCAGGTATGGGAGTGAGCACGAACCTTTATCATCCCCTTTTTACAAAGGCATGCTCACTTTCGGCTCCATTTCAACCTAGACAGGAGGCCACTTCGTGTTTTGCTTCGTGGCCCCCCTAATGTACCCGCCGATCGCATTACCGCCGTATTTTTTTGACAATTCGAGCAGGTGACCAAACAATGCAACCCTATTAGTGCACCGTTGCAGAAAAAAAACGTAAATGAAAAAGAAATCCGAGCACCTAGGCTTAGGCTTAGGCTTAAGATTTGGCTTTAACTTAGGATTTCGCTTGGCTTAGGCCTGGGCTTGGCTTAGGATTTGGCTTGGCTTAGGCCTAGGCTTAGGCTTAGGCTTAGGTTTAGGATTTGGCTTAGACGTAGGCTTCGGCTTAGGCTTAGGCCTGGGTTAGGCTTAACTCAGGCTTCATTTAGGCTTGGGCTTAGGCTCAAGTCTAGGCTTAGGCTAGGCCTAGGCTTAAGTTCAAGGCGTAGGCTTAGGGTTAGCGTAGCTTACGCTTCACCATCCAAGTTGCCTATTTTCAACCTTTCTCAAAGTTTACATCCAGTTAGTACACTGTGTCTGGGGGCCATAAAGACCCCCAAAACGTCTTCCGCCGTGTTTCTTTCCTCTTTCCCGCTACTCGAAAATGGGCGTAAAATAAAAACGACGAGGAGTGCCTTGCGTAATCCGGCCCGGATTATCCCGACCATCCCCCCCTCAGTGGCCTCCCTTTTTAATCTACCGTAACCCCCTCGAAATTGGCATTCATGGCGGTTGAAAGTTTTTCATCATTCTGACAATTTTTGGAAAATTCCTAAGTTTTTACAGTAGGCTTAGGAGCAAAAAATCCCCCCAAAACCTCGCGAACCCCACTTCCCACTACAATACTGTACGCCCACATTTTCCGTCCGGAGTACTCCCTCGGAAAATTTGTACCCAACATTTCCTGGGGGTCTGGCCAAGCCCTCACTACAAATTCCGATGAATGGGATTGAAGGAGGAAAAACTTGGAGCGACCAAACTACTCAAAAAAAACTGGAATTGTCTTTGGGGTACTGTACTTTACAAAATTAAGCCTGACATTTGTGCAGCACCGCAAAGGCTAACCTTTCGATTTTTGGCCTTCCGATTTTTACGGGTTGATTCCCCCTGGGAGTCGCTTATTTTGGCCGTCATCCTGCGGAGTGATGCGGAATTTCGCGTAATTTCTTGACTTGCACGTCATCCGATTACGCCGCGTTAATCGGGGTACGGTAGAAAAAGAGCTGAGGGCTTAAAACACGTCGTGAATTCGACTAGAAAAAAATTTGGCGAATTCGACTTTTTAGCTGTTTCCAGGGATCTGATTACGCGCTGTAAATCAGCCTATCGTGAAGCTACTTTTTACCTAACTATTTTTAACGAAGAATAATCCTTTTTGGCGTCCAGCCGCTTCGATTACGCCATGTTAATCAACTAAAACTTTTCAGAACTTTCCTAGAGCCTCAAGGCATCCGCTTACGCCTTGTAAATCAGGCTCCTGAAAAATGATTTTTTTGTTTAATTATTTAATTTTTCATTTAACTTTTTAAATTCTTTAACTCGATTTCAAATGCTTTAACTCCCAGCTCCTCCGATTACGCCATGTTAATCAGCTGCAAAAAGCTTGGTAAAACGCCTGAAAAACTAATCCCTTCTGGGGGCACTTTTTAAGAATCACCCCGGGTACCGTAGTACTAAATGGTACGCGGAATGTACCAACCCCCTAGATAACCCCGATGAAGTCCACCAGAACAACGTCGATCGCTCGGCGCCCATGCCATAATCCCGGCAATGCCGCCTGCCCGAGTTCACAGCGCCGTTTCCGAGACGTCTGGGCCCTTTTTTGGGCCCTTGCCGGCCATAGGGGGACCGCGCTGATTTTCGGTCCAACAAATTAGCCACCGCGACGCACAACGGGATGTAAATTCGGCGAAAAAGGGCCCTTTAATCAAACTGGACCGAAATCTCGAGCTTCCTCCTCTCTCCCCCTCCTCTTCAAATCCATACAAATCCCGGTGGGGTGTCTGTTGTACATGTGTGGAGTCAACGGATCAAAGTACCGGCAGGGGGGGGGGGCATCAGAACACAGGGCGGCAGAGAGAGAGAGAGAGAGAGAGAGAGAGAGAGAGAGAGGAGGGACCGAAAAAGGGCCCCAGACACTCACAAGACGCCCCGGGTAGGAAATCAGGGTTTCTGGAAGTTGGGCCCCCCACGCCTCGGGCGATAATTGGCCCCCCGGGGATGGAGATGAAAAGGGCAGACAAAGAAAACCTGTCGCCCCGGCCGGCCTATCAGTTGATAAGCTTTAAAAGGAAAGGTGAAACTAGGGGTTTTTATAAAATTTTATTAACTGATTGTATAAACTAGTAAATCTCTTAAATATAAGCTGTTAAACTCTTTAAAAAGGTCTTTACAGAAAATATAATAATAATCTTCTATTTAATCAACAACATAAAATTAAAATGGTGTAATCAAACAAGCGCGTTTCCGTTTATGATACTTTAAAGCTTTGCGGGGTTATGATAATCGTACTTATCTTGTATTTCTGGTATAAAAACCTATCCAAAAATCTCTTGAACCTTTCCGGTGCAAGGAAAATTAATTCCCGACTTATACCCCAAAAAGCAAAACGTTTCGCAACGCCAGGGAATCGAACCCGCGTCATCTGCCTGGAACATTACTACATTGCCAATTAGCCGAATTACACGCATTGTGTAAACTGGGGTGCAGTGTTGCGCCCAACTTTTCTATGCTTTTTTACAGGGACTAGAAAGCACCTGGAAACTATCGACTCACCAGATGTATAAAAATTAAAGTTTTATTGCTTAATTAGACTACTTATATCACGAAAATAACGTAGCTAAGGGTGTAGCCGCCATGATTTTCTTAATTTCTTTTATTACACCTTTTAAATGGGGTAGCAATCTCAAAAATACCCACAAACTTCAAGTCTAGCCCGCAAACTCCCCAATCATATTAAGTTCACCAAATCTCCCCGAATTCGTTCGAGAACTCGCTGAGTTTTGGTCACGCCGTGCACGTTTTCGTAATCCAGACACAAAAACGGAGGGCCTGAACAAATCCGGGGCAGAGCAAGTGCGCGTCTGTCTTGTCTCTGTGCTTTTCTCTCGGAATTGTCAAAAGTACTTTGGCGGGGTAGTAAGCATCCACAGCAGCCGGACATTTCCCGGAAACCCGGTAACGAGTGTCCTGTCTAGAGGGCGATACACATTACTAGAAATTACTTAAAATCCGAGACTGACCGCGATTCCGGTGATCACGATCAACGAATCTTTCGTGATATTCTTTGGACAAAGTGAGCGTAATTGGGCGGCCAAGGGCAACCAGAGGGCATCGCGCAAAAGCCGTTTTAGCAAATTAGGTTCCGGCTGTAGAAGCTGGTTCCTTTCCCGACGAGACAGTCATCGCAATTCCACGAAATTCATCAGGCGACTAGACGAATTATCCACGGTGTAATGATCGGAAAAGCCGGTCCGTCTAGAAAAACTACAAGTCTATGCGAAAATCAGCAAGAAAGGCACCTAAAAAAAGTTGCAAAAACGTTTAAAGTCTTTTATTAAATTCTTTACTTATTTAGGGCATGTCAGCAGAGCTTCTTTAGGAAAAAAACTCCTCTCTTTTTCTTCAGTGTTCCTTTAAACCTTCCCTACTATTCTTTCAGTTCCTTCCACTCACATCCCCGTCATAAATCTCGCGGGGTAACACTTTTCGACGGGCCAGACGTCGGGCCCCAGCCAGCCGACCCATGATGCTAAAATGGTCCTGGTTTTAGCACGCCCGTCTTTGGTGAGCTGGCCGAGCGTGTGTGTTGACGCCTCCGGGAATTACCGTAGAAACCGGCCGTTGGCGGTGATGGGTAGAAGCTGGCAGACGACGGGGATGCCCCGGGCGACACGCGCACCGTCGGCTTCCGCGGCCCAGGCGATCCCGCAAAATCTGAAAGGGGTCAGAAAGTAAAACCGCCAAAACTCTGCGATGCGTTTAGATCTGGTTTGAGTCTTGTTTCATTATTCATACATTCATTTCAGAAACATTTAAAGAGCAAACATTTTTTTGAACAACCAATGAGAAGGGGAAATCAGGATCCATGAAATTTTTCGCTACAACCCGAAGAAATTGGGGGGAAAGGGACCGTTTTCAGAATGGAAAAGGGTATTATGGCTTCACACAACGGCATCACAGACAATTTTGAAATCGAAGCACACCCATTTTGGCCGAGGAAGGGAAGTGAAATTTGGGTCGGGAGAAGAAGGCATATGCTGGATTTGAGGGATCGGAAATCAGAGGCCGATTAAGAAGACCTAGTGTCTGCACATCATCTGGAGGGCGGCGGAGTAAAATGGAGTACGTCTTGTGGATATCGGGAAAGAAAGCAAACTTTTTTCTAAATCGTGCATGCAAGCACTAAAATCGACGCCTAAAATGGTGAAAACGGCGGTGACATCACAGCTGATAGATATCATTGGTGCAAACGTGGTGACGAGCTGCACGCGTGGAAATTGCGGGGGATAATTCTAATTGGGGAAGATCGGCGAGCAGGACGGTCTGGCTCAAACGGCAACATCTCCGACGGGGGCACTTTTCGCGGCTGGTTCTTGGGGTTTTCGCGACTCCAGCTCCCGTTCGATCGTCGTTCGCAGTTGTCGACACTGTTTGTCCGTCCAGCCATGTCGCCTTGTTAGTTCCTTCGCCAATCGCGCCGGATTATCCGCCTATAAAATGGATGTTTTATAAATATAATAAAGTATATAAATAGTTATATATAAACATTTACAAAATGAGCCTAGAATCTGCGTATTTTATTGTTTTCACGAAGAAATCGGGCAAAGACGATTTCGCGCAAAAATGGCGGTTTTAATTGGCAGTTGCGTGCCTCTTTAAATTTTTAGAGCAAAATCCCAAAAAAAAACGAACCGTTGTAACCGGCACCTCGATCTTGAATGTGTTTCCACTCTTCAGCGAGAGATGGAAAAGGACCTCGGCCACGGCATCAACTGACGCATCGGATTTCTGGGTAGATCCTGATGTAGATGGACTAGCGGGCAGCTCGGGCATGTCGGAGAGCCGCTCCTTGTACCGGGCACGCGTCTTTTCGCGGAACTTTTCCGCCTCGGCCGATTCGACCACGCTTGGGGAGCCGTTCTGTGGCTAAAAAAAATGAAATTGAGAAAAAAATATCGATGTCTTACCTTAGCGGCCAGTTCTGTTTTTTCATTCGGCGTGGTCGCCGGTTCAGTTTTGGTATCAGTTTTGACACGCAGATGAGGCGGGACGTAGAGGGCAGTCTCTGTAGCCGATTTCGACTTCCTGGCGGCTTCTAAACCATTTCAACAAATCGCATTTGCAATTTACGAATAGAATAATACCTTTCTTCGGGTCGATCAGATCCCGCATCAATTGGCGCTTCTCCTCCATGTGCTTGTGATACTCATCCCTAAAACTGAATTGTAAAGGCGGAAGAAGTGAAATTCCTACCGATCAATTTGGTTCTTGACAATGGACTTTATAAATCCGTGTTTCATGTTCAGCCGCGGTCCGTTTTCCGATTCCATCCTGAAAAGAGTGGAGTTATAAGAAAAAAATTGGGCAAAAAAAAGTAAGGGGAAATTCAGTTAAAAAAATAACAAATATTAAAGACTACCAGAACGATGGAACGCGCACTGTCACCCCGAGGGTGCTGCCCCCAAGAACGCGTAGAGAGATGCGTCATTAGTGGTGCCCCGTACTGGCCAAAGGCCCTCTGGGATTTGGGGCGTCTCTGACTCCCTTCCCCACTTGGCCCTGTGGTGTAGTGGCTAGCGCGCGTCCGACTGTGGAGCGAACCATCGCGGGTTCGACTCCCGCCCGGTGCGCAACTTTCTTGCGCTCAACGGAATTTCATCGTTCTGACGGTCTTTAAAATTTATTTTGTTCGTCGAAAACACCGAATCGTAGTTTGTAGTGTCTCTGCGTCTATCGCCTTTTCTCGGCCTTTGGCCTGGCCATAGACAAGATAAAATTGAATATTTCTATTTATTATTAATTTTATTTTAATTAAAATTAAAGCTAGTCTAATTGCTACCAGCTGGCTGGCCAACCCGTTAGAACACGGGTTACGATGGGATACAACGAACGTTTGGTGCATATAACCGCCTATTGGAGCGTGTCGGCCGGGGCACGCCGGAAAGAGAGAGGACACAGAAAGCCCACAACATTTGAATTCCGAACAGCTGTTTCGTGAAAAACTTTAAAAATATACTATTAATGTGCGGATTATCGTGAAACCTCTGTCCAAACAACAACCCGGCACTCAAACGCCTTTTATCGACCCCTTACCTTTCCAATTCATGCTCATTGGTGCTACATTCTTCGCTGCTTTGATAAATTAATATCTTATCAATTCCAATTGCTCGGGATTGACGCTTATCCTGATTTTTTAAATCAGAATTTGATTTGCTATGTATTCCTTCCAATTTCCTCCCTATTCGATCTACTAACCGGCAAAACCAGCTTTCAGTACTGGGCTCGCATCGAAGGTAAGTCTATCTGGGACCCGCTAACGGCACCGTGTAACAATGGATTCTGGACTGGACCTACGGACGCCGACTCCAAACTCGCAGAAGGGAGGAAGAAGGTAAAATCATTTGTAATTTCAGTTTTGTTGAATTTAGCGCAGTAAAATTTACGAAAAATGGACCGTTGCGTAAGGAGCCCTTCTAACTGATTTCTTTGCAGACACACATGCAGCGATAAATTCAACGATCTCATGCTCAACATAAGATGCACATTCGAACGGTTGAACGAGCTGTGGGACGAGGTGGATATGCCCGACGACATGCGCATGACGCGCTCGTCCACGGCTTTCAAGCACACCAACGAACTCTTCGAGGATATTGTGGGTTTTTAGTTGGATTGTAAAAACAATAGGTACATGCTGGTTTTCCTCGAACATTTGAGGATGAACAGAGTCCAGAAAAAGTACAAAAATGAAAAAATAGCGGAGCACGGAATAAACCTCCGTTTAGATCGAATCAGAGCGAGCAATGGTTGCCGGCGTGAGACAAGGGATCGACGACGGGCAGGTCGAGATCGAAAAACTGCGCGCAAAACTGGAAATGGACGACTGGACGCCGCCCTCACAAACAGCTCGTCATGGCATACGAATGGTATGGGGAATTTGCCCCCTTGATTTTATTCCTTTTAGCTAAAAGCCGTCCGGGCGGAAGTGCAAACGCTCAAAGAAGCTGTCGAGGAGCGCGTTCGAGAGCAAGAAGCCACAGTTGAGGTGAGTCTTGTTTCGTCCACGATGGTCTTTGTTTAGCGTGTCAAGCTCCTCTGCAGTCGGCTGGGTGAGGAGTCGGAGATTCTCGATTCCGGCGAGGAAGTGCTGTCGAAGGCCGGATTTGCCTCTTTGAAGGAAAAATGTGCGGAAATGGAAAACCTCGTCGAAGAGCGGCTGTCTCGTCTCCGCCAAGCACAACGTGAGGCCCGGGATGCCGTCAAGAAAATGGGTAGATTTTCGCTAGATAGTATGTATCGAAATCTTAGGCCGGAAGAAATGCGACTGCCCGGAGCCCATCCAAAATCTACTCGGACTCGACCTCGACGACGAGGATCTCGAACTGGGCAGAAATCTGGTGGCTCGGACGACGGAGGCCGCGGAGCAGGTAGAAGTTGTGATTTAACAGTTTTGGAAGCTGTTCTAAAATGATTGCCTCAAAAAAAAAACGATTTTTTTCAGTTGCTGGCGGAGTTGAAGGAGCACCTCGAGAACATGGAATTCCTCTACACCGAAAAGCGAATCGCGCTACGTGATCTCTGGGAGAAGTGCCATGTGCCGATCTCGGACTGGACTATGGGCGAAGAATTCTCAGCTGGTAACGCTAATATCTCTTTTCTCAACTTAAATTTTATTCTTAGATCTGCACGACACCGCCACGCTCGCAATAATGGATGAAAGAATTGCGCATCTCACAGAACTCTACGAACGCCGAAAAACGGTTCGTAGACTAGTTAAAAATGGGATTTCTTTTTTTGTAGGTGCTCGATAAACTGACAGCCTGGTCAGAGCTTTGGGAAGAGAAGTTATCGCACGAGGAATGGGAAAAAGACCCGGCCCGGTTCAATAACCGAGGAGGTCAACTCGAGAAGCGCCTAAAACGTGCAAAAACCGTTGAGAAGCAATTGTTGCCCCATGCACAGCGGGAAGTCGCCAACGCTTTCGCCATCTACCAGGAAGAGAACCCGGAGGATGACTTGAAGGTTCGTTAAAATGGTGTTTTTGTTTGGCAAAGGATTACAAAACATCCATTGAAAATTTAATTTACTATAATGTAAAAATTTTTACAAATTTTCGAATTTTTTTTACCGTGAATTCCTGTTTTCGAATTCTGATCAAAAATTGCCTTTAGGTCGACGACCTCGAGCCGGTGGAATGGCTGAAGCGCAAAGTCCGAATTCACACTGAAAACAAGGAATTCGAGGCGCAGATGAAGAGAACACCTTCGAGGGCCGGAATGACGCCTGCTATGTCCCTCCGCAATTTGCACATGCCCGACATCAGCGTCATCGGACCTTGCAGGACTGCCTCGGTATGCTTTCGCATTATTGTACACTTTTCGTCCATTTTTCAAATATGAATGATGTAAACGTACAAAATATACTTTGCCCAAAAATACTCAATTTTCGATCAAAATTTCAAACGTTAAAAACCGGCCTTTTATCCCTCGAAACGCATTTTTTTCAGCCAGGCCCGAAGACTTCATCACCAAAAAGCGCGTACAAACGGCCAGTTCCATCCTACTGTTCATCTCCCTGCCCATCCCCTGCGAAACGTGCCACCCCGCTCCGCCAGCGGAATTGGAAGCCATGATTTTTCGCAAAGTTTACTCGTTAATTTGTTCCATATCTTTTGCTGACCCCGTGCTAACATTGCCTTGTTCTCCTCCCCCACTGCCCACAATAATTTTAGTGATGACGTGTACATTCGTTTGCGCTTTCATTCCCACTCAATCCATGATCCCATACGTTCCGAAATCTCCGCTCATAATTATTCGGATCTCTCCGTAAAAACGCTTGCCGTGACTGATGATAATCTGAACAAATCACTCATTGACTCGAAATGTTTGATGTAATTAACTTGATAAATACTTGTCAAGTACCCGCGAAATGCATTATATGGCGGTGGAGTCCAGCTTTTTACCTTACAATGATTGGGAAGCCAGTTTATTAAATTGGGACCTACACGAAAATTTTCCCTTATCTCTGCTCTATAGAAAACAGTTACTGGACTTCTTTCAGGTAATCTACCTACGGTGCCATCATGAGCGACGATTTTGAGCATTTTTACACAGATGTAAGCCTTGTTTCACCGTTTTCTACAAAAACCCCTTTTTAGCTCAAAGAAACCGAGAAAAATGACTCTGTTCTCACGCCAGGGCAGCAAATCGAGCGTCTGCTGCGGCCGGGAAGCACCTATCTGAATCTGAATCCCTTTGAGGTTTGCTTTTCTATTTTTTCTATCGACGTATCTTTCTAGGTTCTACAAATCGATCCAGATGAGGATGTGGAATTGGCGAAGAAGAAGTTCAAGCGCCTCTCTTTGCTTATCCATCCTGACAAAAACCCGGATGACCGGGAGCGTGCTGACAAGGCTTTCGATAGTACGTTTTTTGCCTTTTGTGGATAATGATTATTTAGTCATCAAAAAGGCGTTGGCCCAGCTCGAAAACCCGGATGAATTGAAGAAGTGCCGAGAAATGTACACCGAAGCGCGAGCCCGACTAGCCATCATTGTAGGCCGTCCACTTGCGTGATCTTAAAATATTCTTTTAGATGGGAGAAAAGCGTCGCAAGGCCAAGCGGGATGGCAAAGACGCGACTACGATTGAAGAAGACGATCCGGCCGTGTATCGGTTAGTGACCAGAAAAGTGTTTTTATGTTTTTTTTAGAAAGGCATTGTGGGTCGTCGTCACGCGTTGTTTCGCCGATCGAGAAAAGAAACGTCGTGTTTTGGAGGAGAGAGCTAATGAGGAGAAGTGAGTTGCTTCCAGGATTTGTGGTTTCAGTCTTTTTTTTATCAAAATGGCTTTTATCTATTTTCTTAGGAAACGCTGTGCCGAGCAAGCCCAAGAAGCTGCTGAAAAGCGAAAACTGGCAGAAGAGTTTGCGAAAAACTACGAGGTGATTCCCGCTAACTAAAATTTAATTCGAAAATTCAGGAGTCTCGTGACGATCGTCGAGGCAGCTGGCGCGACTTTGTTGTGAAGAAGGCAAAGAAGGAAAGCAAAGGCAAATCCCTGCGCGGCGACTCCTTCAAGCCACCGCGGACGAAAATCACCAAATGATGCGCCTCATATCATCGCTACTGATCTGATAAATTCCGAACCCCCTTCCGTTCTTTGGATCACGATCTGGTCATTTGTATAAAGAATTGGTTCAAATGTTCTCTGGCAAGATTGCAGGTCATTACAGTTCACGCCTAAAGCAGCAGCTTATCTATAGTAATACATATTGTGTTTCCAGATGATCAGTGCGCTTCAATTCGTCACCTCCATGCGTCTTTTCTCCATTGGATGGAGCCGGCTTCCACAAACTGGGCAGGGCCCAGCCGAGCGCACCCCAATTACAGCACTGGGCGGCCACCGTGTCTGCGCTCTGCCCCACGGGATTTTCCTTGCCTCGCACATTCACTGGCGCTTTGTGGATGGCTGGCCAAGGGTCGGTCGTCCAATAACCCGGGGAGTTTAAGCTTAATCGGCTTCTGAGAGTCACTTATGATTATCGACTGTGATACTGGATTCGACAATTCAAGCGACTTACTATCTGGATTCCGACCACTTTTAAGGCGCTATAACTATTTCCATTCTGGCCTTTGAGCTGCCGATTTACGCTGTTAAACGCTGTTTTAAACCTTATGCTGCTAGATTTTTATTTAGCTTTTTAGTTTAGCAGCTGTAATTATGGATAGACTACCCCAAACAGGCTAGGTTTTTGTGAATGACACATAAGTACAGTCATTTCCTGTTTTTAGCAAGCGCGGGGTCATTTTATTGGGGTTTAGAACTTCTAAGAAAAGTGCGCCACAGTTTTTCTTAGTAATTAGATTACCTGAAATTTATCATGCTTGGGAGAAGTCAGCAGAGACAAATTACCGAGCGTTCTTTATTTTTTTTTATGAGCCAGACATTTCAGCAATTGCGTTAGATATAGATTTGGGAGGTACAGTACACTCGTACAGTTCTAATATTCTATTCCACGACCATGACTGCTTCAAATTGTACCCCGGCACTTCCCCCTGCCCCCCCAAATCACCTAGGGGTACCGAGCGATGAGCATGCGGACAGTGATCGGGGGCATTGATTGTTGCGCGTGTGTGCGACAGCAGACTGTGGGATGGGCTGGTGTGGTATCGGGATCGGCCGGTGTGTATGGAGTAGTGCATACGGCACGTGTCCCGTCTCTCTTTTTGCCAGACACAACTCATGACTCTCATTGCCCATTGCCCCACACACATACAAACACACGCACAACGCTTCGCCCCCCCTTTCGGGTCCCCTTTTGAAACACCCATTTCCGCCCTCCGGGACGCGGCCCATCGTTTGACACCTCGGTCCCGCTGGCGGCGTTCAGCCTTTTTACCGGGTCAATGCGAAAAGGTTTAAATAAGTTAAAGGTTGCTGAAAAATTAGCTAAACGAAAAATTTGCGGCTTTTGCGGGAAATTAAAGGAGCTGGAAAGCTGAACCATTACGCGATTCCGTCCAGAGTACACTAACGTAGCCGGGTTTTTTTCTGCGTATCAGAAGTTTTTTAAAGGGCCGATTCCTCTTTTTCTTTCTTTGTAAGTATCTGACCTAGAATTGGCCTATTTCAACAAACACCATTTCGTAATTTTGCTTTTTACTTTGCTTTAAACAATTTTAAAAATTTGCCTTAAAAAACTATTTAAACAATTACTTTATCTCGGAATCCCGTTTTCCATTCTCAAATTCTCTTGAATGCCACCTTCTCCTATAATGCCTTATTTTCAGGAAGGATTTGTAAACCATAATCTGCGAAACTGGAGCCTTTATTGTAAATAACCTATATAAAAGTGAGTTTTCTACACCTTTTAGTAAACATTCTTTTTTTTTTAGCCGCGCCCGCGATGGCGTCCAATTCTGAAGAAAAGGAAGTTACCAAAACTGCCCAATCTGAGGATAGTGACACCGACGACGCGGAAGAAGTATAAGCTTTGGGATTTTGCTTTAAATAACTTGTTTTAGGTGTTAGAAGAATCTCCAGATAAACGATGGTCAAAACGTAGGGAACAGGTATGGATTAACGTGTTTTTATAAAGATTTCTCCTAGGTTAAACAACGGGATGTACCAGGCATTGACTCGGCCTATCTGGCCATGGACAACGATACGGGAAACGAGGTTTCACTAATTTTTTTAGTAATAACCTTTCTTAGGTGGTTTGGAACGAGGTACTTTTCTCGGAGCGGAAAAATTTTCGGGAGCAAGAGGTGAGCTACATGTTTTTAATTGGATCGAATTGCTTTAGGCAAAAATCAACGCTACCTTTGACAACCTGACGCAACTAGCACACCCAAACCTCGTCAAATTCCACACGTATTGGACGGATTCGAAGAGCGAGAAGCCGAGGGTGAGTGTTTTCCCTTTTTGCGTTTTTTTCGTAGCCGCCAACCAACCTAGCTGACCTAATGCCCAAATTTTAGATTGTATTCATCACCGAATTTATGTCCTCCGGAGCGATGGCACTATTTCTGCAGCGGACACGAAAATCTGGCTCCCCGCTCAGTATTAAGGTATATTTTCGACGATAATCAACGATGATTCCCCGATTTAGGCCTGGAAGAAGTGGACAACACAGATCTTATCGGCTCTCAACTACCTGCATACCTCATCACCACCGATTATGCACGGAAATTTGACCTGCCACACCATCTTCATCCAACAAAATGGTCTCATCAAGATCGGATGTGGTTAGTTTATGGCCTTTCATAGCATCTATCGCTAATTGCTGCGCAGCGTATTTTTTGGCACAAACCTTTACTCTGCTGCTTGATTTTTGCGACGAAACAAGCGCAATTCTGAAGGGATTCGCCTCTATGAATAATCCTGGTCACCGCAATGCCTCGGACATTTTTTAAGGCGTTTTGCAAAAATGGTTCTTTAGGATTCGCTGGAGGGGAAACCATTTTTTTTCCTGGCGATCCCGGTTCGCCTAGTAATCAAATATAGTGTTTTAGTAGTTTTCAACTATATTCAAGATAGAAAAACTTTCAAAAACTTTAGAAATTTTTTGAAGTCGACAATTTGGTCACACTGGGTCAAAAAAAGCGATTTTTTAAATCAAATTTTTTAAACTAAAATTTGTTTGGTTTTTATGATTAGGAATAGTTAAAAACAATTTAGAAACGCATCCGCGATTTCTAAAAAAACTTTGCCCCCCCCCCCACGAATCCTAAAGTACCGCAAAAATTGCTTTCCATTCTTGGGTTTTTATCTATCATTTCCGCCGCTTCACATCAAAATCCCGCGATTTAGGCAACTTTTTGAGAGGCGGCCAGCCGTTTGCTGGTGGGCATTTGTGTCATTAATTTCCGTTACCCTCAACCCGGAATTTTCCTTCGCCAGGCCCTCCTCCTCCTCACGTTTTCCCACTGGCCCTTCTACGCTATTTGTTGCCTTCGTTCGCGCTCGCCCGGAAGCTCAAGCCAAGAAAAAGCAATTTCTATTGCCGCGCGGTTTCCATTTGGTTTCGACTTCTTGCCACTAACGAACGGGAAATATCGGAACATATTTGGCGACCAAAAAAATTCTCTCCATTCTCATCAACACTGGCTAAATTTGCGTTCGCCTTTTCAGCTAGCATCATGAGCCAATCAAGTGGGTTTGCAACGTCGTGTCGTGTATCGTGGAAATTAAACCAGAAAAAGTGACAAAATTGTTCCGAAAAAAAAACATGGTCCTGTCATACGCACACGAGCTGTTTCGCTTCTCTCGGCTTTCCGCACCGACTCGGTTACAACAGCTTCTCTTTTTTTTTGGGGTGTAGGGGTCGTGCAGGTTGTGTTTTTCAGGAAAAAAAAGCGTTATTTTAGTAGAAAAAGGGTCACTTAAAAATCGGTTTTTTACGATTCGGGGAGGGGGACCAATTTTTTTCTTCTAGCGGTCCCGTGGCCTAGTAATCAACTATCAAGTGTATTACATTGTTTTTAGTAAGTTTTAACTATATTTAAAGTCGAAAATGGGGTCATTTTAGGTCGAAAAAGTCGATTTTTCGTGAATTTGCTAACCAAAATTTGTATGGTGTTTATGCTCGGGAATAGCTAAAAACAATTTAGAAGCGCATCCGCTATTTATAAAAAAATTTGGGTTTGCGGCGAAAAAAGTTGGTCCTCCCGCGAATCCTAAAGAACAAAAAAATCTTTAAGGAGCCATGGTCATCGCCCATCCTTTTAATCATCTAAAATGAAATTTACCTTTCCCGAACTCGCTTTCCCTTAGCTACAAAACATTTCCCCCCGACCAGTCCACCTGCACGACCCCCGTTTTTCGATTCTCATTTCGCTGGGAAATTTGTGTTGCTTACGGGTTAATGCTTAAAAAGTAGACGTACATGGTCCCTCGGCTTTAGTTGCCCCCGATGCCATCCATCTCCACGTGAAGACGTGTCGACAAGACCATCTGCGAAACGTCCACTATCTAGCGCCGGAATTTGAGTGTAAGCTTTGGGTTGCATTCGTTTAGTTTTGTGATTTAGCGTTGAAGGACATGACGCCCGCCTCGGACATCTACTCTTTTGGGATTTGTGCCCTAGAGGTTGGTTAGCCTCTTCGTGAAAGAATTATTCCTTTTCCAGATTGCTGCCGCTGGGGGGTTGATTTCTTCGAATGGGGCCACGGATGGGATGGTGTCGGAGGAGTGTATACGAAAGGCCCTCAATTCTTTGGAAGATCCCCTCCAAAAGGTGGTTTTTTTTCGCCGTTTTCGTATACCATTCGATGAAAGAAAAAATTCCGAATTTCCGCTAATACAGGGTGTCCCAAAAAATTGACCCCTCTATCGGTTCGGAGAAAAGTCGGATCGAGTGTTTCTTACACCATTCAAAAGCCCCTGTAACGGAGAGTTTGCAACAATCCTCAAAACCAGTTTTTATTTAAGCCCGCGTCTTTACAACGGATTAAAAAAAAAAAATAAGAAACGGCCTCTGCATCTTATTAACGGCAAATTCCTGTCATTTTGCTGGCAGAAATTGAGGCAAATTAGCTCGTACGCAGCCCCGAAAAAAAACGCAAAATTTACACAATGGCTTGTAAATGGTGGGTTTAACTAATATGGTTTTGAAAATCGTTGCAAACTCGCCGTTTCAAGGGCTTTCGAATGGTGAAACTTTCATTCCGATACGATACTTCTGCGTCGAGTTAGAGGGGGGTGTTTTTTTATTAGGACACCCTGTACGATAAAGATATTAGACTAAAAAATGTGTAGAAATCGTTCGAATCAACTTCCCCATTTAGCAATTCATCGCCTGCTGTCTCGACCCCGACCCCAAGAAGCGACCAACCGCCCGGAAGTTGTTATTTCACCCGGTCCTCTACGAGGTAAGAATTCCGCTATCTTCCTGAAAACCCACTCTCTAGGTGCATCCGCTGAAGCTGCTTGCTGCGCACGTGATCGTCAACAACCGCATGTACGAGGATGCGAGCGTGGAAATGTTCCGCGTACCGAACCCGCAAACCGTAAGGCTACACCGGCCGGGCGGTTCATGCCACCGCTTATTGTTAGGTGGCCGCCTCGTGCAGCGACCGGGTAATGTCCTACGTGCAACTGCCGCACTTCCAATTCGACCTCGACAAGTTCCTGGAGGACGTGCGGAACGGCATCTACCCCCTCACCGCCTATCTGCCCGTCGACGACTCGTCGAAGTTGGCGTGTAAAGTGGTCCAAAGCAAGGTTTGTCGTTGCAGTTTGAAAAAGCGTTGCCGATTTCTGGGAGTTTGGTTCATTTGTGCTCAAATTTATTTGGCTGACAATGAGACTTTTTTAGTGAGAAGATAGTTTCCGTACGGGACCATGCCTAACTGTGCAGAATTTTTTGATGATTCCGAGCCCGTTTTTGCCGGAATTGGGCCATTTGAGCGTTTTTGGCGCTGAAAACGATAACTTTTTGAATATGATCGTTTCGCAGGTTTTGGAAACATTTTCGGAATCAGCTCAAAATTCTGCACAAAATAGGCTATAAACACAAATTGTCACTAAAAAACGTCTTTTTGTAAGTTCGTTTTTGCGTTTTTGCTCAAGACAATTTCACCGGAGAGCGGGATCTGTCTTACTCAAATTTTCCCGAGGAATTTGAAAAAGCAATTTCAAATTCCAGGCTGAGAATCGATTGCTGAAAAAAACACCGAAAGCATGATCACCTAAATTAAAAAATGTTGTGGAAAATGAACAGATCCTCACTTCTAGGAGCCGACCCCAGAACCTACCGAGAACCACAAGGAAAGTCGACACCAAGACGAACCCCCGCGGATAAGCAAGCAGCCAGAGGTTCGAATTTTTCGGTCCGATCAAACCGATGGCTCTAGGTGAAAGGCTCGGAGTCGGCGTCAACGTCGATGCCGGCGACAAGCCAAGAAAAGCACGACTCTGAGAAGCTGAGCGACTCGGACAAGGAGGCGTCTGACGAGGGCGAAGATAACCCCGAGTGGACTCCGCATGAGACGCGTTCGATTGTGCAAATGAAGGTTTGTTTGTTTCATTCGCTTCGATAAATATAACTTGGCAAATCGTGTTTCGAACGTGCTTTTTAGAAAACCATAATTTGAAAAAATTTGTATTCTGTTAGTTAAAAGGAAAAGTTCCAACTTTTTTCGATCGAAGCCTAAATTTTTTATAAATAGCGGATTAAATACATGTTTTTAACTATTCCTAGGCATAAAAACCTTACAAGTTTTAGTTAGAATTTAATTTTAGGTAAAAAAATATTTGCGATCGACTATTTCAAACATTTTTCTAACTTCTTTTGAAAGCTTTTCTACTTTAAATATAGCTAAAAACGTACTCAATACAATTTAAAAACACTATATTGGGAAAAATGCCCCCCCAGAAATCCCCCGCCCCCTAAAGGGAGAAGCTCCCTAAAAAGCCGAAAACTCAACTACACGCCACTTACCCGAGGACATCTTTTGCGACCAACAACCACCCTAATTCCCCCAAAAGTGCCGGTCTCATTTGATTCCATCCCCCCAATCCACTGCACCGTATTTACTTTTTCTCGACCCGTGGGGAGTTCCGTGTTGATCGTGGAGACGATTTCGATGCCCCTCCGTCCGTTCCTTTCCGTTTTCAATTCCCCTGGCCATGTCCCACAGGTTCTCCTCCCTGCTCTCCCTCCCTTAGGGCCCCACTGGCCCCGGGCCGCGCGTTGTGCTGGGGGGTGATCGTCTAATCGTTAAACAATGAGCCGACTTGCGGGTCCGATCCCCCATTCCCCATCCCTTGCGCATACACCCTCGAGGGGCCTAAAGCCCCACCAACCACCCCACATTCCCACCTCAGGGGGGGGGGAGGGCCCTGTACTCTTGAGATCGGTCTCGACGACGCGATAGATGGGATCAGGAAAAGAAGGCCCTTCCACACATACCCAAAGCAACATTTTGAGCATGGCTCAAAGAGCGCGGCGAAAATTGAGATCCATTAGGGCTTGAAAATGGCAAAATTCGGTGTTGGACGGCTATAACCCGTGCATTTTTTCAGGCGACACTCATCGGCGTCGAGCTGTCAATACTGTTAAAACTCGAGGACGGCATGAATCGACATCTGATCGGCGATATCGAGCCGGGCATCACTGCCGACGTGCTCGTCGAAGAGTTGATTAGTGGAGCGTTCATCTCCGAGGTGAGCTTGGCATTTTTTTATTCAAAAAAAATAGGGGCCTTTTATCGGATTGTCAGATTGTTAAATTTGACAATTTAGAATTTTTTGGCCATTTTTGATCAAAGTCAAAGATATCCGAAAATTTTTCGTATTTTTTGTATGGTTTTTATATCTAAAAACTATGTAAAATGCTATAAAAATTGTTTGTGTTTTGTTATCGGGCCGTCAAGAATCACAGGGCAAAATTGTTGCCCCCCCGCTAACAGTCCAGAACCGGCCATGACACAAATGTTTTCTTTGCAGACGGACGAGGGCCGCGTGCGGCACATGCTCGACTCTGTGCTCCATCCACCGCCACCCGACGACTCGTCCTCCGTGCCCACCATCCCCCTAGAATCATAGCCCCCCTAGCCGTTTTAGCAGCAGGGGACCCCTCCTAGGCGCAGAGTCCCGATCACCTCCCCCTTCTTCTTCTTTTCCGATACCGTCTTCTTCTTCCCCATGGCCATACAGTGTCCAAACAGAGAGTGCCTGTCCGTACGTGGGCCACCACCGGGGCGGAGACACAGTCTGTTCCCCCCGCCGGAGGGCACACTCGAGAGGCCCAGCAGGAGACCCACCCGCCCTTCCGCGCCCCACGCCTATCACCCACCCACACAAATTCCGCCCAAAGCCACGCTATCCGTTTTTGTATTAACTACCCGTGCTGCTGCTCGTGCCATCGTTTAACATGCGGCGAGGCTCGGCGGTGCTGGGCACGTTCGCCCTCGGCGTACTGCTCCACCAGGCTGCCGTCGTGGTGGCGCAGCACGGCACGGTCGGGCGACCCTGCGAGGTGTCGACCGACTGCGGCACCGGCAACTATTGTGCGGGGAATAAGCGGTGCGCGTGTCTCACCACGTACGTCGAGATTGACTCGTACTGTTGGCGCAGTGGGTTTTTTTTTGCTAAATTTTTATCGGGGTAATTTTTGGCGGAAAAATTGGCTAAAAGGGGGAATTAGTAGAATTTGAGGTGTAGGATGTGTTTAGAGGAGTTGCGCGTATAAATCCGAAATCGGGATTTTCGGAAAATGGGGAAAACCTGAATTCTAGAATTTTTTCTAGAAAAAACAGAAAATTTCTAAAAAAATTTCTTTCTTTTTTAATTTTTCTTCACATTCTAATTAGCATATGATACGCAGCTAGGCTTTTTGCGTAGCCGAAAGCGCTTTTTCCGCCTCCCTATCCCACCTACACATCCAATTTTATTAATTCCCCTAAAAACAGACATACAAACACGCTGAAGAAGTCGGTATCGGACGCCCAAATTGTTGCTCTGCGCCTAGGGCACCCTTTTTAGAAATTCTCCCCTTTTTATTGTTATTTTCCGGCACCACTCCCCCCATCGCAGCCCATATCACGTATGCCCGGTGTGAATACTTGTTCTCTCTCTGTCTCCCAGCTCTCTCTACCCTAATCCACGTACCCTATAATACGACCCAATTCTTTCCGTGTGCTGCTGCTCCGCGTACCCTAACCACCCGAAATCCCAGACAAAAATAGCCCGCAGGCTCCGTACCCAACCTACCCTCTAAAAACCCATAAACTCCCGTACACTAAAAACGACGTTGTCCCATTGCCCAGCCATCCCAAAATGCAAAGCGGTGTCATCCACAAAAATTCCCCGAATAATTCGAGTCGACTGCTGTTCCGTTCCCTGAAATTCCTGTACCCGTTCCCACGTACCCAGATAGCCGTATACCCTCCTCCTCCTCTCCCACTTAAGCTAGTTTCATTTTGTAATTCCCGGCGCCACCACACATTTCCAACGATTTTCCTTGGTTGTCTTTACGCCGCCCCTGGGTCCACCACTTGCTCGTCCTCCCCGGAAAACGCGCTTCAGGTCGGTCACGGCTGGTCGGGAGGCGGGTAAAATCCGTCAGTAACAGGAAAAAAATCCCCCACCCCGGCCAAGAAGTGACCAACCCATGAAAACACTAGGATTCTTTCGTCGATACGAGATTTCGCGCCAAATGACTTTGCTGGTCCCCGCCCTCGCGTTGCTTCCTGAAGCTCCTACTTGTACCCAACACCACCTACCCACCATTCTTCTCCCAGCTGTCTCTCCCCTCCCAAACGTGTGGTCTCTGTGCTTTCCTGAAAAAGCTCTGCTTTTGAGCGGCAGCTCGGTTTTTGGCGGGCCATTTCATTCATTGGAGCATGAGCCTCAGGCTTCGCCAAAAGATTCGGGCTGCTGCTCGCTTCCGGGGCTCCCCCACTTCCTGGTCGCCAGTCTCAGATTCTCTCTCGCTAGTACATCATCCTACGTCATAGATGCGGAAATTTGTGGGGATACGGCCGGGGCGTTGATGTTGTCCGGCTAACACCAGACGATACGTTACGTACGATAGTACGATACGATACGTCACGCACCGGTCGCACTTCATAAATTTCCCCTTAGACTTTGGTCACCCCCACTTTTCACGGGTCGGCGCGCCACCACCGTATACCCCCTTTTTGTGTACCCATTCTTCTACCCTACTTTTGCCCATCCGTCCCAAATGAATCGCCCGAAGCAATCCATTCGTGTGCTATTAACAATTGCAATCCCGTTTTTCTTGTGTGCGTAAGTGTCTCGTTTAGATAAAACACGATACATTTAACATTTTTCGATTTTTCGACAGCCGAGCAGGGTTCAAGGGTTTCAGCCAGACATCAAATCAATGGGCCGAGTCGGCGGGGGTCGCTAGGGGAATTGACTTGACATGTACATAGATTTGGGCCCTCCTTTCAGAGATCAACCCCGGCGAGTCGGGCTGCACACAGAATCGACAGTGCGAGGCCGTCTGGCCCGGGGCATATTGTCGATCTGGCGAGTGTCGATGCGCAAACAACCAGCCGCCTTTCCGGTAAGGGAGCAATTGGATTGTATTTGGTTGAGGGAGAGTGAGATGGAGACCCGGTGCGGTCTGATCGGGGAAAATGGAAGGACCTCGAAAATCAGTATCCTGAAAATCGGACCCTCTGGAACCGCTTTTTCCTGGCGGTCCCGATTGGCCTAATAGTCAAATAAATATAACGTGTTTTTACACTGTTTTTAGTAAGTTTTAACTATATTTAAACTAAAAAAGCTTTCAAAAAAAAATTTAGAAAAATGTTTGACGAAGTCGAAAATTTGGTCATTTTGGGTCGAAAAATCAATTTTTCACACTAAAATAATTTTGAATTAAAATTTGCATAGTCTTTATGCTTAGGAGTAGTTAAAAACTTAGAAACGCATCCGCTATTTATCAAAAAAATTTAGGCTTGGGCCGGAGAAAGTTGTTTTCCCACGCGAGTCCGAAAGAACCAATTATTCATATAATTCGGAAAAATACAATTCGAGCTTTTTACTTTTGAGATGCCGATAGGTTCGGATAGATTCCGACTTTTTGCCTACCGTTACGAGCCACCTTTTTTCCAGGACGAGAGACGGTCTCGTCTGCTTGAACTACGGCTTCTGCCCGCTCAACGGCAACAACCCGAAATTCCGCATCGAGAACCAGGTGCAGCAATGCTACGGAGGAGCCGACGCGACCTGCGAGGCCATCGGAGCCCTAGCCTACGATTGCATCTGCGATTCTGATGACTGCACGGTCAACAACCCCATCTCTTTCTGCTGCCCGTCTCGCGGTCAGTATCACTCTTTTATAAAAAAACTGATGGGTTTTTTTGTTTAAAAGATCTCTAAATAATTGGGATTGTTTTCGTGTTTGTTTTGCTTTTTTTAATAAGAAATCGATTAAAACATCAACTTTTCCAGCCTTCGCCTGCATCCAGCCACCAAACGAGGGCTACACCCCGCCAGGCGGCGGCACCACCCTCAACCACTGGTACCACGACCCGATTACCGGTAAAAATTTTTTTATTAAAAACGCGACTAAACCCCGATCAGGTGAATGCCGTGAGCTGAAATACCAGGGATATGGCGGAAACGCGAACAACTTCCAGACCAAGGACCATTGCGAGTCGTACTGCAAGCAGAGTGGGTTTTTTCACGTATCGAAGAAACTATCTTTCGCGTTTTATGGCATTTTACGCCGTTTTTGAGATTTCAAAAGCTTATAAATGTGCGAAAAATGGCCTCTTCTGCTTTAAAAATATATGCGAAATTGTGAAAAATTAAAAAAGTCACATTTTACGCCATTTTTGAGATACCAAAGTTTTAAACATTCGAAAATCACTCCTTCTTCGTCAAAAATGTATGAAAAGTCCTCAAAAATTAAAGACGTCAAAAAAATTTAAGCAAAGTCACGAAAAAATAATCTAATTTTCCAGCCTGCAATCGCGGACTGCCGCTGTACCGAGACCGAACAACGGGCGTCAAGCAAGAGCCCGTCTACTGCCAGGGCAACGACAACGGCTGCAACAACCCCAACTATGTCTGCACCACCATGGGCACCCTGCAGCAGTGCTGTCCCACATTCAGTAAAGGCGGCTTTTCGTTGTAAAACCGAATTCTAGCGTTCATCTGCTCCCGCAACGGCGCCATCCCCACCGAGGTGTACAACACCGCCGGCGGTCTCCCGACCGAATACTTTGATGTCGGTATCCCGGATGGGTCTGGCAACACGTACCCGAGGTTTGTGGAATTTCCTAGCCTAACTCTGCCTAAACTAAAAAAAATAATTAAAATTTCGAAATTGTACTTTCAAATGGAAATTTTCCTTTTGTAAACGTTTTTTTACGTTACGTCTACGAAAAGTTTAATAAGTCTACGTTTAAAATAGCTAAATTTCCCTTTAACTACGCTTTTTCAGATTCTATTACGATTCCCGAGAAGGCCGATGCATCCAATTCTCGGTTTGTTAAATTTCTTAATTCAAAAACAGTCGCTTTCCAGTACCTCGGCCAAGGAGGAAACTTCAACAACTTCCTCTCCCAAGACCACTGCGAGAAGTTCTGCTCGAGGAGTGCGTTTTTGTTTCCCCTTTTGATGCTCTGCTCGTTATGGGCTTTAATGATTAAAGAAAGTTTAAATTAAATTGAGGTTTAATCCTCATTTTTCAGTTCTGTGCTCGGCCGGCGAGCCGCTGAAGGATTCGTCCGGGGAGCGCAATATGGAATGCTCGCCCACGGGAAGCGGGGCCAACACTTGCCCCTCAACCCACTCTTGCGAGAGCACTTCCGGTAGAGGTTCTGGTTATGACTGTCGACTAACAAGATCACTTCTCCTTCTCCCACTCTACTTCTGTCATTTTTTGGACTCTAAAACTTTAATTTGGATTTTTAAGCTTGGTATCTGTCCCTAAAGCCTTTCAGATGGAGAAACGGGTATTAAAAGTTAGGTTTCATAAAATGCCTAGCGAAATGGCTTGAAAATAATTTTCCTTACAAGGAGAAAATTGGTCTTGATTATTCCATGAGAGCAAAATAGCGGAAATAATTTATCTCAAAAAAAAGAAAAATTATTTTTTTTATTAATCTAACGGGATAGCATCAGTATAATTTCTTTACGCTTTTCCTAGTATAAGTCGAGAAATGCCGAATGGCGTAATAGTAACTGCTTTAATTGTGTTTTTAGTAAGATTAAACCATATTTAAAGCGGAAACAATATATAAAAGCTTAGAAAATTTTGAAATTTTGTTAAAAAATCGGCCATTTTTGGTAGGAAAATCTTTTTTTATTTATTAATAAAAATTTGTAAAGTTTTTACGATTATGAATAGTAAAAGGCTCAGAATGTGTTTAGTTATATCTAGACTGATCCTCAGATATAAGTGTAAATTATTTATTTATAACCCATAACCTTATAAAACATTGGTATAAACTACCCTTAGCATGGCCCTAACCTACGCTTCACTCGCTTCATCTCTACAGCTTTTCGCTAAACTTCTGCTCTTTTTTGAGCCTTTTAGGCAACTTCTACTTTTGCAGGCTCAACGACGTTCGGTGGTGTGTGCTGTCCGCGTCCGCAGTACGTGTGCAAGCTGCCCAGGGAACAGGTAGACCCTTTTTGAGAAGTAAAAAAATGTTATTTTGCTTTTAGGGTAACTGTGGCACGTACTCTAACCGCTGGTGGTTCAACGCCAAGACCGGCAACTGCGAGGAGTTCATCTATTCCGGTTTGTTGCGGCTTTCAAACGATAATCCTATTTCTTTTAGGCTGTCAGGGCAACGCCAACAACTTCGAGACGTACAAGGAATGCCAGGACTACTGCCGTGATGCCAGGAGTAAGTTTACCAGCTGCTTTTAAATTTAGAAAAACCAGTTGAATTTAAATTACGTTTCGCGACGGGACGACGTCGATTTTACTCAGAATTTTTCGCTAATGAACAATCCTTGTAGAATTTGCGAAACGACCACGTTTCAAAAGTTATGAATCCACCTCCGGAATTGGTCGTATTGCATCCGGTCGATTCCAAAATTGGACCAGAGGTGTATCGTACCCTAAATAACCACAATCCTGAGTTATCGCCCGCCACGTACAGTAGTTTTCGAGAAACAATAAAAATAAACTTTATAATGCGTTTTTCATAGGGTACTCATAGAATACTAAGTGAAAATGATGCGGGAAGGCTTCTTTGCCCCTAGAAATTTTTCCTGTCAAAAATTGAACTAAATAAAGGCTTATGGGCTATAACCCCGGATTGTGGTTATTTAGTACCTAATACATCTCTGATCCAATTTTCGGACGGCTCGGATGTAATACGGCGAAATGCCATAGGGGTGCTTTTTTGGAACACCCTGTAACTCTCCATTGACACGAAAAACCGTGTCATTGCTAGCGATTTCTAGCCCATATCACCCCGTTTAGGCGAACCCCAGTGTATCCAGGGCACCGCGCTCACCGACTCCAACGGCAACTTCATCATCTGTGGAGGTATTAGCATCTTTCCGGAGCCCCTCCACCCAACCCATTCTCAGCTTCAGGCTCATCGGCCGCGTCGACAACCTGCCCGGCCAACCACTACTGCTACTACGACGGCACGACGTACGGATGCTGCCCCACCCAGGGTATGGCTTTTCCTTGCTTCCAGTGGACAAAGTTAAATTACAGCTTACACTTGCTCCCTATCATACAAGGCCGGAGCCACCTGCGGACCCGCCGTCACTCGTTGGTACTACGATTCTACGACTAGAACTTGTCAGGTATGCGGATTTTTCATTTAACAATAGCTTGGTGGTATTCTTTAGACGTACTCCTTCAACGGCTGCGACGGAAACAGCAACAACTTTGCCACGCAGCAGGATTGCAAGGATTATTGCCGTGTCGAAAGCTGTCCGGATGGCGGAGAGGTTGGGATTTTGGCATCACGTTCAAGCATTGCTACGTATACACCTAATAACGTAGAGAGAGTCGGGCAAAAGGAGGGACGCAGACTATGTGCAGCCGAATTTTCTAAGCAAAATATTGTAAAACAAAAAAAAGTTATCGCTTAAAAACTGATTTTTGGGCAACGCTGGTACTCATTTTTGGGTATGCTTTCGCAATTAGCACGCATATTTTGAGTAATTTTCCGAAAAAGGGTCATTTTCGTGTCGGCTGCTGCCAATTTTGATTTTGAAAATTGACGAAAAGTCCCAATTTGGACATAATTTGCACAAATAAAAAATTGCTCCGGTTGGAAAAAGTGCTCTCTGGATTTTTGCTAAACATTTCGAGGTCCAAGTCCATCACAACCTCAGTGAATTCGGCAAAATAAACCTTAATTTCTATATAACGTATCGCTTTAAACTTTACAATATGTAGCTTAGAAAATCCGGCTGCGCATAGTTTTTATGGCGCCCATCGCTGGTACAAATTCGGTCCCGATTTCTGCAATAACACTTACAAACGAACTATCGTTTACAAACGCCCGATGTGGGCTTTGGTGTATTTTGGAATGGTGGTGGGTATTGAGTGTGGAGCGGGGGGGGGATGGCTGTCAGTTTGTCCAAACAGCTCTGCCCCCCGCCCTTCTCGACTCGCGATAATCGTCTTTCTCGCCCTTAGGACCCGGGGGGCTCTTCTAAAAGAGGGGGGCACAAAACTGTTTGTTCGGACACTTGGCTGGGCCTAGAGTCACGACCACACTAAACCTCCCTCAGGGGGCGAGAAGGACCGTCATACTCAATCCCCACAGGTGAACTGTCACTAAAGGTCCGCTAAAGAGAACGGAAAATGGGCCGGACATCGCTGATTCGATAGAACTTGAAATTCTGAGTATACGATCTTTAAAAAACGGCTAAATGCGTTTGGGGGTTCTGGTTTATTAGCGGGAGGACATTTTTCTATTCAACAGCGTTAACAAAATATCGAAAGTCCCGAAAAATAACTTTTTTAATTATAACTTTCTTAAACTATAGTGTTTTTATCGAAAATCAAAAAATCTTGGTAGATTTTTTGATGCTCTACCGGATCGCGACGATGATGATCTAGTCCCCAAAAACCAGTGAAATATTGACAAATCTACGACATTAACCCCTCCCCCCCCGCTAACGAACCAGACCCGTTTGCTATTCGAAAAAAGTGCAAAAAAGTACGCATTCCGTTAGAGGGCGTTGAAAAAGCGTAAAATTTCCTCTTCTGAATTACAAGGCTCGATTTTTATCCGAAAACGGTTACTCGCCCGTATCGCCGCCACGCTCCTCTTTGCAGGTGTGGAAGGAGCAAAACGGCGCCGCCCGCGCCTGCACCAGCAACCGCCAATGCCCATCCACCCACTATTGTACGCCGGTGACCACGTGGACAGGTGAATCCACGTCTATAGGCGTATACCGTAGGCTTCAGGCACCGTCTACCAGACCAAGTCACTCTGCTGCCCCTCCAAGAACTTTGTCTGCTCGCAACCGCGCGATGTCGGCGTCCGCTGCTCGTCGACCAGGATCAGTAGATGGTAAGTTAGGCTTACTTAGGCAGCTTGCGGGGTAGTGGGACGTAGTTGAGATCTTTGAGGAAACGAAGAACGTAAAACTACCCTCACTTTTCAGGTACTTCAACGCCGACACGAAGACGTGCCAGACGTTCGAGTACAACGGCTGCGAGGGCAACCGCAACAATTTTGCCACCCAGAAGAGCTGCCAGAACTACTGTCTGTCCGAGGCGTGCCCGCCGGGTACCGTCGTCGCCAAGGAGGCCGATGGCAGTCGGCTCGTCGCCTGCTCCAACCCTGGAGGTGCGTTTTTGGGCTGTTTTTCCTGGCGGTCCCGGTTGGCCTAGTAATCAAATATAGTGTTTTTAGTAAGTTTTAACTATATTTAAAGCAGAAAAACTTTCAAAAAAGCTGTAAAAATGTTTTAAGACGTCGCAAAAATCAATTTTTTGGACCTAAAATTAAATTTTTAATAAATTTATATAGTTTTTATGCTTCGGAATAGCTAAAAACAATTTAGAAATGCATCCGCTATTTATAAAAAAATTTAGGTACTGAATAAATTGTGTTAAATAGATATATTAAATATACTTCAGGTGCTGGTCGCGTCTCGGGCGGATGCCCCGATGGCTACACGTGCAATTCCTCGCCGCTGCTTGACCAGAACGTCTGCTGCGGCGCCAGCACTGAGTTGCAATGTAAGTTTTTGCCCTTCGGTTTCCCATTTTTAAATTATGTTTTCAGCGCTGTGCCCTGCCTCATCTACACCCTTCATCTCGGCTCTGTCCCTTCAGCCGATGCAGTGCACGCCCAACGTTGATGGTTCGTTGCCAGGCGCTTTTTGGAAAGACGTTTCTTTTAGGCGCATGCCCGGGCAACTTCTTCTGCTGGTTCTCGACCACCTCGACGTCGGTGAACGCCTTCTACTGCTGCCGATCACCCGATTCAGTAGACACCGGATGTAAGCTAGCACTTTCTTTGGATTTTCAACCTCTTTTTAGCCTTTTTAAACCTATTTACAGAAGCCAAGATTCTATTTTTAGACTGCCCACCGCAGCTTGTGCCAGTCCCCGGCGAGGGCGGTGCCCAGTACAAGTACTGCTCACCGTCGGCCCCACTCAACGACGCCATCCAGGGCTGCGGCCCCAACCGACATTGCCAGTTCTCCACCAACCTCGAGCGGTCAGTTGCCAGTTCCCGTTCAAACTTTCCCGTTTTAGGTATATCTGCTGCGGGCTGGAGTCTGACGTGCGGTTGCCGAATGTGTGCCCACCGCAGCCGGCCAACCTTGTTCCCGTTGAGTTGGCAGGTAAGGAAATCCGGTTCTGGTTCGTTAGCGGCGGGGGGGGTTTACTGTCGAAGATTTTTCAATATGTCACTGTTTTTGGGACTGTATCATCGTGACCCGGTAGAGCACCAAAAAATATACTAGGAGTTTTAATTTTAGACCAAAACTCGACAATTTAAGAAAGTTATAACAAAATTTCGATATTTTTCGATATTCTGTTGACGCTATTGAATAGAGCATCAAAAGTAAACGAAGAATTTCATATACATCTCAAAATAATGTAAAATGTAACCCGAAATTTACAGGCAACTACCGGACGTGTAATCCGTACGCCCGGGCGGGCACCCCGCAATCGTGCCCCGACAACTCGGCATGTCTCTACACTGGCAACGACAACGGCTTCATCTGCTGTCGGGTGCAGCTGAACGGGGGCAAGCAATAGACTACAAACTCTATCATCCCATTCCGTTGTCTCCAATGCCCCTCCCTAAAAACGTCGTGTGTCCCAACACGAAAGAAAAACAACTGTGATCTTCCCCCGTCTCCCCCCAATTCTCTGTGATTGTTGCCACGATGCCACGACAATCTGTTTCCCCGTAGCCCATATTGGAGCCCCGCCGCGCGCGTATATCATCTTGATGTTTGTTATGCATGATATTGACGATAAATTGCTTCAAATAGAAACGAGTTCAATACTCAAATCAGAAAAACGACAAAAACCGTGCAATAGGCTTTATTCAACAAAAAAATAAAGAAAAGATTGCGTGGTACCAGAGCTAATGGGGGGATTAACTTGAGTCGATTTAACAGTGGTTGCTCGGCCAGGTCGACGGCTAGAGGCTTTGCGGGCGGGTGCTCATGCTGCGCGTGTAGTCGTACGACAGGTGGTCACCGAGCGGTCCAGCTGAAAAAAAGGTTTTTTTGTAGCTTAAGAATAAGCTTTAATGATATAAAGCCTTACATTCATCATACGGTTCGGTGCCGACGCCGAGAGCATCATCAGTGCCAGTGCTGCAGCCCTGGTCATCGTCAGCACGTTCAGCCGCTGCCAGCTGTCGTGCCAGTCGCGCCTCGTGCGTCTTCTGCTCGTTCACAATGTATTCGTAGTGGCTAAACGAAATATTCCTGGGCTACAAAATAACAAACCGTCCGCCCGGCTCGAAGTCGAACGGGTCGGCCTCGTTGTAGCCGCAGCGCTGGCAGATCTGAACAATGGTATCAGGTCAAAAAGGGGCCAGGCTACCGATTGCAACACGCGCATCAGGTAGTCGTAATTGGGGCGTGACGTGACGCCCAGGCTGCGGATGTGGTCGTAGAGCTTGTACATCTCCACCGGGCAGTCTGAATCTGGGAATTCGGGGGCGCTTCCATGCGCTTACGGTTGAGCAGCTTTGAGCCGCATTTGCCCTTTTTCACGCCAATTAACCGGTCGCTGTCGTCGTTGCTCCAGGGGAGACGTCCCTGAAAAAGATGTTAATTTCTGCTTTGTTCAAGTTCTGCGAAGACGAAAAAAATGAAACCAACCACGACAAATTCCACAAGCATGTAGAGGAAACTCCACATATCGTCTCGGCGACCCTGGTCACGTCGCAGATGAACATTGACCGACGCATAGCGACCGGTTCCTGAAAAAAATTGGGGGGTTCTTTAGGATTCGCGGGGGGGATCAAATTTTTCGGCACAAGCCTAAATTTTTTTTATAAATAGCGGATGCATTTCTCAATTGTTTTTCACTATTCCTAAGCATAAAACTATAAAAAGTTTAAATAAAAAAAATCGAATTTTAGGTCAAAAAATTGATTTTCCCAAAATGACCAAATTTTCGACTTTTTGAAACATTTTTTGAAGGTTTTTCGACTTTAAATATAGTTAAAATTCACTAAAAACAATGTAAAAACACTTTCTATTTGATGAATAGGCCAACCGGGAACGCCAGGAAAAAAATTGGAAATTTACCTAGGAAATGAGCCGATTTGCGTGGCGCGCGGTGGATCAGCTTCTGGCACGTAGAGTCCTCCCAGATGAGCTAAAGCAAATGCATAAGCGCTAGCGGAAATGTCCCACATATTGACGGGCGAACCCGTAGTCGAGCAGATAGACCGATCGGTCTACTTCGTTCCAGGCAAAGTTGCCGCCCTAGAACGGAATATAATTACAAATTAAGGAGAAATATTACCTTGACGTCACGATGTATGTAGCCGTTGTGGTGGAGATCTCGAATAGCCTCCAGACATTGCATGCCCAGGCGAATGGCCGTCGAACGAGAATATCGCTTATCTGGGCACTCACGGCGCTTTCTAAAATATATATTTGACAATTACGTCAAAACACCGTACTCAGAAAGCGGCTTTCCGACCAGGGTCATCACCATGATGTTGAGGGGTTGGTCGTTGAACACGATCTGTAGTTTGTTTGGTTCTGGACTTTTAGCGGGGGAACCAAATTTTTCCCTGTGATTCACTACGGCCCTATAAAAAAATATAAATAATTTTATAGCATTTTACATATTTTTATATATAAAACAACAAAAAAATGATAATAAACTTTCGAAAATTTGACTTTTTGGTCAAAAATGTTTGCAAAATGTCAAAAAGGTAAAAATTTTTAAATAGCTTGATAACTTTATAGCAATCAAAACTGCCAAAAACACTAAAAAAAATACATAATAAATCATCAATAGATAGGCATAGGTGGAAAAAAGTGCTAACAGTCCAGAACCGTTTGTGTGCACAAAAAGGTTAATTCTAGCCTACATTCGAGCCAAAAAATACCGGAAGCTAAAGATAATTTATGGCCGAATACCTTTCCAGCCATGTACAAGCGACAAAAGTGGTGGGTGCCCTGCATGGCCTGCAACACGGGCACTTCCTTCTGCAGCATCTGCGACGAGTTGCCCGCCACAAATTCGGCTTTGCACGCCGCTCGCACCCCGGTCTTGCTCAGTACCTAAACCAGGAGTACAACACGTTGCGGGAGCTCTCACCTCGACGACCATGCCGTAGCCGCCAGAGCCGAGCTTCCGGATCACCTGCATAAAGCTTTTGAAACCTAAACGAATAGACGTACCTCCCAGTCGCCCAGAATGTCGCCGGGCTCGAATTGAGGCTTTCGAACGGATGAGCTGTCCGACATCCTACCCGGATGGTTTCGGCGATGGGAGCGGGCTGAGCGGCCATTCGACTTTTTCGCCTTGATTGTTTGGATTCAAGATTCAAATCGTGCTACCACTTTCGGTCACATTGAAATCACCGTTGTTTTTGAACCTGCATGTAAATTCCGACAAAATAAAGAATGCTTTTTACCGGCAAATCAACAAAGAGGAAAGCACCAAGGATTATCACAATTGATGGCGAGAAAACAAAAACGCTAAAGCACCAATTGATTTCACTCGGATCAGGGAAAGCAAGGGACAAAGACAACCGAAAAAATATACTTGAAATGACACAAAGCAAATGGCATAAAATGAGATGGGAAGTACAAACAAACTGCTATCGGTTAATCGCTATCCTCTTCAATGTCAAAGCAAAAGTTGGCCGACGAAGTGTTCGTCCTTTGCGAGGGTAGAGACGCGGAATCGCGCAAGTACGTCAAGCTAGAAAAATTGTAATGGAGTTGATTGCAATTATTGATACCTCTGTCGAGCAGTCGTCTCCCATGCTTCTCGTCCCTCCTTCCACGAGCAATTCATCGGCCTTCCCAGGTAGCCAATCGAGCGGAAAGAGATGGCATCTAGTGGTGGCCCAACAGCTTTTTGCAGCGGGATTCTCCTAAATAATTTTTTTTTATCCGAATGATGTGGCTCACAGCGTAAACAATTCTTCAATGGTTCCCGTCTCCTCGGGAATTGCCACCGACGTTGCCTCGCGATGGAGTTGATCTTTCAGCCGCGACAAGTCGACCCATTTCGATTTGTTGAAAGTGTAGCCACCGGAGCCTAGGCGAGAACTTATGTCATAACGGTATTTCCATTACCGTGTTTCCATTTGTGCGGTGGATAGTTGTAGAACATGACAGCACTGGCCGATATCTAAGAAATTCATAAATTCGTGTTGCGAGCTTATCGATTACATAGGCTAGTTGTCGATCAAACATTCGCGAGAGGTCGTCGTAGCGCAATGGTTGTACCGTATCGCAATAAGCAAGAATGTCACATATCGACGAGAGGGCCGAGATTGACGGGGCGAACGTTGGCGTGTGTTCGTGAAGGTATAGCGAGACCTAAATACGGAAATTCAATAAAAAGTTTTAGGAACTACCTGATTGTCCGGCAAGCCGGAAAGCAGAAAAAGTTCATCGAGGTCTCTTTCCAACGGAGGGCGCCGCAATTCAGCCCGGACGCGTTCTTCTATCCGCTAATGAGTACGGTTTTAAAAAAACGAGCTGTTGGTTACTTGATTTTTTGGAGTGTCCTCGACTCGTTTCGCGTATAATATCCGTCCAACCACGCGAAAAGTCTAGAAAAACGATTTCACCAACCATGACGCCCGAACTCACATCCAGTTGTAGATCCGGCATGTTTTGTGTTGGCTCTCCCGCTTTGCTGACATAGGTGAAATCAAACGTGTTCAGGGCCGAGCGTATATCGCCTAAATAAAACCGAAATCTTCCTAAAATGATAAAATACCATTCGCCTCTTGGGCCAACTTTTGGAGCTCTGTTTTTGAGACCTGAAACGGAGTTCTATTAGAAAAAGATAATTACGTTGATCCGAAACTGTTTGGCCAGCCGCGTGAGGACAGGAACGATGTAGCTAACGGCGATCGGCTTGAACGAAATCTCCTCAATTCGATTTTCCCTAGAATCCGGGGTCAATGTCAATTGCTTAAAGGCCGCACCTCATGAAATCTGGTGTAAAAAAGCGGCGCGGGCACAATTCGTAGGTTGAAGTAATCGATGGAAGTATAAAAGCCACCAAGCTGTTGACGCCTCCCAAATACGGCTTCACTGCGGCTCGAAAAGTGTGCGGGGCCCTAAACAATAATCCAATTTTCAAAACTCCAAAATACTTTATGAACGCAGCTGGCAGTTGTTCGACGATTAGCACTTTCTTCCTGTTCTCCGGCTCAGAATTATCGAGCGTGCAAAAGCTGCCATGCTTCAAGAATTCGATCAGATTCTGTTCTTCACTTGACTAAATTAAAGTTGAAAATTTGGTTAGGTCATTCACCTCTTCTGCGTCATTTTGTGAATTTCGAAGTGCCTCGCCTTCGCCATCGAATTCGACGACCTAAAAATAATCTGAGAGCACGTTTTGTCAAACCTGATAGCCCCGTGCCTCTGAAAGAGCTTTTATTGCTGTCGTCTTCCCACATCCACTGGGCCCTAAATATAGATTAAAATCTGTAAAAAATCCTCACCGGTTACTAGTAAGCAGGTGGAAGATCGTTTTGGCGAAAAATAGTTGTCTAAAAATCGTTGTACCTAAAATCAATTAGTAAAGGGGTCATGAGGAGGACCTCAGCTATCTTCGCTGGATTCACGGCCAATTCCTTGTCGGAAGAAGGTGAGCATTGTTCATAGAAAGGCTGTTCCTCGCGTGTCTCTTCTAAACGAATTTTGGAATGGAAAATGTACAAACGAGAATTTGTGGAGCGTTGCGAAGGTAGGCGCTTTTCATCAAAGGAGCGCGTACGACTATAAAACCGGTTTAGAACGGAAATGTTGTGATTCTTACAGGGCTTGTACTGCTGCACTCGTCAGCTTCCTTTTCCGCTCGACCATCTAAAAAAGGCTTGAACCAAGTCATGAGAAACAATAAAATAGACAAAGTTCGCAGTTTTTAACCTGCCGCGGCGCAATTACGCGAGGTTTCTAGGAAAAAGAGGAGGCCGACTCTGTTGACGCAAAAAGCGCGACATAAAAAGCTAGTTCTCGTTTATGTGCATATTTTAGCCAAAAATTTTCTAAAAATACAAAAGATTCCAATGCCGAGGGCGCAAGTTGGAAGGCGATATATTTCATCGCGAGGGATTTTTAGAAACGCATGGGCTTTTTCGGAACCTATAACAAGAATATCCCAAACGAGATACAAACTTCAGAACCTGAAGTCTGAATGTCTTACAAGGGGGAAAAGCTTGCAAAAAAGAAATAACCGTTTTGTTTCGGTTCAGTTCCGTAGAAACTCACGGAGCCAACGTGTTTCAGATACGCTGTACGACAAAATTACGTGTATCCACATTGCACGACAAGGGCAACGATAAATTTATTCAAGTCCTGGTGGAAGACGGATTACACAACATCATCTACAAGTAATAAGCAAAATTTTTAGGAGCGAGGGGGATAGAGGCGAGAGGAGAGACAGCGAGGATCATCGCATCATCCTTGGCGCTGCATGCGGACGGTCTTTGACGTGGGGCGGTAGACGTCGAAGGTGCACACCATTTCTTCGTTCACCTAGAAGGAGGTGAGGATTGAAATAATGAGCGTACCTTCATGGTGGCGGCCGAGTTGTCGAACTGGCCACAGTAGTGCGGAGCCGAGAAGATGGTGACCATCTTGCGGTTGGCGAAGAACTCGTAGCCGTCCTGGACGACCTGGTGGGCACGGGCGATCAGGTCGAGGTTGAGGCGCTCGCAGAAATCGATGACGACGTCCTGTCCGAACACGTAGGACACACCGCGGGTGTTGGCTTGCCAGCCCTGAAGCGAGTTTTTTAAACTAGACTTTGACGATACCTTGACCCAGTTGTCCGGATCGGCCCACAGCAGGTCGATGCCGAGCGACGGGTTTGGCGGGTCCGACGGGCGGGACAAGTTGCGCAGCTGATCGAGGTGCTGGATCTGCGGGGACAGGCCGCCGTGCATGCATAGGATGCGGTCGCCGATCAGGCCGCACAACGGCATCCAGTTGAACGTGTCCTTAATTGTCGATTAGTCAAAAAACTAAAAAAAACGGTACCTGGAAGCACTGCCACAGGCGCTGGCTGCGGTAGCGGCGGTTGCACTCCTCGTAGAAGCCGTAGACACGGTTGATGGCCGGGCACTCGTGGTTCCCGCGCAGCATGAAGAAGCTCTCGGGGTACCTGAATTCAGGATCTAAAACCAGCACAAAAACCCACTTGATCTTGTAGCAGAACATGAGGCAGATGGTCTCGATGTTCTGACGGCCACGGTCCACGTAGTCGCCGAGGAACATGAAGTTGCACTCGGGCGGGAAGCCGGTCTTGTCGAAGATGCGCAGCAGGTCGGAGTACTGCCCGTGGATGTCGCCGCAGACGACAATCGGGGGCTCGACCTCCATCAGCGACGGCTGGTTCATGAACACGTTCTTGGCGACGCCGCACAGGCTGCGCAGCTCGTCCTCGGACACCTAAAAAGGCAAAAATCGATCAAGAAATTTTAGAAAAGGCTTACACAAGTGGTGAGGCGTCCGCCAGCCATGCCGACATTGAGCAGACGGCTCATGAGGTCATCGATGTTGAGGGTGGTGGCCATGGTGCGCGGACGGGGGCCTTTGTCAACGGTGCCCGCATCAAAACTCGGCTCCGTTTTATAATTACTTTCTTATGGAGATTCTAGAGGGTTTCCTGTTTGATTTAGTGGCTATGGCATGGAATTATTGAAATTAGGGCGTAAGAAGATCCTTTTTAGAAGTCCTCACAGGTTCTTTTTCAGTTCAATTTCGCCTAATGATGGAGCATAAAGGTAAAAAAACACTTTTTTTTTTTAAAAAAAATAAAAAAAAAAAAAAAGGGTTTAAAACAAAAAAAAAAAAAAAAAATTAAAAACAAAAAAAAAAAAAAATTTAAAAAAAAAAAAAAAAAAAAAAATTTTTTAATAATTAAAAATTTTTTTTTTTTTTTTTTTTTTTTTTTTTTTTTTAATTTAATTTTTTGGATTTGAAAATAAAAAAAAAAAAAAAAAAATATAAAAATTTAAAAAAAAAAAAAAAAAAAAAAAAAAAAAAAAAAAAAAAAAAAAAATTAAAAAAAAAAAAAAAAAAAAAAAAAGGGGGTTAAAAAAAATTTAAAAAAAAAAAAAGAGAAAAAAAAAAAAAAAAAAAAAAAAAAAAAAAAAAAAAAATTTTTTTTAAATAAAAAAAAAAAAAAAAAAATAAAAAAAAGAAAAAAAAAATTTTTTTTTTTTATTTGTTTTATAAATCCCCGGATAAAAAAAAAAGGAAGAAAGAAAGAAAAAAGGGAGAGGGGGGGTGGGTTGTGTGGGCCTAGTGCTTTTGTATAGATTTAATGGTTTTAACTATATTTGAAGTGGGAAAGCTTTCAAAAAGTAGAAAATTCATTGAAAAGTCTAGCTTTGGGCATTATCCTTCGAAAAAACAACAGTTTTCTACCTAAAGTCGGTCATGTTCAGGATTTGTAGAGCTTTTATAATTAGAAACAATTTAAATAAATATTTCCCCCGAAAATAAGATTGATTTTTATATCGATTTAGTGCTTTTAACTTTATTTGAAACTGGGGAAACTTTAAAAAAGTTTTAAGTTTAGATTTTGGCCATTTTCTGTCAAAAAGTTTTTGCGGAAGCTTCTTCCCCGAAGCCCGTGCAAGCATTTGGATCCTGTCGCCCTCACATTTTGATAATTTCAAACCCACGATTTTTGTAAAAATGTCTATTATTCGAGCTTCAGACTCATTTCTACAGTTTCTGCGCTGCCGCACGAAACACAGCAAGAGGAAGCAGGCCCGCACGCGGTCTCCTATTTGCTGATCGCTAGCGACTGGTGTGTGGCTGTCGATAAGAAATGGCCCCCCCATCGCTGCTGACCTTTCCACTGCGACAAAAATTCTCCACACGGGAGAGATCAACCCGGGGAGTTGCAAAACGGTGGCCAGTTGCCCCCAAAAATTGCCGTCTCACGCGATAGTCGTCGATTTCCCGTCCCATTTTGATCTCTACGGCCACGTTTCCCGGCTTTTTCTCCGGTTCTGGACTGTTAGCGGGGGGGATTTAGCAGGGGGAAACGACTTTCTGTTTGTAGACTTATACTTGCCGGTTGATAGTATATAATGAATTTTTATAGTGTGTTTATTAGTTTTTAAATGCTAGTAAGTTATAAAAAACACTTTGAGAAATTGCGAAAATTTCGAAAATTTCGAAATTTTTTGGTTATTTTTTTATACATTTTTGACCACAAAGCCATAATTTTTTATATTGTTTTTCTATCTAAAATCTATGTCAAATGCTACAAAAATCGTTTATATTTTGTTTAAATTATATTTAATGCCGTAGAGAATCATCGAGAAAAATTGGGTTCCCCCGCTAACAGTCCAGAACCTTTTCTCCTTGAGTTTGAGCTTTTTATCCCTGTGCTCAATAATTATGACTTTCAGGGTAACACAAAAGGATGCAGCGTGTCCAGCAACTTCGCCCCCTGCTCCCAAAGTCGATGGTACGTAATTTTAACGTTTTTCTAAACTCCTTTTTAGGTGACTTTCTACAAGGACCAGCTTGTGATCACCAAGGGAAAGGGCCAATTCCTATATGATGCTCAGGGAAAGGAGTACCTCGACATGTTTGCCGGCATTGTCACCGTCTCTGTTGGACACGCTCATCCGTTCGTTCATTGTTAATCTTATCGTTTACTTTTTCAGGAAGGTCAATGAAGCTCTAAAGAAGCAAATTGACACCCTCTGGCATACCACCTCGATCTACCACACGTTGCCCGTCTATGAGTACGCCCAGAAGCTCACCTCCACTCTTCCGGACCACCTGAAGGTAATTTTAGTTTGGAGGAAACCAATTTTTTCGGTCCAAGCCTAAATGCGTTTCTAAATTGTTGAACTAACTATCCCTAAGCATAAAAACGAAAAATTTTAATTAAAAAATTTAATTTTAGGTCGAAAAATTTCTTTTTTCCGACCCAAAATGACCAAATTTTCGACTTTTGCCAACACTTTTCTAACTTTTTTTGAAATTCTTTGTACTGAAATATAGCTAAAACTCACTAAAAACGTAAAAAGACTTTGTATTTGCTGACTAGGCTAACCGGGACCGCCATGAAAAAAATGGTATGTAAAATTATCTTTTAGGTATGCTTCTTCACCAACTCTGGCTCCGAGGCAAACGATCTGGCGATCGCCTTGGCTCGCGTCCACACTGGGCGCTTCGATATGCTGACCCTGAGAAACTCGTACCACGGCATGACCCAGACCATCTTCGGCGCTACAAATTTGGGTGAGCTTTTGAAGCATTGCGTAAATTTTTGTAACAAATAGTTGAACCTATCTTTTTATAGGCACCTGGAAGCAGCCAATGCCCGCCGGATTTGGGATTTTGAAGGCGATGAACGCAGATCCGTATGCCGGGCCGTGGGGCGGAAAGAATTGCCGGTAACTTCTTGCCAAAAAAAGAGATTATAATTTTTAGCGATTCCCCGTGCCAACCACGTCGCGATTGTGACTGTGGAAGCGGACCTTGCAAGGCGTCAGACAAGTGAATACCACTTCTTGATTCAATTTTCCTCATAGGTATTTCGATCAATTCGCGGAGACGCTGAAATTCGACTTCCCGGCCGCCTCTGGACCGGCGGCATTCCTAGTGGAAAGCATTCAAGGGGTTGGTGGAACTACGCAGTTCCCCAAGGGGTAAGTTGTTTTTGTTTAGTTATTTTTTCTGATTGTTGAATTTTCTGAGCAAAAAATTCCAGATTCCTGAAAAAAGCGTTCGAAGCCGTGCAAGCTCGCGGAGGGCTTTGCATCTCAGACGAAGTGCAGACTGGCTTTGGGCGCCTCGGCTCTCACTTCTGGGGTTTCGAAAGTGAGCTTCGACTTCGGTTTCTCGAGCTCCACCATTTTCAGCTCATGACGTCAAGCCGGATATGGTAACGATGGCCAAGGGAATTGGCAATGGTTTCCCGATGGGCGCCGTTGTCACAACGCAGGCAATCGCTGGTAGACTGTCTGGCTTTGTACCCTAGTTTTTACATTTAGATTCGTTTGGAAAAGCCCTGTACTTTAACACATATGGTGGCAATCCTCTAGCATCGACCGTTGGAAAGGCTGTACTAGAGGTATCGTTGTTTCGCATTTTTTAAAACTGTTATTAGGTGATCGAGGAGGAAAAACTGCAGCAGAACTGCGCCACCGTTGGCACCCATTTGATGAAGGAAATCGAACGGATCGAATCTAAATTGATTGGAGATGTGCGAGGTTTGGGAGGGACTGTCTTCCGCATCTGTAAATTTCAGGAAAGGGTCTTATGATCGGGGTGGAATTGATCTACGAGCAAGGGAAGCCATTGGCCGCTGCACGAATGGCCGACATTTTTGAGGATATCAAGGTTAGATATTGTGAAAATTGATAAAATTCAGAGACAACCACAACTGACACAAATGAATTTATAGGAACGCGGCGTACTGGTCGGCAAGGGTGGCATCAACGGGAACGTGCTGCGCATCAAGCCCCCAATGTGCATCACCAAGGCCGACGCCGACCGCACGATCGACGCCATCGCCCAGGCGCTGAAGACGGCCAAGAAATAGGTACCCGCCCCTCCACCACTCGTCAATTTTTTACGTTTTAAATTAGGAAATGCTGTGAATAAACGGGTACAATATCAGCATCACAAGATAGCAGGTCACGAATGAGCCACGAATCGTCAGGCCGGGGCGAGTGCAATATAAGCCTTTAGAACGCTATATTGGCACCGGGCCGAGCCTGACAATTTTTGGGCGTGATGCGAAGGAAAGATAGGGTTCCAAAATCGAAAGTCCCCCGTGTCGAACACCAAGCCCCCGGACCGTACCGTTCAAAGAAGCCGATGTTCAAATTGGGATGGCACTAGCGGGGGCTGCTGGCTGAGTGTGAGTGGTCGTGATCGTCCGGCTGGCACTGTGTGAAGGAGCACGGGCCGGCCGGCCGCGGGGGGAGGAGGAGAAGATGGCCTTGGGACGGGCGAAACCGGTCTCGCCTTCCCTCCTCACCCCTACTTTCTCCTTGCCAACCGTCGTCTGTCGTGTAGGAGGAAAGGATGTAGAAAGTGCCAGATCCCATCACGGGATCATGCATTCCGATACACACACGGCCATTCTCCCCCGCCATCCCCGGTGGCACGATTGGGGTACCGATTTTTGAAATCGAGCCCAAAACGAGGGATGGTAGATGAAGAAATATGGTGGGGAGAGTGGGCCTTTCTAGAATCTAGAACCGACGCGTTTCGAGGAAAAGCTGTAAACTACAATATCGCACGCTACAAAATACTAATCTAGTAGATGGGCGGGCCGGCTTGTTTTAGTGAAATCTTGGAGCCTTTACCTCAAGATACCGTCGTTTTTAGAAAAAAGTTATACTTTTTGGACGAAAAAATGGTACAAAAAGAATTCTGCCAGTTTGGCCGGCTCGTCTACAACCTAAACCTAAAAATTCGCTCGATTCTACAAAACTAAACCATTAAAAAAATATAGTATCAAAAAGGAAATTCTAGCCGTTTGACCCCCTTTTGGTATTTCAGAAGCGTTTTTTTTTAATTTAGGCACTCTTACAAAAAACCTGGAAATTACAATATGGTAAAAATACAGCATTTTTGGTCAAATAAGGTAATTTTTCTTATAACCTAATGCCGAAGTGTTTAGTGGCAGTGCAGCTCGGACATTGTTCAGTCTCAGACACCCGCTTCCCCTAACCGAAGTCGCAAACCCGCTTTGGGCCATGTGCGCGCGGTTATTTATGTAATGTCGGCGGTGGCAGACTGACTGGCCAGACAACGACATGCCCCCAAAACGATTTGGGCTAGCGGGCCGTGAGGAGGAGCCGTGAGCGCGCTCCGAATGATTAAGCGCAGCGAGGGGGGCCCTGTAGACGCAAAGGGCGCGCAGGACAAAAACTCGCCGCGGCCTTTACCCCTCATCCCCGGCCAGGAGCATGGGCTAGACACGGCTTTTTGCGCGCCAGAACCCATTCAAATGTGGACCGGGGGCGAGGGGGTGCAAGCTGGGAACATGGCCTTGATTTTAAAAGGTGCTGGGGGGGGGCTTTGTGCCAATTTCAACCCCCTAGATTGGCTAGATCTCGACAGCTACGCAACGCACCAAATTACGGGTGAGTTACCTTGCCCTTAAGAAGTCATAGTTGTAAGCCTGAAAAAAATCTACCATACCCTGCTAACCAACCAAAATTGAGAAAATACGACAGCGACTAGCCCCTACTTCCCATTCCCTTTAAACAACCTAGAACTTACAATACCGCAGGGGTGCAAGCTGCGAAAATGCCTTGATTTTCAAGGACGCTAGGGACCTTGTGTGAAATTCGACCCCCTAGTTTTGGCTAGATCTCGACAGCTACGTAATACACCAAATTACGGGTGCGTTACCACAATTCTTCACGTAGTTGTAAACCTGAAAAAAACCGCTCGACCCTGCTAACCAACCAAAGTCAGAAAATACGACCCGGGAAGTAAGCATCGTCAAGGGGGTCAGGTGCGTGGGTTTTCTAGCGACCATTACAGCGTTTAACCCCACTTCTCATTGCCTTTAAACAACCCAAAAACTTACAATACCACGTATAGAATAGCAGAAAATACACAGAAAGTAGTAACGCGGACCGCTCCTAGAAATAACCGCAACGCACACAAGTCGGATTTGAAGCGAAGGTCGGCATCGGCCGTAGTGCTGGAGCAGGGGATACGGTATGAATGGGCGGTGGATGGTGCCGTAGGGCGAGGCAGCCTAAGTACCTGGGCCGAGGGGCGGGCTTCGCTCACAGCACAGCCAGACGGCAAAAACCTCAGCAACATGCATACACACCCCCTAGCACCCCACCCTCCTTCTCCTCCTCCTCATCCTCCTCACCGTCGTCGAGCATCACCCCCGCCCGAGAGTCCATGCACATTATCTGTCGCCCGGAAACGGAGCGAGCGGTGAAAGTTGATGGAATCTGGCGATGGAGGGGGATTCCGATGATGGCATCCAGCGAAGTGACCTATTAAAGGGACCCGGACGCCCAAAATCGAAGCTAGGACGGCTAGGTCTCGACAGTTACACTCCGCGCCGATATTGATGATGAGTCGAATTCGGTGCTAATGCAGTTAGAGTGGGGGCAGTCCGAAATTGATGGTAAGAAGTTACGAGACGCTCCGCTTAAGCTACTTGATTTTAGCTTAAGCTTCAGATTAACTTAGCATTAACGAGGTCTAGCTTGGGCTCAGGCTGAAGAGTAAGCCCAAGCTAAGCTCATCTTAAGCTTTCACTGCCTTGCGAGGTCAAAATGGGCTTAGCTTAGCTTTGCTCAAGCCAGACCCAGGCTTCGTTTGTATGAAGCCAAGCCCGGGCTTAGGCTTAGCTTAGCTTTTCCAGAGGCTTAGAGTTTAAAAAACGGATTTGGAGCATGTCGTAATCAAATTCCGGACTGTCCCTCCCTAATCGCACTAGCACTGAGAAAACCAACAAGAGCGAGGAAAACATTTCCACAAACAACCCGGTTTATTCAGATGCCCAACATTCCTGGGTCGGTACGGACGGCGTTTCCTCAAAGCTCCAGTTTCCCCCTGTAAGCTCGTTTCGATGTGGATTCGCTGTTTTGCAGAGGCGGCTCTCGCCGTGGTTCTGCCATCGCCACCGTGGCCTGCAGATCGACCCGTCGATACGCCGACGATTAATTCGATTTCGGCTTTTTCTATCCAATTCTGCTGAGGTGCCGGGTGTCCGTTTTTTAGCGCGACTCTGCTTGGGGGAGCTGTGTAGCGCGTAGGTGCGCAAAAAGGGTAGACATGGAAGTGTCGACAATTGGGCATCGAAGCTCAACCGATTCTGGAGCACCAACATATAATTTTGTCCCTCAATGCTTCTTTATTCGCTGTCTCATTTTAACTTTTTTGACGCGTTTTGCGCATGCTCTGTCTCGTCTAGACGTCTCTTACCACCCACGTCCGAGTGGTAAACCCCCTCTACGAACTTAAAAATGGCTACCGAATCGCGCAAACATCACCCACTTCCTGTTACCCAACCCGACCTCCATCAGGACGAGACTCCCAGCCCTCCCGTCCTCAGTCCTGTAGCGCAAAGCGATGCTATCCTTGCGTATGTGTGTGTGTGTGTGTGTGCTGCCGAGCTGGCAGGAGTGCCGTGGGTATCTGCGAGCGAGACGGCTCCCCTCTTCTTTCGCCTGTAAGCGAAAGGCGGTGGTGTGAAGAGAACAAGTTCTGCGATCGCTGGAGACACCCGGGGGCAGCCAGCGAAACCCCCCAGGCAACGAGGCCGTGATGGTGCAAAAGGGAAAGCATACGGTTTTCTATGCCATCGTTGCCCTGGGGGTGTAGTGTGGCGAGAAAGGGAGTACCTGAAAGTTATGGGGGGTTTTCCACTAAAAGACAGCCTTGCCTAGATTGAGTTTTTAATGACCTTGGACCTCGATCAAGAACCAAGCTAACTCCCTAACTAAGAATGGCATTTGCCGACGGTTTTGAGACACGTTAGCCTCCTTATATTCCGCCCAATACAACAATCAACACCTCACGAACCTTGAAAAGCCTCAAGGTTGTGAGATCGTCCTGATAATTTGTGGCGACTATCCCCCTACCCCAAAAGCGAAAGCCAAACACGATGGCAGCACCTTCGCCTCTTCCCTTGCCAATAGGCGCGCAGAGTCCGGATTTTCGGTCCCGTCTGCAGTGGCTCCAGCTCGTCCCCGGGGGCATGGGTGAAAGTGTTGCCTGAATAGCCGTCTAAATAAGCTGAACCAGCAAGCAACAGGACCGGCCAAGATGTGTGGACTAGGTGTATAAACGTTATTTACTCAAATTTTGCGCAATAAATACCACAAGTCTCAAATGACGTAGACACCGAAAGGAGGACTGCAAAAGGGCTCAGAGACGACATATTTTGTACAGTACTCGTTTTAAATCAGAGATGCGATGGCATCGACAACAGCAAAAAGGGCGCGCGGGAGTGAAAATAGTCACGTGTTTATGTTTGAAAAATCACAGGTGCTCAAATGGACGAGGAATAGGCGCGCAGAATTAATTGTGGGTCATGTAGCGAGGCGTGGCGGAGAACTTCTGGTAGCCCTTGATGACCTTGTTGATGGCTTCCAGGAAGTCCTTCTCGGTAGCGACCTAATCAGAAAATAAAATCGTAATGTGAAAATATCTTACCTTTCTGCGAGCTCGGATCGCGAACATGCCAGCCTCAGTGCAGACCGACCGCAATTCGGCGCCTAAAAAGAAAACGGTAAGCTGTAGTTTGAATCACAGGAGAGGGAGTTAAAATAAAAAGCCTTACCGGTGCTGTTGGGGCAAAGGCGAGCCAAGAGATCATAACGGATGTCGCGGTCGACGCTCATCTGTTTCGCGTGAATGCGGAAGATGTGAGCTCGTCCGGCCAAGTCCGGCAGCGAAAACTCGACCTGGAAACAAAAACAATGACAAAGAATTGAATGCATAAACCACATAAGGTTGCGCAAACCGGTGATATTTTACCCACCTTTCGGTCAAGACGGCCAGGACGGAGCAACGCCGGGTCGAGCGTATCGGGCCTATTTGTAGCCATCAGCACCTAAAAAAGGTTCAAGGAAACTGCAAAATAAAACCTTAATATTTCCACGCGGATCGAAGCCATCGAGTTGGTTGATGAGCTCGAGCATGGTACGCTGGACCTCATTGTCGCCACCCATGCCATCATCGAAACGAGCACCTCCAACAGCATCGATTTCATCGAAGAAGATCAGGCAGGCTTTCTTCGAGCGCGCCATCTCGAACAATTCACGAACCTAAGATGACATAAAGAAAGCGATTTTTGGCGGTTCTACCATGCGAGCGCCCTCGCCGACGTATTTCTGCACCAGTTCTGAGCCAATGACACGAATGAAGCAAGCATCGGTTCTAAAAGTGGAAATTTGCTCAGTTGGAAGGCTATAACAGCAACTACATGACTAAAGAGCTAAAAACTGGCTTACCGGTTGGCCACGGCCCTGGCGCAGAGCGTCTTGCCAGTACCAGGCGGGCCGTAGAGGAGGACACCCTTCGGCGGCTCGATACCCAGATTCACAAATTTATCGGGCTGCAAAGGACTTTAGACGGTTAGGAAACCCCTACCGTAAGCAAAGGAGCCTCTACGACCTCGCGAAGCTTCTCGATCTGCTCCTTGCAACCACCGACGTCGGAGTAAGTCACATCTGGCTTCTCCTCGACCTAATCACCAGGGCGTCCGAGTTTTAAAAGAATCGTTACCTGCATCATCGTCACAGTCGGGTCAATCTTGGCTGGCAAAGGCAAGTGGATCTGGTACTTGTTTCGATCAACACCCACACGCATTCCTTCCTAAAAAAATTTTACATGTCAATGATCCTGACCAGTTACGAAAATTAGAAACGAGCTCCCACCTCAATATCAGTCGGAGCCAGCGTATCAGCCAAATCGACGACAAACTTGGCGAATTGTTTGACATTGATCATATAGCGCGGGTCCTGCCCCTCCACTTGGATAATCTTTGTGCAACGGGCCACCTAAATACGTTGAAAACCAACAAACCATTGTGAATACCTGCAAGGGCTGTTCCTGTTGCATGGCTTGCTTGTCAGCGGCAATATCCCAAAGAGCTGGAGGAGCCAGGCCAGTATCTGACTCCTTCACTCCGCACAGCTCGTTCACCTCAAAATAATAGCAGGAAATAATAATTTCGCACACAACACACCTTCTTTACTGCCTCCTCGATATCATTCTCCAGCTGCTTCAGTTGTTCTGCGTACGGACCTTGTCCATAACGTTTCAGAACGGCAATATCACCTTCGTCGAGGGCTAACAAAAGAAAATAGAAGAACAGGGTTGTAAAAAACCTTGGAATGGCTTGTCTTCTTCCTTCTCCCCCTTCTTGGTCTTGCGCATGTCATCACCGAGATAGTCCGGCATCCTGTTTCCTGGAAATTTCCACTTTGCCGAAATCGAAATCAAAACTGGCTTTGTAACAAAGCACGAACAAAAACGATTTTGGAGAGAAGGGAATGAAAGGAAACAAGAAAGACATGAAATTTAGTACTTTGTCAATGCATTACGGCGAAGCTTTGAAACGATGATTTTGTTACCGTATTCACCCCTGACGGGGCAGGGTAGGGGGTGTCAGACGACTAGCGTCCACAGTGAGCCCTTTAGCAAGAGGGGGAGTTACTTCGGATAACTTCCTGGTACTTTGCATGTTATTAAACAGGGGTTAAGTCCGGTTAAACTGAAATGAAATATCTTTTATTCAGCTTATCAAAGTTCAATGAGGGTCAACGCATAACATAAAGATTGGAACATAGAAAAGAACATGAGATCGGGTAGAACATCGGGACATATGCATGGAAACGGGGAATGATTTATGGGGCAATGGGGGAGAAATTAGCTGCGCTTCGGCAAATAACGGATGCGCTCTCCGGTACGGACAATTGTCTCCTTCTTCATAAGCTCAGCCAGCGCTTCTTCGAATAGGTTACGGTTGATGGACCTAGAGAATCGTAAAAATACCAAAAACACAAGCTCACCTATCGATCTGATGCATGGCTGTGAACAAGTTCCTGGCATTCAGATTCTGGGCGGATCCCTTCTGGAGATACGCCGTCACCTCATCCACAATCTTTGCGACCAGCTTACGCGAGCTCGTAGAAATTCCTGAATATTTTATGAAAAGTCTGATAAAATTGGAAACCTGCAGCCAAAATTCCAACGTCAACACGTCCAGTTGCCGGATCGACAGCCGATTGACGCAGGGCTTCACGGTGAAGACTAAAAGAAAGGAGTAAGAAACAACTTTAAGACTGACTTGTAAGCCTTTTCGACGTCATCAACCGAGACTTCAGAGGATAGACGGATCTTGGCATGGGCTTCCGAAAGGCGAATCAAGCTTTCCAGCTGAACAATAAGCTTGTTTGATTTCTGGAAAATCGATACCTGACGAGGGTATGCGGTGATCTGACCAAGACGAGCCCCCAGTTTGCGCATGTTGATGTACTTGTCAATCAAGAACTGCGAGGCCTCGTTGGAGAGCTGCGGGGTGACGAAGGCTTTGGCATACGCTAGAAATAAACGTTCGTTCCGTACATAGTAAAGACCAACCAATATAATCACGAAGCAACGAGGTGTCCAACTTCTCGGAGACATCCTCGCCAGCGCGGCGATAGTACAGCGAAACGAGATGGGCGGCAAGTCGGCGGTCGTAGGCTTCATCTTGCGGGTCGACCATCAAGAAGATGAGGTCGAAACTAAAATTTTAAGTTGGTCCACGGTTTGCACATTCGGTTACCCTAAATGCAAAAAGGAGGTTTCACTAAAAAGTAGATTAAAAAGTTAAAAGTACCGTGAGAGAAGCGTATGCGGCAGCTGAATGTTGTCGACAATCGTCTTATCGCGGTTCCACTTCGAGTCGACGGGGTTAGCGGCAGCGAGGACTGAAGTGCGAGCGTGAAGCTGGCAGATGATGCCCGCCTTGGCGATCGAAAGGGTCTGCTGCTCCATAACCTAAAATATAAAAGTACCGAGAAAAAAAGCAGTGTTCGACCTCGTGCAGCACAGACCGAGCTCCCTCGTTCATCTTGTCGAACTCGTCGATACAGCAGACACCATTGTCGGCCAAAACGAGGGCACCGGTTTGAAGAACCAATTGCCTGCAAGAAATCATATGCTAGAACGCGGAGCCGTACTTGGTATCGGGATCGCGAGCCACGCTGGCCGTCAGACCGACAGCCGATGAGCCCTTTCCAGAAGTGTATTGGGAGCGGGGCAGGAGACGATATACGTACTGCAGCAGCTGCGACTTGGCAGTACCAGGGTCACCACAGAGCAGCATGTTAATCTAGGGGAAAAATTACGTTGGAAAAGTTGTATACCTCGCTTCGAAGCTTGGTCTTTTGCGTGCGCTCATCGTCCTTGCGAGTACCGCCGAAGAGAAGGCAGAGAATGCCCTTCTTGACGTCCATATGTCCGAAAATCGACGGAGCTGAGAAAATGGTTCTCTAAACAACAAGTGGAAAATTACCAATGGCGTTAGCCAGAATCTCCATGATGTCCTCGCGCTTGCTAAGGGCCTTGATCTGGTTGATGCGATCCTCGGTAAGGCTTTCGCTAAAAAGAATAATAAAATTCTTGGAGGAAAAGAAAAATACCCATTGTCCTTGTGCAAACGCGATGTGTCGGTGCGACGGAAATGAATGGCATCGATGTTAGTGCGGTAGACAGAACTGAGCGCACGTTGCCGAGGATTGGCCTGGAAACGATAGGTATAGCAATGATATATGCGCAAATTACCTTTGCTCCTTGGGCACGGAAGATACCGGTCACTGTGACGCGATCACCAGGTTGCACGGATTCGACGAGATTTCCGTGGGCGTAAACGGTGAGAGTGTGGGGAGTTTGACCAGCCGGCATGTCATCTAGAACGTTTTAATTGATTCGCCTTTTTTATTATCACACATTCCGCAGGCGCCACCAGTCAAACATACCAGGGCTCTCCTGAAGCTTGATGATCTGCTTGTCAAGATACTTTGAGCGGTTGTGGACCAATTGGAAGCAATGAGAGTTCGAGCAAGTGGAACAAGTCACAGGCTCGGTGATACGACCCCTATAACAAAAGATTAGTCAAAGTTTTATAGGGAACCTGTCGACTTCCGCTTCCGGGGCTGGGGCCTCACAGATTGTACACTGGAAGAACCCTGAGCGCATTTCCGGCACCAAGGACGAGGTACGGGTGACCATCCCAGAAATCGTGATCATCTGGTCAATGTCTAAAAAAAAATTGGGGGAAACTAAAAGCTCAACATACCGACCGGGTCCAGGTTCCTCATACAACGAGTCTTGTCGGCATTGTAGGGGCGAACCTCGATTTGTCCGGGCAGGTTGCGGTTGTACTCCTTTTGGAAAATCTCGTTGACCGCGCCGTCAAGGTAGGGGATGATATCCTAAGCAGAAGTTTTGGACTGAAATTATTGCCATACTCCAGGATACGCGATGATCTTGCGATAAAGGGCATCAGAGAATTCTTTCACATGAGCCAGGTTGATATCAAGATGCGTCTCCTGCAATATATGAATACTTCAAATGTTAGGCCGATATACCGCAGTTTGGTCAATCTCGAAAAGGCGTTGCATGTAAAAGGGAGCCTTGTGGTTGATCTCATGATGGCCACCCCCAGCCTCGCGGAGCATCACCTCGTCCTCATCGACATTCTTCGGGTTGTACTTGGTGATGAAATCGGTGAAAACCCTAAAAAATTTAAAGAACAAGCCTTGCCAATTACCGTTGTACGTCGAAGATACAGATGCGCGTGCCCCAGATGTACATTCTCGGAGTGTTCGGATCATCGACGAGGTCATCTTGCATCCCTTGCACCTAGGTTCACAAGTAAAAGGATGAAAAGTTTCAGTTACCTGTACAAGTCTATGGTCACGAGGCGCCACTCCGAGATCCTGACGGGCCTGGTTAGTGCCGCGAGTCGAGAAGCCGGACGTCGCCGAGAAGTTGCTTTCAGATCCATAACGAAGCGAGGAAGTGGGAGAGGCCACTGGAAGGAAAGGCATGAAAGCAAAAGAAAACGTACTGCTCCTTACGGATTGAGAAGCTTGGGAGGGATCCTCTTGAGAGCGGGCTGGTGAGCCTGAACAAAAAAGTTTTGAATTTTCTAAGTATTGTACCTGGCCCACGGTAGGACATCTCGCTTCCGTACTCCGACATTGTCACCTGAATTGATAAGTCTGTTTTGAGTTAGAAAAAACACTGAAAGCGATATTTGAAAAATCTCGAAAAAAATGGGAATGGAATCTCGAAAATCCAAAATCCAAAAGCTCGGATCACTACGAGGCATTCCACTAAACGCTTTTTGCCTTGTAGAACTGAAACGTACTTTTAGATTCATAAATTCAAAATTTTCAAATTCTTCTTTTTCGAGTTTTTCAAATTCAAATTCTTTTCAAAATTGAATAAATATTTATTCAATTTTGAAAAGAGGCTTCATTTGACTAAACAAAGTTGACGGAAAAACAGTATTCGTAAATCTGTGATACCAAAACCTTTCCTTGTATCGCGCCGATTTCCCGCATTGCCAGACTTTGGTTTCGCGCGGGCTGTTGCGTCCACCGGACTGGGCTGTAGCATCGGGCACACGAATTCCCCTCTTTTCTGCCCCAGCTTTCCACCATTTACATCATTTGTATTTTTCTTTCCATATAAAACATCTCGTAAATAATGAAACGTATCTTCTCTCACATCTATTCATGCATTTTACGCTCTCATTCCACAGATTTCTAGGAGCATTGACCAAGCCGTTCTCGAGATGCCGGAAGCTACCGAGGATACACCGGTGATACAAGACAAGCTGAGCAAGCAAGACCTCGACAAGATCGGCGCCCAAAATTTAACGCCGTTGACCGAGGAGGTACATCGCGTCTCATCTGGTTTTTACACGATATTTAGGTAATTTCCCGTCAGGCCACCATCAACATCGGAACGATTGGGCACGTAGCGCATGGAAAGTCGACGCTTGTCAAGGCCATTTCCGGCGTGCACACTGTCAAGTTCAAGAATGAGCTCGAAAGGAACATCACTATCAAGCTCGGCTATGCCAACGCCAAGATTTACCGTTGCTCGAACGCCGAATGCCCCAGGCCTGGCTGTTATAAGTGAGTTGCCTTTTTTTAATTAAGATTTTTACCCGCTTCTGTATGTGACAATACCAAAGTTTAGATCCTACGGCTCGAGCACACCTGATGAGGTAGATTGCCCACGAAGCGGATGCGGGGGAAAGATGCACTGCGTTCGTCACGTTTCCTTCGTCGACTGCCCTGGTCACGACATCCTCATGGCCACTATGTTGAACGGTGCTGCTGTCATGGATGCCGCATTCCTTCTGGTAATTCTAACAAAAATTAACCCGTTTTTGTTTTAGGTTGCCGGCAATGAACCCTGCCCTCAACCGCAGACCTCCGAGCATTTAGCTGCCGTTGAAATTATGCAGCTGAAGCATCTGCTCATCCTTCAAAACAAGGTTTGTCTTCTTTGCCTAGTCATTCCTCTGTTTTAGGTCGACCTCATCAAGGAAGTGCAAGCGCGCGAACAGCACGAACAGATCAAGTCGTTCGTGCAGGGCACTGTCGCCGACAACGCTCCAATCATCCCGATTTCAGCCCAGCTGAAGTACAATATTGATGTAAGCGATTCGTTCTTCGCCGATGAAATCCCTTTTTTCAGCTAGTCTGCGAGTACCTTTGCAAGAAGGTCCCCGTCCCTCAGCGAGATTTTACCTCCCCCGCACGATTGATTGTCATCCGTTCCTTCGATGTGAACAAACCCGGTTCGGAAGTCGAGAATTTGAAAGGCGGTGTCGCTGGCGGCTCCGTTTTGCGTGGTATTCTTCGTGTCGGCCAAGAAATCGAAGTGCGCCCGGGAATTGTGTCCAAAACAGCCGATGGCCGCGTTCAATGCCGACCGATCTTTTCGAAAATCGTCTCACTTTATACCGAAGGAAACCAACTGCAATACGCGGTCCCTGGAGGTAAAAGTTTTTTTTTGACCATCCTAACTTTGGATTGAGGGCTCATCGGAGTTGGTACGCAGATCGACCCGACTCTTTGCCGTGGTGACCGTCTCGTTGGTCATCTCCTTGGCGCTGTGGGAACGCTACCCGACATCTTCACCGGTAATCGAACGTTTGGAGGAAAACCAATACCTTGTCTAGAAATCGAGATTGGCTACTTCCTGCTGCGACGATTGCTCGGTGTGCGAACCGAAGCTAATAAGAAGGGCGCTAAAGTTCAAAAATTGACGAAAGGAGAGGTACGTGTCGCATCAAAATGAATAATACGTGCTTTAGGTGCTCATGGTGAACATTGGTTCTTTGTCGACAGGAGGTCGAGTTCTTGCTGTGAAGAACGATGCTGCGAAGATTGCCCTTACGGATCCTATCTGCACGGAGGTATGAATATTGGTGGTACGAGCCAACAATCAATCCCTTTCTAGGTTGGCGAAAAGATTGCCCTGTCTCGTCGTATCGAGAAGCATTGGCGGTTGATCGGATGGGGAGAGATTCGTCGTGGAACCACTATCGCCCCAACCACCGACAACTAGAGGAGATCCACCGTTCCATTTTCCTCTAATATGTCTCCCTTTTGTTGCTTGTTTGCTTTGTTTTTCAGATGATAAACTTTTGGTCTTTTGCCGGGCACCTGCATACACTCATGATTTTGGTAATCGAGGCAAAGATTTGCCTTTATCGAGAAGTAATTATCTTCAACATTGTGGTTCATTCTATCTTTTGCCCGCTGACTACGAATCTGATACGCGAGACAGGGGGCGGCTAGCCGGCTGGTTCCCGGTAATGCAATGCATTGGGAGGAAAATGAGAGCGCAGAGATAGGTCTCGGCCCGCCACAAGAGCATCACACGCTCTGTTGTGACTCTAACACCATTCCGAAACTCCAGCAATGCTCTCGTAGCTGGTTTCTTCGACTGACACAACTTCCTTTTCTCGTTTTTTTTATACTTACCAGAACACAGGCTCCTTTTGCAGGGTCTACGCAGCTCCTCACCCAGCCAGACTTCGCAGAACAGACGGTATTTTTAGAGTTTTTAGCTTCCTCTTTTAACCTATTCGTTGTTCATTCTGATTCGCCTTTATCTGTACCCCGCTTGGTTGTAAATAATTGGTAAAAATGGGTGAAGAGCCCAATGGAGTCAGGCAGGAATCCGTCGAGAAGGTTGCTGAGGAAGCGCCACCGGTGGTTACTGCCGACTCGATTATTGACGATCTCGCACGGGTGCTGAAGGAAAGTGGACAGGTTCGTCATTTTATCGGGACGGTTTTCGATAGCTTACGTTGTCTTGCTATAATGAATTTTAGAAGATCACGATGGAGGACATTGCCCTAGCAATTCGACAGGAGAGGATAGACCGCGAAAAGAAAGAAGCCGAAGAGAAGGAAAGAAAAAAGCATAAGAAAAAAAGTCCAAAAAGGAAAAATCCCGCAAACGACACCGCAGCCGCTCCAGAAGCCGTGAGAGGAGCGGGCGTAAGAAGCACAAACGAAAGTCGAGAAGCGCTTCTAGGTTTGGAACATACTTTCGCGTCATTCAAATTTAGTGAAAGATCGAAATCCCCGGATCGATCCAGCACCAAAAAAGAAAAGGTAAAATGCCTCGGATTTGAGAAGGTATTTTTATCAAATTAAAAACAAAATAAATTCGCTGCTTAGGTTTCATCAGAAGAAGATGATCTACCGCTGGGCGCCGACTTCAGCACGTTGCAGGGTGAAGAAGCGGCCTCAACTAGTCAACAAGAGCCATCGCTAGCAGCAGAACCGCTTATTGAGCCTCCAAGCAAGTTTCACTGTCAATAACCCATAACAATGTTTAGAAACAATCACACAGGACGCGTTCCCGCTGGAAAAGGATTTTATCCCGCCGAAGCATGACAAACTTCGCAAATCGGTATCCCGCTCGCCATCGCCCGCCTTCACTAAACCCGACATTTTGAAAATTGTAAGGTGCTTTTGGTTTCCTAATCGCCAAGTTTTAGGAAGGGGCCGAGAAGGCGAAGAACGAGTTCATCCCGCGAGCCGTCCGCAAAATAGCCATTGCAAAAATTTCGATCCCATCACCAAGTCAAGCGGATAAAGACGAGTAAGCGAAATTAGAAACTATGAGCTGTGTTTTTTTAGGAAAGTCGAAATCATCAATGCCGTCGAGGCGCCGATCATCAAGAATGTGGCGAATGGCGCTTTGGAGACAGCAAAGGACGAGGCTCCTAAAACCGAAAGGCCGACAGATATTGCTGAAATTAGCGATGTAAGCTTTTTGACCGAAGTTTTCTCAACCTAGATTCAGTTCTATCTGAATCTGGATTTTGCAGGGAGAGATTCCGGAGAGCACCGAAAAATCGGAAAAGAAGAAGGGTAAGGAACCTTCAGCGAGGGAACGGTCCGCATCCGCCTCTTCCGACGATTCCCTGCTGCAGAAGAAGGTCGTCACTTCCACCAAGTGAGTTGCATCCGGACTATTCTGTTTGGAGTTATTGATCTGCGAATACCACTGATTGTTTCAGGGGTCGAGGCACACGGCTTGGTGGGATGAGAAGTGAAGGCACCACTTCTGATAAACCACGAAGATCCGGCAAAGACGGCTCACCCTCCCGCAAAGAGAAATCGAGCCGCCGTTCGCGAAGTCGCAGCGGCTCCCGGTCGCGTGGAACCAAGCGAAAAAGATCGAGGTGAAGACGGCTTCTCCATCCTTACATTTTTTTTCAGCTCACGTGATCGACGCAGGTCGCGCTCCCGAAAGTCGCACAGGAAACGGTCACGCTCGCGCTCGCGTGACCGTTCGAAGAAAGATAGGCCTGAACGCATTGACAAGGCCAAGCTGCTTTCGATCGCCAAGCGCAAGTCGAAATTGCTGAAACAGGTGATACATATTGGCCGAGTTGTTATGCTTTTTTGTAGATGGGAATCATGACGGCGACAGGCGAGCCGACACATATGGCAACGGCTTCTGGGAAATCGGTTGAGGAGCTCGTTGGTGAGTGAGCAATATCCGGCGCCTGATGGCGTATTCTTACAGAATATTGCCAAAAAGTGTCAAGGCGTGAGGAGAAGGCCGCCCAACGAAAGCGTGGCGAGACCGTGTCGAGTGACAGTGACTTTGACGATTTTATGGCTTCGGTGAAGCACCCGTACGCCGTACAGACGTCACAGAACATTGGCGGAATCACTATTAACATTGCGGTATCGATTTTGGCGTTTTTTGAAAACATAACTTCAGAATGCCATACCACTGCCGATTCGCTCGGCGCAAGAACGCTTGATGGACGAGTCGACGTTGAGGATTTGCTATCCTGTGAGCAGTGGCGCAATACACAAAGAGAAATCGGTAGGGTTTTTAATTAGGCTTTTTGTTACTTTTAGTCTTTTTTAAAACATCTGAATAAAGTATAAAATATATCTTAATTTCAGGATAACGAGTGGCGCCCAGTAGAGAAAGAAACGGTACCCGTTACGGTTACTTCGCTCGTCAAGCAGCACAAGGCGGTCACAAGTCTTCAAGCCGAAGAAGCAAAGAAGAATGCGACACCCGTCGCGGGCACTTCCACATTCATACCGCCTCCCCCGGCGCCACCTTCATTTGACAAGTAAGGGAATGCGGGAAGACGCTTTATATTGTTCAATTTTCAGCCTTCTGGCGGGCCCGGGCCCTCCACCGAGCTTCGGAGATCCACTCCTGCCGCCCCCTCCACTTCCGCCAATGTTCGTGCCGGCCCCTGAAAACAAGATCATCCTCAACAATTCGTCACGAAGACGCGATGTTCGTTTCCGTTGTATTTTAGCAACGATGTTTTTAGAAAACCGTGGATGTGGGCAAAGTGTTGGCCGAACGGGCAGCCGCGGCGCAGCGGCTCGAAGCCGACCCCAACGACTATGATGCTCGTAAGATCATCAGGGAATGCGATGAGGATGTAGGGGATTAGCTAATGGCCCCAAATACCTCTTTTCAGATGGAGCACTGGGCAACACAGAGCAGGGGAGGCATCCCCGGCCAATTCACGGGCTCGACCGGCGTGCGCACTTTATCCGCTGATCAGCTTCAGCCTCACGATCCTCGTTTCCACGCTTGGGTGAAGAAGGTAGGTGATTTTACTTTCGCCTTTTTTGTGCTCACCATGTCGAATGCTCGGCCTAAAAGCCGCGCAAAGAGCGGCAGACCGTACAGGCGGGGCTTTGTGGGTTGATCCTAGAGATGTTGCGCTGAAAATCGAATATCGGGATATCAGATTAACTACGATGTAAAACGAACCATCAGAAATTTCTACGTGGAAGAACCAATATTTCTGGGAGTTGTTATTCCGACTTCGGATTTAGTGGCCTAACATCTCTATTCGATCCCCCATTTCAGGACATTCCGGAAATGCCTTGGCACAACCAGCTGCCCTTACAAAGAGCCGTTTTTGAAATTCATTCTACAGGGTGTCCGAAAAGAAGTACCCCCCACTAGCGGTCCGCATTGATGTCCGATTTTTACGATTTAGGTATCTATCGAAAGCTCTCGACGAGCAGAAGAATACTTTCTCTCCGATTTTTGAAATTCGGAATTTTTATGACATTTACTAACGTTTTTGCAAATTGGCTGTTCGATGTTTTTCTCATGCATTTTTTTTAACTAAAACCCCCATTTTCCAAATTATTAAATGTTTCCTGGAAGCCCAAGGTCGGGTTTTTGAAAGGCATTTGAGAAAACACAGTTACGAGAATGAAGCACATTAAATTGAGTTTTTGCAGAAAATTGTGTAACTTATGCTCAAAAACAATAAAAATCGGGTTAAAAGTCGGGAATCTGAAAAATCGGGGAGAACATATCTCCTCAGCTCGTCGAGCTCGGGCTTTCGATTCATACCTAAATCGCAAAAGTCGGACATCAAAGCGGACCGCTAGAGGGGGTACTGTTTTGGGACACACTGTAGATTCTGACCGAAATTCGACGTTCAAAAACGGCTTTTGCTATGGCACCGGTTGCGCGGTGGCATTCCGGGATGTCCCCTGATGGTCTGTCTCTCTTTGCAGACCCGCCCGAAGGTGACCACATGGGATTCTGCCAGCTCGTCCGGGTCCGAGGATACCTAGAGAGCCCTGAACGCCGTGCCGCACCCCGGCCCAACCTTGGAAAGCCGCCAAAAATTGCAGCCCTCCTTGAATTCCCCCCGAGCGCTAAGCACCGTTTTTTTTTGTTTTGAATCGCGAATTCCAGCATCAATAATTTGAATTCATCTTGTCTAGCTGTTGTAGTGATTTCTATTACCGGTTATAGAATGTTGATTGTACGGGTCTTCAAACGTTTCGAGAATAATGACGTTTTTCCACATCCTTGTTCGATCACATTACACTTCAAACACATTCACTCCAGGGTGCCAATGCAGTTAGGGAAGGGAGTCCGAAATTGGTAGTAAGTAGTTACGAGGCGCTCCGCTTAAGCCACTTGGTTTTTAGCTTAAGCTTAATTTAGCTTTAACCATGCTTAGCTCAGGCTTTGGCTGAAGCTTAAGCCCAAGCTAAGCTCATCTTTGGCTTTAAATTGTCTTATGAGGTCAAACTTGTTAGGACTTTTAGGGCTTAGTCTAGAGCTAAGTTTAGCTTGGCTCAAGCTAAGCTCAGGCTGCTTTTGTATGAAGCCAAACCTAGGCTAAGGCTTAACTTTGCTTTTTCAGAGGCTTAGAGCTGCAAAAAACGGCATTTGGAGCGTCTCGTAGTCAAAATCCCGACAGCCCGCCCCCCTTAGTGCATTACCGCCGATTCCAGACACCCCTGGCTATGATTTTTGCCGGCTTTCCTTGGTTGCGGTTATTCACGACGACCGCGCCCTCAGTGTCATCAGGTATTTTTGGGCCACAAATCGGCTTTTCCCTGGCCCCGGCGTATGCTGATGGTGAAATTGTCCTTCTTACACCGAATTGCGTACGTTGCCAATTAGCAGGGCAAAACCGATTTGTGGCCTGCGAATACCTGATGAGACTTTTCCAACTTTTTAGCGAATGCCTACACCCAGATCATCAGGGACTCCCCCGGTTCTCAAGTCTATCGAAAACCATAAAAAATCCTTGTTTTAGGACCAGTTCAAGATCATGCGCCCGCTGACGACCGGTGTTGGTCTGCGCTTGATGCAAAAGGTTCGAGAGCCTTGCGCTTCTCCAGTAACCCCGAAATTTAGATGGGCTGGCGACCGGGTGAAGGGCTGGGCAAGGATAGCATTGGCGACCTGGAACCCTTGCAATTGGACGTCAAATTTGATCGCAAAGGTATGGGGTTTATTTTTTTGCTATGTCTAAATCCTTAGGTTTTTGATAAACTTGTCATCTCCAAAATTTCCAAATTCCAGGCCTGGCTGCGAGCACGGAACAAGCGCCGAAGAACACCAAGAAGGCCACCGGGCTGATCATCCCTACGCCCGGAAGCCATGGTGTAGCATGGCAGCCCCCCGATCTAGGAGGTAAAATTTTAAAGAAGGGTTTCCTTTATTTTGTGAAATTCCTCTTTTTATTTATTTGAAAAATTTGTAATCCTCTTTTGCTTTTTTTATGTATCTGGAAATCTAAATTTTATCCTTGGTTTTTAGGCAAAAATCCAGTCTCCTTGTTGATGGAGCTGGCAGCTAGGCGGAAATACCCGGCGCCGAGTTTCCGCTTCTTCGAAGAAGGCCCACCGAATAACCGACGCTTCAATTGTGCGGTAAGTTTTTTTCCATTTATAACTGGATCCCGGTTTTCTAGGTGATCGTCAATGGCATCGAGTACACACCGGCCATCTCCTGCACGCAGAAGAAGCTGGCCAAAAATACGTCCGCGCAGGTATGAGATGTTTTTTGAAACGGTTTATCGTCTTTATTTCAGGTAGCGCTTCAGGCGCTGGGCCTGTTGCCGGGCGGCTGAATACTGCTGTATCATTTGCTTTCGGGTACCATTTTACTTATCCCCGTCCCATCCCTGACTCCTCATTTCTTACCGGTGTTGTTTCTCTCCCTCTTTTTTTTTGCTTTGTAATGGGGCAAGGCTTGAAGTCTGTTTTTTGGGTTGTGTAGGGGTCGGAAATTGATGTCAAGCCTTGCCCTATCCCTGCGTTCCCTTCTCCTTTCCCCCGGTGGCTAGACTCATGGGCATCTTTCGAACCCTAATATCAAATTCTACGGCTCCTGGGTCTATTCATCTTCAATCCCCCCTTTAGATTCAGTCGTTAGACCCACGATAAATAATTTTACAAGCTATTTAGCTTTCTGTAGCACACAAAAACTTACGCGGCGCTGCTCCATTACGACGGTAGGCTTGAGAAAGTTCGTTGACCTAGATTTTCGGGTTTTCGGGCTCCCTATTTTGTGTAGCGACATCTTCGTAAAATCCGCCAAAATTGAAGATCGTGTAGTTGCTGGCCTCGGATTGTCGCCCTACAGCCGGCTAATCCAGTGGGTTATGCGCTTTCGTGAGCCTGACCGCGGTGAGGTCTGGGCGGGGCGATCGCTGGAGCGGCTACAAGTTCGAGCCGTACGACCCGTTTTCTGGAAGGAAAGCTTCTCGTCGCTGGGCCAGAGTTAGGCCCCGGCTAACAGTCCGTACACTTTCTGTTCTTGAACCAAGTTTAATTTTAAGCCTGCGTTTGGTCTGAGCCATCCCTTACATCAGCCAAACAAGGAGACGTTTTCTAGCTTCCGCTTATAACGTTTCAAAATGCGACCATGCCTATTTTGTGCGGAACTCTTTGATGATTAAAACCTCGTTTTCAGAATCTGCGAAACGACCAAAATAAATCAGTTATGACGCTGTACAGGGCAAAAAAAGACGGCGAAAGTTGGCCATTTGGGGCCTTTTTCACATTTTAAAGTTTCCTGACTTTTGAAATGTGGTCGTTTCGCAGATTCTGAAAAGTAAGTTTTGATCAGCGCAAAATTCTGCCCAAAACAGGCTTGGTCCCATTTCGAAACACCGTGGACACTAAAAAAACGTTCGCTTCTAAGCAAAGGTATCGTCTCTACCTAGAAAGATGGCCAGGTAAGGCGCGGAGTTGACCGGGTCATGACCCCGTCCATTGGCTATCACCCGCCGTGCGTTGTCCTCCACGACCCATGGGCCATGATGTCACTTGGTACCCTCTGGCTACGGGTTCGCCTAGGGGAGGGAGGGAGGGCTACATTGCGCAAGTCGACCTCCATCCCTCCGGGCTGAAGAACCCTGCCTCGCCCTCCCCCGCCACACACACACACATATTCCCTAATCGCCCCCCTGCAGACACATAACAATAACACCCTAGGGTCCCCACGAGATGGCCCACCTTCTTACTTTGTCCTTCCTCCGATTTTGAAGTTTTGGGTTTAGCGAAAATATGAGAAATTGGTTTTTTAGGATTCGCGGTGGGCCAAATTTTTTCGGCCCAAACCTAATTTCTTTTAGAAATAGCGGATGCGTTTCTAATTATTTTTAACTATTCCTAGGCATGCTTAGGCTTCTACAAATTTTCATTAAACATTTCATTGTAGGTCGAAAAATTGATTTTTTCGACGAAAATGGCCAGATTTTCGACTTTTTCAAAGATTTTTCTAACTTTTTTGAAAGTTTTTATACTTTAAATATAGTTAAAACTTACTAAAAACAATGTAAAAACACTTTATCTTTGATTACTAGGCCAACCGGAACCGTGACCAAAAAAAATTTGGTCCCCCGCGCGCGAACCCTAAAGAACCTGCGATCGAATGGAACTGGTCCCTTGAAAAGCGTTTTTTTGATTTTTACATCGAGAAATATAACTGTTGGATTCAAGTTTTATTTAGACTGTGCCGTTAGATTTTTTACTGGCTTGCCCAATCGATTAGGCCTTGTAATCTGAAGTTCCCAGTCCCTTTAGATCCTCCCGGCTCAACGATTAGCACCTAAAAATGCCAGACTTGCCCTGGAAAACCATTATTTTAACGCCTAGAACTATTTCCAAGATCACAAAAATTGTCACGCTGCCTGCCCTCGGATCCCGCGGGGGACATACACGTGAAATGGTGGCCGGGATGGCGCCAGATAGTGAGAGGTCACCCCCCCCCAACCTCTACCCATCGTCGAACCTCCACCACCACCCCACAAGGGTCAGCCATTTGCGGGAAAAATTGGCTATTCGATTGGCCATCCGTGCCCGAGGCCCATGCCTATGCTAATTTAGGCGATTTTGGACTTGGCCTATCTTTTTAAGAGTTCTAGGCGTTCCTAAATGATCTCTGCTAGTTGGCCGCCCAGCCGGCTTCCCAAAATTTTTCGGGATTTTCGCTATTTTGTCGGGATTTTCGCTATGCCATTCGATAGAGCATCAAAAAAAATATACTCAGAGTTTTCGTTACAGCCCAAAATGATTTCATATAAAAAAGTTATAGCACCTAAAGGGTCGTTCCTAAATGTTCTCTGCTAGCTGGCGCTCAGAAAATTTTCTTCTTAGGAATCAATTTTTTACATATAATTTGCGGGAGTTTTTCTGAGCTGTTTTTTACTAATCAAGAACGTAAAAACTCCACAAATTATTATGTTTGAACAAATATAAGAATATCGATTTTTCGAAGAAAAATGGCCGTTTTTTGACCAAAATTTCGACTATTTGAAAAATTTTCAAAGTTTTTTTTTAATTAAAGTATAATTCTATTTTACCGAAAACATGGTGAAAATCTCGGACATCTGGATTAATGCAAAAAATTTGTCCCCCCGATAATGCAAAAGAGCCGCTTTTTCTCTTCCGCTTTTCTTCCCTTTTTAAAACTTGTTCCGCTCAAATATCTTTTAGCAGCTCCCGTTTACAATCCCAATTCCAGAACGGGTAGTTGAACGCACAGAAACGGGTCTTGTTCCTACATTCCAAAATGTTCGGGTCTTCGAATTCCGCCTTCCAACCGGTGCCCTCCAGCGGTGAACACAAGCAGCTCCTCAATTTTGAGGTATAAATACACTAATGATCTAAAAGATCTTTATAGCCCTCCGCGGTGGCCGCCATGAGCAGCCACAACGCCCTCCCTTCCCTCTATGCATTGCCGGAACAGGCGCGTGGGGCTGAGGTACAGATTTTTATTGTTATTTTTATCAGGTTTACTATTTCTATAAAACGCAATTTTTCAGGACCCCATGCAACCGTCCAATAGCCAACCTACGGCCACCCCGCTAACCAACATGCTGCCCGGCTTTGGAATTCAAGTTAGTTTTTCTTTTTTTTTCAAATACAGGGTGTCACAAAAAAGACCCCCGTCTCTATTGGTCCGCAGTGATGTCCGATTTTGACGATTTAGGTATCTATCGAAAGCTATCGACGAGCTGAGGAGATCCGTTCCCTCCGGTTTTTGAACCCGATTTTTTATAACATTTACTAACATTTTTGCGAAATTGGCTGAATTTTCGACTTTTTTCCCATGGAAATGTTTTTAACAAAAACCCCAATTTTCCAAATTTTTACATCTTTCATGGCAGCGCATGGTCGGCTTTTTGAAAATTTGCAGAAAATTGCGTAATTTATGCCCAAACACGATGAAAATCGTGTTAAAAATCCGGGCATTTCACAGATCGGAGAGAACATATCTCCTCCGCTCGTCGAGAGCTTTCGATAGATACCCAAATCGTCAAAATCGGACATCACTGCGGAACGCTAGTCTTTCTTTGGGACACCCTTTATTTCCAAATTTCCAGCGGCACATCCCAGCCTTACCCGCCTCTGCCCAGCTTAACCTATCCCTTTTTCAACCCTTCATGATGGGAGTGAGTTTTTAATTTCTAGAAAAAAAGATGAATGTTTAGCAATTCCCCCAGCCCGAAGCACTGCTCCCTTTCATGCCGCCATTCGACGGTTCGGTGGCAAAGCGGGCAGTTCCCCACCAGGTAGGCTTTAACTTAACGTAAAAAACCCCAGAAAAAAAATAATTTTCCTATACCGATTTCTTGGAATTGTCAAATCAGCTTTTTAGGATGAAAAGAACGATTCTGGCAATGAGACCATGTCAATCCATTCCCCGAATAGCAGCCCGTCACTCAGCTCACCAGCTTCAAGTAACCCTGGAAGGTAGGGAAAAATCCCTTAGAAAATACCTTTGATTCAGCCGCTCAAACTCGTTCTCCGTCTCTTCACTCCTGAAGGGCGATCTGATGACGGCCGCTGTTCCGGCCGCCGAGCTCCAAGCTCAACTCCAACAGCTAGTCGCCTCAGCCTCCTCTAGCACCTCGGCCGTCGTCAACCCGATCGACCAACCGACCAGCTCCCCATTCTCGGCACCACTCCTTCCACATCAACAAATGTAAGTCGATGCAAAATATAGCAATACGCGGGTGGACCAAATTTTTTTCGGCTTAAAGGGATGCCGACGGCATAATCAATCGGTTACGCGCTGGAAAGAAAATGTCTCTGTGCCTCTCCCCAGGGCGCGCTCTCTGCCCTATTGGCTACTTGCCAATTTGTTGATGGGGGGGATCGACACATGCCGTCGGCGGCCCTTTAAGCCTAATTTCTTTGGAAACAGTAGTTTTAGAATCGTTCTTAATTATTTTTAACTATTTCTAAGCATAAAAACTACAAATTTTGATTAAAAATTTAATTTTAGGTAGAAAATTTATTTTCGACCAAAAATGACCGAATTTTCGACTTTTTCAAACATTTTTCTAACTTTTTGTTGATAGATTTTCTACTTTAAATCTAGTTAAACTTACTAAAAACAATGAAAAACACTTTATATTTGATTACTAGGCGAATCGGGACCGCCAGGAAAAAAAAATTGGTTCCCTCACCTAGCAATTCACACACGTTTTAGGCCTCCATTCCGACCTCTTTCCATCCAAGAACTGCACAGAGCCCGCCAAATTCAACAGCTACAGATGAATTTCGCACACCAGATGAGGGTAGGCAATTCAGAAAACCAAAAATAAAATTTCATTTCCCTTCCAGAGTTTTGGGATGCCGGGCATGAGTGACGTGCGACTGTCGGCGCGTGAGATATGCGTGGTGTGCGGCGATTCGGCGAGCGGCTACCACTACGGGGTGATGAGCTGTGAGGGGTGCAAGGGCTTCTTCCGGCGAAGCGTTCAAAAGAACATTGACTACGAATGTCACAAGGAACGGAAGTGTACTGTGGACCGAGTGTCGAGGAATCGATGCCAGCGATGTCGATATGAGAAATGCTTGAAGGCAGGCATGAATAAGGTTAGGAGCGTTGCGTTAGCTAAAACCGAAAATTTGCAGGAACAAGTGCGCCAAGACCGAAAAAGGTATCGTCGTGGGGCCGAGGAGGGTCGCGAGATGGAAGTCGACGAAGCGAAAGGATGGCTTGGAGATGTACAGGCCGTTCTGGCTGCTGGGAAAGCTGCCTTTGAGGGGAAACCACCGATGGATGCACAGGTGAGACTCACGAATGTCACCGGGATCTCGGGATGGAAACAAATGGGCTACTCACCACTACTTCTAAAATCATTACTTCTAAAACACATTACTTCTAAAACCATTACTTCTAAAATCCGTTACTTCTAAAATCCTAAGCGTCGATTTGGTCATAGGTATGGCTAGACGTGCCGAAAAACTGATAATCCGACGTACCAACTTTTAGAAGTAATGCTTTGAGAAGTAATGATTTTAGAAGTAATGAGCGTCCCCCAAAAATGAAGTCAAGGAAATCGTACGTTCTAGGAAACTCGAAACGCCGTTGAAGTCTATCTGGCCTCAAACCCATTATTCGTGGCTATTCCCGAGGAAAGGCGAAAACAATTGGCCGATGAAGCACTTGCTTCTATTATGGTAGGCCTTGTATCGGGATCCGTAAAAAGCAACACTCTATTAAGGTCATCCGAGCGGCCTTCGTGCCGAATTCCACATCAGTCACGGATTGGCCAGCTTCGATGGAGCTTGAGATAGAAAAACTACGCGCCGGTCTGGCTAATGTCAGCGAGCACGAGGTATGGTCAAAAGCATCAAAAAAACAATTTCGTATTTCTAGGTACACATCCTGGTGGGTCTCGTACTGGCGCATGCCCTCGATGCTGATGGCGAAACGATCAAGCTGAAGCTCTCCGAGTGTCTACAGGTTGAGGTGCGATAGAAACCAGTAAACAGCCATATCCGGACTACAATTATGCCTTCAAACAAAACAAAAACAAAACGTTTCCAGGTTGCCGTCCGAAAAGCCGACGCGCACATCTACAACCAACTAATGTTCAAGCTGGGCTCGTTGAAAATGGCCCTTGGCACTGTGCACGCCGCGCAATAATCGGGTCTATCTCCTACGCACTAAATTGTGATCTCAATTGTGTATGATCTGTTTGGTCCCCAAGAATTCTCTGGAACAATCCCCCCCCAAACATTTTTTTTGAAAACGGCATTTCTCTTGAGCCCCGGGTTTTCTGCGAAATACGGTTGTGAATGACATGGGTCTGTTTATTATAATAAAAGCTAATACCACTACTAATACCAATACATCGTGCAAAGAAAAAACAAATTGATTACTAGTTTTCCTAAAAATTTAAAAGAAGTCAAAAAAAAAAAAAGTTAATTAAAGTATAATTCTATTTTACCGAAAACATGGTGAAAATCTCGGACATCTGGATTAATGCAAAAAATTTGTCCCCCCGATAATGCAAAAGAGCCGCTTTTTCTCTTCCGCTTTTCTTCCCTTTTAAAACTTGTTCCGCTCAAATATCTTTTAGCAGCTCCCGTTTACAATCCCAATTCCAGAACGGGTAGTTGAACGCACAGAAACGGGTCTTGTTCCTACATTCCAAAATGTTCGGGTCTTCGAATTCCGCCTTCCAACCGGTGCCCTCCAGCGGTGAACACAAGCAGCTCCTCAATTTTGAGGTATAAATACACTAATGATCTAAAAGATCTTTATAGCCCTCCGCGGTGGCCGCCATGAGCAGCCACAACGCCCTCCCTTCCCTCATGCATTGCCGGAACAGGCGCGTGGGGCTGAGGTACAGATTTTTATTGTTATTTTTATCAGGTTTACTATTTCTATAAAACGCAATTTTTCAGGACCCCATGCAACCGTCCAATAGCCAACCTACGGCCACCCCGCTAACCAACATGCTGCCCGGCTTTGGAATTCAAGTTAGTTTTTCTTTTTTTTTCAAATACAGGGTGTCACAAAAAAGACCCCCGTCTCTAGTGGTCCGCAGTGATGTCCGATTTTGACGATTTAGGTATCTATCGAAAGCTATCGACGAGCTGAGGAGATCCGTTCCCTCCGGTTTTTGAACCCGATTTTTTATAACATTTACTAACATTTTTGCGAAATTGGCTGAATTTTCGACTTTTTCCCATGGAAATGTTTTTAACAAAAACCCCAATTTTCCAAATTTTTACATCTTTCATGGCAGCGCATGGTCGGCTTTTTTGAAAATTTGCAGAAAATTGCGTAATTTATGCCCAAACACGATGAAAATCGTGTTAAAAATCCGGGCATTTCACAGATCGGAGAGAACATATCTCCCTCCGCTCGTCGAGAGCTTTCGATAGATACCCAAATCGTCAAAATCGGACATCACTGCGGAACGCTAGTCTTTCTTTGGGACACCCTTTATTTCCAAATTTCCAGCGGCACATCCCAGCCTTACCCGCCTCTGCCCAGCTTAACCTATCCCTTTTTCAACCCTTCATGATGGGAGTGAGTTTTTAATTTCTAGAAAAAAAGATGAATGTTTAGCAATTCCCCAGCCCGAAGCACTGCTCCCTTTCATGCCGCCATTCGACGGTTCGGTGGCAAAGCGGGCAGTTCCCCACCAGGTAGGCTTTAACTTAACGTAAAAAACCCCAGAAAAAAAATAATTTTCCTATACCGATTTCTTGGAATTGTCAAATCAGCTTTTAGGATGAAAGAACGATTCTGGCAATGAGACCATGTCAATCCATTCCCCGAATAGCAGCCCGTCACTCAGCTCACCAGCTTCAAGTAACCCTGGAAGGTAGGGAAAAATCCCTTAGAAAATACCTTTGATTCAGCCGCTCAAACTCGTTCTCCGTCTCTTCACTCCTGAAGGGCGATCTGATGACGGCCGCTGTTCCGGCCGCCGAGCTCCAAGCTCAACTCCAACAGCTAGTCGCCTCAGCCTCCTCTAGCACCTCGGCCGTCGTCAACCCGATCGACCAACCGACCAGCTCCCCATTCTCGGCACCACTCCTTCCACATCAACAAATGTAAGTCGATGCAAAATATAGCAATACGCGGGTGGACCAAATTTTTTTCGGCTTAAAGGGATGCCGACGGCATAATCAATCGGTTACGCGCTGGAAAGAAAATGTCTCTGTGCCTCTCCCCCAGGGCGCGCTCTCTGCCCTATTGGCTACTTGCCAATTTGTTGATGGGGGGGATCGACACATGCCGTCGGCGGCCCTTTAAGCCTAATTTCTTTGGAAACAGTAGTTTTAGAATCGTTCTTAATTATTTTTAACTATTTCTAAGCATAAAAACTACAAATTTTGATTAAAAATTTAATTTTAGGTAGAAAATTTATTTTCGACCAAAAATGACCGAATTTTCGACTTTTTCAAACATTTTTCTAACTTTTTGTTGATAGATTTTCTACTTTAAATCTAGTTAAACTTACTAAAAACAATGAAAAACACTTTATATTTGATTACTAGGCGAATCGGGACCGCCAGGAAAAAAAAATTGGTTCCCTCACCTAGCAATTCACACACGTTTTAGGCCTCCATTCCGACCTCTTTCCATCCAAGAACTGCACAGAGCCCGCCAAATTCAACAGCTACAGATGAATTTCGCACACCAGATGAGGGTAGGCAATTCAGAAAACCAAAAATAAAATTTCATTTCCCTTCCAGAGTTTTGGGATGCCGGGCATGAGTGACGTGCGACTGTCGGCGCGTGAGATATGCGTGGTGTGCGGCGATTCGGCGAGCGGCTACCACTACGGGGTGATGAGCTGTGAGGGGTGCAAGGGCTTCTTCCGGCGAAGCGTTCAAAAGAACATTGACTACGAATGTCACAAGGAACGGAAGTGTACTGTGGACCGAGTGTCGAGGAATCGATGCCAGCGATGTCGATATGAGAAATGCTTGAAGGCAGGCATGAATAAGGTTAGGAGCGTTGCGTTAGCTAAAAACCGAAAATTTGCAGGAACAAGTGCGCCAAGACCGAAAAAGGTATCGTCGTGGGGCCGAGGAGGGTCGCGAGATGGAAGTCGACGAAGCGAAAGGGATGGCTTGGAGATGTACAGGCCGTTCTGGCTGCTGGGAAAGCTGCCTTTGAGGGGAAACCACCGATGGATGCACAGGTGAGACTCACGAATGTCACCGGGATCTCGGGATGGAAACAAATGGGCTACTCACCACTACTTCTAAAATCATTACTTCTAAAACACATTACTTCTAAAACCATTACTTCTAAAATCCGTTACTTCTAAAATCCTAAGCGTCGATTTGGTCATAGGTATGGCTAGACGTGCCGAAAAACTGATAATCCGACGTACCAACTTTTAGAAGTAATGCTTTGAGAAGTAATGATTTTAGAAGTAATGAGCGTCCCCCAAAAATGAAGTCAAGGAAATCGTACGTTCTAGGAAACTCGAAACGCCGTTGAAGTCTATCTGGCCTCAAACCCATTATTCGTGGCTATTCCCGAGGAAAGGCGAAAACAATTGGCCGATGAAGCACTTGCTTCTATTATGGTAGGCCTTGTATCGGGATCCGTAAAAAGCAACACTCTATTAAGGTCATCCGAGCGGCCTTCGTGCCGAATTCCACATCAGTCACTGATTGGCCAGCTTCGATGGAGCTTGAGATAGAAAAACTACGCGCCGGTCTGGCTAATGTCAGCGAGCACGAGGTATGGTCAAAAGCATCAAAAAAACAATTTCGTATTTCTAGGTACACATCCTGGTGGGTCTCGTACTGGCGCATGCCCTCGATGCTGATGGCGAAACGATCAAGCTGAAGCTCTCCGAGTGTCTACAGGTTGAGGTGCGATAGAAACCAGTAAACAGCCATATCCGGACTACAATTATGCCTTCAAACAAAACAAAAACAAAACGTTTCCAGGTTGCCGTCCGAAAAGCCGACGCGCACATCTACAACCAACTAATGTTCAAGCTGGGCTCGTTGAAAATGGCCCTTGGCACTGTGCACGCCGCGCAATAATCGGGTCTATCTCCTACGCACTAAATTGTGATCTCAATTGTGTATGATCTGTTTGGTCCCAAAGAATTCTCTGGAACAATCCCCCCCCCCAAACATTTTTTTTGAAAACGGCATTTCTCTTGAGCCCCGGGTTTTCTGCGAAATACGGTTGTGAATGACATGGGTCTGTTTATTATAATAAAAGCTAATACCACTACTAATACCAATACATCGTGCAAAGAAAAAACAAATTGATTACTAGTTTTCCTAAAAATTTAAAAGAAGTCAAAAAAATTCCGATTTATTACTACTCTGGTTCGGCCGGCCAAGGGGCCGGCCACCCTGAGGGCTGGCGAACCGGCCGGCGAGGATGGGCAAAGGGGGCCGGCGATCCTGGCCGGGCACACCGGCCGGCCAACCTGCGGCGAACCTGGGCGAACCTGGGGCAAAATCTCGGCTCGGCGAACCGGCCCGGCGAACCGCAACGCGCGCGGTTGCGGCGAATGCGGCAGATTTGAACTGTTAAGCAATAAAACAAAAAATAATTATAAATTGTGCTGTTTACAAGGTAAAATCTTTTATAACTTTTATATTTATGTCTATTGTAATCCTTAGGTGATATCTGTTTAGCACACTGATCCTGAAATCAAGGAATCGTTGGTAACTGGTAAATCTTTATATTTTTTATGGATTTCATCTTTTATAGGCAGTCCTACCAGTGTGAACGCTACCTCCAGAAGCTTGAAGACGAGAATGGCATCCAACAACGTCATCTTCGGTTAGTTTTACCTTTAATTCAAATCTAGGCTGTTGAGCGGGCTGCACGCTTGACTAATTAAACTTTTTAAGTCGATGTTTAGGTTTATAGGTAGTGTAGGTTTTACTTTTATGCTGAAGTCGATCTATTCTTTGTGTTTTAGGGTTACCATACGCTTCGTGGTGCGTAACGGCGCAACCGGCAAAGCGATAGGTTTATGAAAAAGGTTTGATTGTTGTTAGACTTTATTTTGCGGTCGCTAAAGGGATTTTCTAGGTCATTTTTTTCTTACAAAATTACCCCACTTAGAGTTTCTAACTTGTAAGCTAATTTCAGAACCATTTTACAAAGTAGGCGCGCTACTACTACGCAATATGAGGTAAATAGCACAGGTAGGCTGTCAGGGCATAAGAGGAGGATTTTAATTACTCGTAATCCAGGTAACCGGCAACATTGTTGCTGTATCGAAAATGTCTATTTTCTTTAAAAATGATTAATTCCTTCCAGGCAAGCTGTTTCAAAATAATAAAATACTATCGAAAGAACGCTCAGGCCTAGATTTCGCGGATGGGATGCACAACTGCTGTCGACATACGTATGGTGGTAATGGCTCGTAAGTTATAGTAGTTAACAATACCGCTCTGTTCAAAGTAGGAATTGATAGCAGAGTAGTTTCATCCGAGAAAAAGTAGGTTCAAAGGCTACGAAGGCCAAAAACACCGGAAACCCAAGTATTTCCAGCCTCCCTTCTCGTCTACACTTCGATTGCCGTTGCCGGAAGCAGAAACTATAGAAACAACACGCAGAAAGCGTTTAATAATTTAATTTTCATATATTAATAAGGGCTGCGTTAAAATCTCGCTCAGGTTCGCCGAGGTTCGCCGGCGAACGTAGGTTTGCCGGCCGGTTCGCCAATCCAGGTTCGGCGAACCGGCCGGCCCCCCGGCCTGGCCCCTTCGCCCAAGGTTCGCCGGCCCCTTCGCCGGCCGAACCAGAGTATAACGTACGGAAAGATACACCGCCAAATACGGTAGCAACGTAAAGAGAAATCTAACGTATAGCTGACAAATTTTTCATTATTTTGGCAAAACTAAATTTTTACCTCTGCTACTGCAATTCATCCGTTGTTTTATTTTACTTTCGAAATTCGAATCGGAAAATTTCGAAAGAAGTTTCGTTTGCCCGCAGTTCTCGACTGCCACCCTCGATTTTCGCGCGAAATGGACCACCCAGGCGAGCATTGGATCCCGTTTTCTCGGACCGCACACCGTAGCCACCCCTCTCACCGCTCGCCCCATTTCATATCTCACAGTAAAATGGCCGCCCTTTTTTGAAAAGCTTTATCTCGTTTGAATTAATATTAAAAATTTCGCAAGAGGCTGCTTGAAATCAGGTTCGAGAATGTGTTCCTGCTTTGCAAAATTCGAATTGTCGACGTTTTACCGCATTTTTCCTTTTACCCCCTTGCCGGGGGATTTTCGTACACCTTTTATGGAGCAATTTCTATTTGCTAGGCTGTTGCTGATGACACTTTCTTCGTTTTGATTAATTTATATGGCGTTTCCATCGATTAAAGTTAATTTTTCAGACTACAAGAACAATCAGGGCAACATTGGGATCCCATCGTCGCGATGTCGAACGCTCTGATCGAGGTTCTGCAGAGAACCGTGTCCAATAGTAAGCTTATTTTTGTGCGGCGATATGATTATTTTTCTTCTCAGATCCCGCCGACCAGAAACAAGCGCTCGATTTCTTGCAGGATGCAGCTGGGCGCGATTTTGTAAGTTTTGTTAGCAAAGCAAATAGTATTTATTTTACAGCCAAATTTCGTCAAAGAATTGTCGATTGTCCTGCAAGCCGCATCCGCCGAACAAGTTGTCCGCCAAGCCGCCGGTCTCCAGCTGAAGAACGTGCTTGTGGCCAAGGATGACGCGACGAAGGAACTCTACTTGAAGAGGTTTGTAATATTGGTTCAGTCGCATAGATGATATTTTAGATGGCTTCAACTGCCCGCCGAAAACCGAGATGTGGTGAAGAAGAACGTGGTGCTGACACTGGGTACCGAGCGAAGCCGTCCTTCAACTGCTGCACAGTGTGTGGCGGCAATTGCTTGTGCCGAATTGCCTCACGGGGTTTGCGCGTATTTGGCGTCTTCAACGTCTATTTTAGCTTTGGAATGAAGTAATCCAGTTCCTCATGCAGTCGGTCACTGATCCCAATAGCACGTCAGAGAAAAAGGAATCTTCACTTGAGACGCTCGGCTACGTTTGTCAGGATATCAAATCTGATGTTTGTGTTACTTTTTTGATGTATAATTTTTTTCTAGGTTCTTGAACGACAGTCTAACGAAATCCTCACAGCCATCGTCGCTGGATTGCACAGCAGCGAAAAGAGCAATCACGTCCGGCTTGCAGCCACCAATGCCCTTCTCAACTCGCTGGAGTTTACTCGTCGCAATTTTGAACACGACGTGAGTGTGACGATTAGTTTGCAGACTTTTTCCATGTTTAGGTGGAGCGCAATCACATTATGCAAGTCGTCTGCGAGACTTCACAGTCGCCAGAGCTCCTGGTGAAGGTGGTGGCTCTGCAATGCTTGGTCCGAATCATGTCTCTCTACTACCAAAAGATGGAGTCCTACATGAGAACCGCTCTTTTCCCGGTAATTTGTTTATTTCAAGTTTTCTTAGAATCCGGCAGCTCGAAATATGTTTTAGTATTTGATCATGGACGTTTTTTCAGATCACACTTGCCGCGATGAAAAGTGCACACAACGAAGAAGCACTGCAAGGCATTGAGTTCTGGAGCAACGTCTGCGAGGAGGAGATCGAACTGCAAGCCGAGGCCGAAGAGGCTGCCGAAAACAACCGCGTTCCCGAACAGACTTCCAAGCATTACGCGAAAGGCGCCTGCGCGTATTTGTGCCCGGTGCTTCTCGATAAACTTGCTCAACACAGTAAGTGGTCGGCTTTGTATCGATAACTGTTCTTTAGACGAGGACGATGATGAGGACGAATGGACACCGCCCAAGGCCGCTGGCGTCTGCTTGATGTTGCTTGCTCAGTGTGTCGGTGACACAATCATCGAATGCGTCTTGCCGTTTTTGCAGAATTTCGTCAGTCCGGATTGGAAGTAAGGGTTTATCAGAAAATTGGAAATTATGAGGTCCTTTTGATAACAACTTTTTTGCAGGTACCGCGAGGCTGCCATCATGGCTTTCGGTAGTATCCTTGACGGTCCCGATCCTGCAAAGCTCAATTCGCTCGTCTCACAAGCATTGAATCCGCTGATCCAGGCACTCGGTGACAGCAACGTGAAGGTTCGGGACACAGCCGCCTGGACTGTTGGACGCGTCTGCGAGATGGCCGGCGAGGTCGTCACACAGCCGGATGTCCTGCAGCTCCTCCTGCCCTCGATGTACGCGGCCCTCAAGCAGGAGCCACGCGTTGCCGCCAATATTTGCTGGGTAAGCTTATCGAATATTTAGAAATAACAATATTTATTTAGGCTCTCGTTGCCTTGGCAAAATCATCGTATGAAGACGCGGCCAATAAGCACGGCACTGACGGATCTGGTCAGCCGGAAACCTATGTGTTGTCGACCTGCTTCCAGGGCATCGTCAACGAATTGATCGTGACAAGCGAACGGTTTGTACATATGTGAATGTCAGAAACTTGGCTTTTTTAGACCGGACAGTAATCAAGCTAACCTCCGCCTGGCCGCCTATGAGACGTTGATGGAGATGATCAAGAACAGCCCCCGCGATTGCTACGGTATCGTGCAACAGACCACCATCGTCATGCTACAGAAGCTCGAGCAGCTGCTTATGATGGAGCAGCAGGCCACCAACCAGGCGGACCGGGTAAGTATTGTGTTTCATACGTTTATTGTTGGGATTTTAGGCACAAGCAATCGATCTGCAAGCCCTTCTCTGCGCCACTCTACAGTCTGTGCTTCGCAAGATACGCTCTGAAGATGCGGAACAGCTTGGCGAACCAATCTTGCGTGGTTTGATGCAAATCATGCAGCGAAGCCAGGGTCGTGCCGGAAATGTCATGGAAGAGGCCCTCATGGCTCTGGGTACATTGGTTGAAGGTATTTATTTTTCTGAAGACATGATCACACCCCGTTTTTAGCGCTTGGACAAAAGTTTGCCGGCTGCCTGGAACCGATCAAGCCGTTCCTTCTGCATGGCTTATCCAGTTTCGAAGAGCACACCGTTTGTACGGCTGCTGTTGGCGTCGTCACCGATCTTTGCCGGTATGCTCCGGGTTCTGTTTTTATCCTGTTTTTATTTAGCTCGTTAGAGGGACTTATCCGACCGATCCTTCCCGACATCATGCAGGTTCTGATCCAGTGCATTCGAGTAAGTTTTTATGACATTTCCGATGAACAATGATTTTAGGATCCGCGGCCCAGTCGTGATGTGAAAATTGCCGTATTGAGCGTGTTTGGTGATGTGGCATTGGCGATCGGCGTTGATTTCCAAATGTTTGTCGCCGGTTTACGCACCTTACCTTGTTTTAGTTACATAGCTCCGGTCGTTGAGCTTCTGCAGCAGGCCTGCAACTCTGCTGTGATCAACAATCCCGACGATATTGACCTTGTCGACTATGTTCATCAGCTGCGTGAAAACTGCATCGTTGCCTACACGGGAATCCTGCAGGTGTGTATTTCCCCCGATTATCAATCGTGATGTTTTCAGGGATTGAAGCCTGCTGATGGCGCGAGTCCGGCGGAATTCGAGAACGCTAAGCAAGTCATCGGCCAGTTGGTTCCTCACATGGCTCAACTTATCCATATGTAATTTTACGCTATTTTCCCCTGATCTTTCTTACAGGACTGCTGACAGTCAGCCCGTGTCTTCCCCTGAGTCGGTGGTAGCTGCCGCTGCCGGACTGGTCGGAGATATGGCAAATTTGTATGGGGGAGCCATTGTTCAGGTTCTCGACATGAATAAGGTATCGATTTGACCAATGAAAATTACGACTTTCAAAACATTTTCTACGAATTTGGTTGTGCGTAGCTCTTCTAAAATCGTCTGACCGCACAATCCGGATTTTTAGGTGAACGCCCTGCTGACCCGCGGTCGCCGCGCCCGTGCTTCCAAGACAAAAGCGCTGTGCAACTGGGCTAACAAAGAGCTTCGGAAGTGCAACGTCGCCGCTGCCAGCTAGATCATCTTCACCCCTGTCCCGTGTTGTGATTGTCATTAGATTAAATTGTGTATCATATTTATATCTCATTTGCCGGTCTGAGTCTGTGTGTCTGGTGTGTGTGAGTTCTATACCCCACCCGTTTTGCTCGGCGTTGTTGATGTGCTGTTTTGACTGTCACCACCGTTTCTGCCTCGACTCCGCCACACAGCGCTACATTTGTAGTAGGCATGTCCATGAATAGTCGCTTCTCCACTTCCTCATTCGACAACATGGCGCGCGCCTCGAAATTTGGGGAGTCCCTTCAAAATTGCTTCGTGCCCTCCCACCACCCCCACATTTGCTCAACACAAAAACGGCGCATATGCCCTCAATTTTTGCGCGGTATCTAAATTGCTAACTCTCATCTGGTCCAAAAGTGTCCCTCATCCCCCCACCGCCCCGCCCTGTCTTCTACGTATAAAAGATTGTGATAGAATTTCTCAAATTTTGGCAATTCCCCCCGTTGATCACCCGGTCCCACCCTCTGTCAGAATACGTGTGTGCGTTTGTTGGTCTCAACCTTGCCCCTTTGCTTTCGTGTAAACCGAGATCGGTTCATAAATTTTAAGACCCGTCGAATCCAAAATGCACACCACGATTATCGTTACTTACCCGCGATCGCCTCTTTTTGTTCACCAGGTACTGTGTGGAAACACCGTCTTACTGGGCGGTGAAGCTGTGTTTAGGGGGATTGCGCCCACAACGAGCAATGGTTGTTCACCGAGCATTATGTGTGCGAAGAACGCCGGGCTGTGGAACACGCCAGGGGTGCTTTTGTATAGGCACGCGCTGGTGATTACTTGTCCCGCCCGCCCGCTTGCTACCCAGAAACCAATAGGAGAAGCAGACCGAGGAGCTGGGATTTGCTGGATAGTTTGCTTTAGCATTTGTTACTGTGGTGGATCGTGAGAAATTCTTTTCTAGGCCTGTCATTTTTCGTGAACGATTTTTCTCGCATCCGAATTCGAGCGGACACGCTTGCTGGGGAGGGAGGCGCATCATTGTTTGGCCGATAAGCCGATTGCCAATTCATGAGCAGGAGAGCTCTACCCGCCTCCCCAATACAGCAACCCAATGCCGTAAAAGTAGGACCAGTTGTCTGTCCGTTCCCCCATCGACATCTCCACGTTAATTCCTATGCTCTCGTCATTCCCTTTACGCAGACTGGAGCTTTTTCAGTCTAGGCACCAGTCAGGGTCAGCGGAAGGTGCCAGACGAGTTGAATCATCCCCCCAATGGACCCCAGGAAAAACGGGCCGAGCACCATCACCCCCAGTCCGTGTGTGCCGCGCATAAACTGTTTGCGGGCCGGATTAATCGCAGCAGAAGCGCCGTCACACGAATCCCCCCCCTCGCCTTCCTCGCAGCACCAGCCGGCCGGCCACCTGCACACATCGGTTTCTCTGGTTTTGCTGGCGATCAGCCCGAATGCCAACTTTTTGGGTTCTGGACTATTAGCGGGGGAGCTAACTTTGGCCTATCCTCCCGTAGGGTCCTGCTGATGAGACACGCGATTTAGATAGGCTTTACGCCGCGTTTAAGTCCTAAGTTTCATAAAGCATGATTTTGGCCATAAACTAAGAAAATTCAAAATTTTGATTTTTTTTTCAATTTTTTGTGACGTATTGGACTATTAAAAACTTTATAAAAGGTATAGGTAGCTTTTCCGCCCCGCCAAGAACCATTTTGCAGTCAATTCTTGGACGCGATGTCCGAGTTGTCATTTTCAAGCCTAATCTACAGTCTGCCCAACTGAGGAGCTTATTTTGCAATTTCTCGGTAGGTAGATGCGGTTAAAACTTACGATAATCCCTGCGCTCGCATTCACCTAATGCCTTGAGAACTATTGTGGACGGGGGCGGGGGCGGGGGCTAGGTGCTGAGGGTAAGGGGGATTTGGCCGGAGATATGATCAACGCGCCAATATGGGTCACATGGTTGTGCTATTCGGAGCATGACCTCGGCGCCTTCCTGCCCCCTCTTCGGATCTTGTCGTTGTTCCTATCGATTTGGATTTGAGGTTGCCCCGTCATTTCCGTATTTATTTACCGGACACTAGTGTACTTGCAATATTCAGATTTTCGCACCGCTCGTAGCATAACTCGTATAGAACGGTTGGCTGGCTCGACTCGTACCCCCCACTAACCATGCACCTCTGGACGTTTATGGGGGAGCAGGGGCGTGCGGGGTGGGCGAAAATAGTGTCCGAGACAAAGAACGTCGCGGCGCGCAAAAGATGTGCGCAGTCTCCCGCTTTCGCTCGCTCGCCCCCCGGTCAGTCCTCCCATTGAAAGTCCTTCTTTGAATTGGCGCCAAAGTGCGAGCCCTAGCGCGCCCCTTCGCGCTGCCTCAAAACTCTACCACCCCGTGTGAGCGGCTGGAAATGGTGATCCCTTCTTTTGGTCATACACCTGTGCCGGTCAGCTGTGCATACTTTGAGTGCCCTAGCTCCTAAACCCCCTGCCATATCTCGCACCCAATTTTGGGTAGTTGCCAAAGTATTACCGGTTACCAATTTTTTTTCCCTGGCGGCCCCGGTTGGCCTAGTAATCAAATACAACGTGTTTTTGCATTGTTTCTAGTAATTTTAACTAGTTAAAGGTTTTTAGCAAAACTTAAGCCTATTTGAATCGGAAAAACTTTTTAAAAGGTTAGAAAAACGCTTGAAAAAGTCGAAAATTTGGTCATTTTTGGGCCGAAAAAATCGATTTTTCGACCTAAAATTAAAATTTTTAATTAAATTTTGTAAAGTTTTTATGTTTAGGAATAGCTATAAACAATTTAGAAACACTTCCACTATTGATATAAAAAATCTAGGCTTAGGCCAAAAAAAGTTCAGTTCCCCCCGCGAATTCTTTCCCCCCCGGGAATACTCAAGAACCGAGTTTGTAAAAAAAAGTCCAAAATTTTGCCATTTTGGCTGGAAAAAAACAATTTTTCGACCTAAAATTAAAGTTTTAATTGAACATTTGTAAAGTTTTTATGCTTAGGAATGGTTACAAAACAATGTAGAAACGCATCTGCTATTTATAAAAAATTCTGGCTTGCATCGCAAAAAAGTTGATCCCCCCGCGAATCCTAAAGAACCGTATTACCTAGTCCAACTGATGACTCGTAGGAGCTGCTTTACTTCCGGGCCCACTCATCACTACTGTTTTCCCGGGATCTTGTAGCAGCTTTGTTGACTGTCCACATACAATCCCCCCTCCACCCCCTCTTCAACATTCGCGGCTTATCAGAAGGCGGCATTTCTTTGCCCTAGTGTCAACACAAATGGTCATTACGCCAGTGTGGAATGTGCGAATGTCGATGATTCCCCCTAAAAGGAATGTGACCCCATCGATGGGATCTTTAAAAAATTCCGCTGAAATCATTTTGTCTCTTTCTTCCCGTCACTCCTTGGCGAGACACAACTTCCGAAAACATTTTCTCATGCAGCATGGTAGGTGGGGGAAACTGGCACAACGTCGCATTTCAATCGTTCTATCTTTTTATATAGTTTCAGACTTTTTTGAGATTGCTCAAGTGTTTGCTTACCTTTTGAAGATTTGATGAAAAATTACCTCTATCTGAAGCTGAAGTATCTATTGAACCTCGCAATGGCTATAGGAGGATTTAGCTTAGCTTCCGATGCTTTTCGTGGTCTTTTGATTTCCGTCGAATAGCCGTACTTCTCAATCTCGGAAACGCCACATCCTCCGAATTCCGGCCGTTTTTGACGCGCCCGCACGGTCGGGTGACACTTCTTCGTGGGTCGCTGTTCCTTATTCGGACCACGGTTGGAACTGTTGGTGTTCGGTATCGGTGTCGCGGCGGGGACGACAGCTGAGTACACGGCGGCGATGGCCGGGGCGCTTCGCCTTTTCGGAGAGGAGAACCGTATCGATCAGCTCGCGCATCCCCGCCAACGAAATGGCAAGCGCTTTTTAGCACTGTCAAAGACCGTATAAACAATTTTGTGGCCCTTTCCGACCTGGCTGGGTTTTCACTCTATTTTCTAAGTTGCTTGCTTCAAGCTTTTTGATATTATAAAAAATGGCAAACACTTCGTTTAGCTATTTTTCATTCAATACTTCATTCATTGCCCAATTTTCTGGACATGCTGAATTTCAAGGAACCGATATGCCTTTTTATGACCACTTCCGCCCGTCCTTTTAACTAGACCGCGTGTTGCTTGCATTTATGGTTCTCACTTCAGCGCGTAAATGCCCCGGTTGCCAGCAGTTGGGATATGAAATCCGGTTGCTTCCTCGCAACCTTTCGCTTTTGGGGCACATAAAATTTGCTCGTTCTTCTGCTAGGCAATCCGAGATTTAGCTCTTCTTCTAATTCCTGACCAACCTGACCTTGCTTCTTTCTTTACTTCCTTCGTGCTGTTTTTTTTAAACTTCATAATTAACCCCGAATTTTTGCAGATAAGCGTCCTTTGGCATTTGGTACATCGCAGTTCCGGATCCTTGCGTCGCACACAACAGCCATGGCCGATGATTACCAGCTGCAGTCGAATGGACATGGAGGAGAGTTGGTGAAGAAGCCTCTCGTCCAGCTGTACGTCAAGGTTGGATTCTCCTTGTAGCGGAAACCCTTGCTTTTTAGGCCAGTGGCATCGACAGCAGACGGATCGGCGCTTGCCTTTTCTGCCAGGAATTTTGGATGGAACTTTTTGCTCTCTACGAGTTGGGAGTGGTGCGCGTTGAGGTGAGGAGATCATCTTTTATTTTTAGCTGGATTTTAGGTGAAAACGGTGAATGTGAACTCCGAGCCGTTCAAAAAGAGCTTCTTGGGAGCCCAGCCTCCGATCATGCTCGAGGAGGAGAAGTGAGTGTATTTTTGGGAGGTTTCTTTCACTTTCCAATATCCAGGCAAGCTCAATACACTGACAATCGCGAGATCGAGGGCCGCATTTTTCACATTGCCAAGGAGTTCAACGTGCCATTGTTTGAGAAGGATCCGGTTGTCGAGAAACGGATTGAAAGCTTCTACAGGGTATGCATTTCTAGTTTTCCCCCATATACGCGTTTTTTATAGAACTTCAAACTTTTCCTGCGCGCTAAAACCGAGCACGACAAGGGTAAGCGGGAGCCCAGCCCGATCGAGTCGATCCCTCCGCAGATCAAGACTCACTACAATCGTGTTGTTGAGCAGCTCGCTGGAATTGACGAGGTAATTTTTGGGCTTTAGTATTCCCATAACCCGCGCCGAATCAATCTCACGGTGTTTTGAGAAAATGTGCCTTTTAGCTCTTGCAAGACCGCGGCTCTCGCTACCTGCTCGGTGATAGCATGACGGAATACGACTGCGAGCTGATGCCTCGTCTGCACCACATGCGTATCGTCGGCCATAGGTATCGAAATCCCTCCGCTTTCCTCAAAGTTCTTAGGTTGCTCGGCTTCGACATTCCGCACAATCTGACCTATCTATGGAATTATGTGCTCACCGGATACCGTACGGCCGCTTTTATCGAAAGTTGCCCCGCCGACCAGGATATCTTGCATCACTACAAGGTGCGTTTTTCGGTAAAACCAAGAGGTTTTGTTTTCAGAAGTTTCTTCCGAATGAAGTAGGGGTGAATTTGTCTTTTTATTTTGATTTTTAAAAGTTTACGCTTACTTGATTCTCTTCAGCTCAAATTTCGCGGCTCGTCTTGAATTCTCAAAGCCAAAATCTCGCACTCTTGCTACCGCTTCCGACCCTTATACTTTCCAAAACAACCCATTTCAGGAACAACTGAACCTGTTCACGAATCAGCGTGAGACCCTCCAGGAGCCGACGAAGACGCACACGCTGCCCGAAGACGTTCTCGATTCGATTCGTCGTCTCGGCCTCGACACAAAATAGCCGTCGCGCCGTCGCAAGGCTTTTTTATAATTTTCTCTTTTTGCCCTCTCCGCCCCCACTTCTAGTTACCCAGGTTTTGATTCCTTTTATCTGACGCATGGCCCGTGATTTTTGGCGGTGGGTGTAGTGGGGTGGCTTTTTGCTGTCCACATAAACATTAGTCGTCAAAATTCGCGTAGTTGTTCTCAAACTCGCTGGCACAGTCCCCTAATTGTCAGTGTCGTCCATTCCCGCAAAAAACATTCTCCTCGCTTTGCCACCATTTTCCTTTGCATGACCATCTGGTCGGTTTGTCGTTTGCCAATCAGGGCGTTTCGGTTTGATTCTAACAAAGGCGACTATCGGAATGAGTTCGAGTCACTGGAGCACGCATTCACCTTTTGAACCAAGCCGACTCGTTCCTTTAAATTATTCCCGTGAGACGTCAGATAATCGATCTTCGAAAGTATATCCCGTACCCCGCGCGAGATAAGCACTTTCTTTGCAAAATTTAATCGTTGCCTTGTCGCTCGTACCTCTACAGCCCTGTACCCTCTTTATCCGGGGCTGGGCCCAATATCTATTCCCGCAAAGACATCAAACGATTTGTCATCTCGCCTCCATTAAATTCCACAAATCGAATCAACAATCCCCCTATTTGCTCTTGCCATCGAATCCGAGTTGTCAGCTTCATCACTTATTTGCTGCTGCCCAATTTCCCGTGGGCAAACGATCGCGTCGTTCTGTTTTGTTCGGTTAAATTATCCTTCGATATATAAAAGTTTTGAGTCATTTTACGCACCATTCATTCATTGCACGTGGCGGATTTGCGGAAGTTGATCGGGGTGGCCATTTCTATTTCACAAACAGGCCCGTGCCACGATGTGGGTGCATTGTGTGAGGAGATAGGTGAGGAAAACAACTGCCACTCCTAGCGCTGCCTCGGCGAGCATTTGTAGCTTTAGCTGGAGGGGCAGCAGCGATTGCACCGAGAACATCTTTATCCTCCCCGCCCACCGACACACGGACACACCTAGTCAAGCCCCCGTATCGATGGGCCGTTGGCAAATGCATTTTTGGTCTTTGAACATTATCGTTTAATTCCCTTTAAAGCCGTTTTTTATAAGTGATAAAACCTGGTTAAGATTTTTGCGATCTAGATGTCGTTTGAGAACGACGAGTCGCCGTACTGCATCGATTTCACAAAAAATATCGTGAGTGGCCGTGCAAAAGCCGACTAAAGATGTAATGTTCAGGGCCGAGCCAATAAATGCTTGGACAAAAATTCGCAGACGATCCCCGACCTCATCTACCTGAAGGCACGGATAAAGGATAGAATCGCGTTGGCTTTTGATGCTGAGAAAGTCGGGCTGACGTTTGAGAAATGTAAAACAGAGGTTTGATTTTTTTTATTATGTCCGAAGTTTATGTTTATCAAATTTCTGCCATCGCGAGCGGAAAACCCTCGAATTTTCAGATGGAGACTATAGCCGCTGGGTTCTTGGCTTGTGGGCTGAAGCCGGGCGATCGGATACTAATTGCCGGTTCAAATTATTCACAGGTTAGACAAAGCTAACAAGGTTTTTAAGCTATTTTGTAATTTTGCTATGTGCAATAGCTCATTCGATAGAGCTTCAAATTCTGAACATGTACCGGCTTTCAAAAACCCCCGAACGACTACGGTTTTTGAGAAAATTCGCTCTGAAGGGGCCGATTTTGAGCATTTTTGGCCCCCGCTAGACAAAATGCGAACTTTGAGAAACTTATTTTCGAAGACCGTAGTCGCTCAGCCGTTTTGAAAGATGGGACTGGTACAGAATTTCAAACTCTATCGAATGAGCTATCTCACATAGGGCTCGGAAGCCAGATGATTTCTAGGTATTCTTATGCGCACTCGGCGCATCACGAGCTGGACTTATCTTCACACTGGCTAACCCGGGATTCCCGAATTCCGAAGTATTCGCCAACATTTTAAACAAGGTCGGTTGGCGTTCGATCCTCAATATTTTTATTTCAGGGTGCCTACAAAGCAGTCGTTTGTTTTCCGGTGGCCAAATTGCGCGAATATCTCTATGGTATCAATTTATTATACAAAATTTTTTATTTCTATAATAGTTACGTCTACTATATCTGATATTGTAAAAAGGTCATTCTCTAGGGCTTCTCCTCGAGCTTCACCCCGGGATTAAGGTTTCTGAAAGAGGAAATATCCAGTCAGAGGCCCTACCCACACTCACCCACATCTTTCTTGCCGAGGAGGACTGTGCCCATGCGTAAGTTTTGCAGATATTTTTATTCTTTTATTTTAGTGGATGTTTCACGCTCTCTGATGTCTATTTAAAAGCGACGCCGGAAATGTTGAAACGGCTTCCATCGCCCAATTCGTTCGATGAGAATCGGGTGGCTTGTTTGCAATTTACTCAGGTCGGTGGGAAAAGTGGCACTTTATCGTATTTTAACTTTATTCTTTATTTTCCCTGACTTTAAGACATGATTTTATATAGGTTTTTTAGCCTCGGCACTATATTGTACTTTTTAGGGTGGTTCCGGCGAGCCGAAACTCGTCGCACTGACCCATTTTCAACTGTTGAACGGTGCGCGAGCTGTTGTACATGCATTTAAGGTTAAACGAGAGGTGCGTTAAGTAAATTTTGATACTTTAGTCTTTCGTTTTATGCTATTCGGAATTTTATGTTTAAAACGCAAAGATCAATAGTTCTTCTAATTCCAGCACATCCTCTCCTGTGCGCTACCGCTCTTTCGGATTCCAATTTTTACGCTTTGCTGCCTGGCCCCATTCCTGACAGGTCAGTTTCGTGACTAACAAGGAGAGCTTTTTAGTGTCCACGGAGTTTCGAAATCCAGCCAAGCTTATTTTGTGCAGAATTTTTCGCTGATCAAGATGCACTTTTCAGAATCTGCGAAACCGCAAAAGTTATGAAGCTTTAATGTGTGAAAAATGTGAAAAATGGCAAACTTTTACCGCTTGTCGTCCTTTAAAGCGTCAAAACTTTCTTGTTTTGGTCGTTTCTCAGCTTCTGAAAACGAGGTTTTAATCAGCAAAAAAAGAATTCTGCACAAAAGAGGCTTGGTCCCATTTTTAAACCCAGTGGACACTAAAAAACGCCTCATTGTAAGAGCATTATACTAATATGGTTTTCAGAATGCCGTACCGTATTCCCCGAGCCATCGCCTTTGCCGCGGAATCTCTATCAGAGCATTCAGAAATATCAGTATTAAATTTATGAAAAAGCAATATGATAATTTTAGATGTACGACATTGATCACAAACGGTGCGGCCCTACGGCTACTGCTGAAGGTCTCCTCGGCGAGCAAGGCCAAGCTCGCCTCCATCCAGCGGTTGATGCTCATCGGCGAGCGGGTTGGTCACCTTTAAAAATTTCGAAGTGTCCTTATTTTTATGATTCATTTACCAAAATTATCTATAAAATGTGTTTCAGGTGCCCCAAGAATTGCTGTTCACCATCAAGAAGCAGTGCGTGAATGCGCAGATCATTGCGGTAAAGTGGAAAGGTGCGGTCAAAAGGTCGAATTTTAGGTGGGGTATTTGTTGACGGAGACCGGGTCGATTCCGATAATGGCCGACGAGCAATGCGATTTCCGGAAAAATGTTGGGCGAGCGATTGCCGGATATGAGGTATGGTTCGGCTTAGGCAGACTTAGGTTTGGCTTCACTGAGGCATCGATTTTTCCTTATTATAAGCCGTAAGCCTTTCCTTCACTCCCTAACTCTGGTTTTCCACCCACCATATCGACTTTTGGCCTTCGCGCGGGTGGAACGGCCTTTATGTTGCATTTTAAAGGGATAGGCTGACTCATCTGGGTAGAATGGGCCCCCGTCACGCACATTTACGAGCACCATAGATCCACTGTCGATAGGGGCATTAAGTACCCTAACTGACGGAATGGTGTAGATAGCGCTTCCCCAAATAGTCTCTGCTAGTTACCCCCAGAATTTTATAAAATTAAAAACCCTTATTTATTTTCTACAGGCCGACCTCGAGCCGATTGCAGACGCGTCGCTGTTCGCCAGCGGGTTGGGCGAGCTGAAGATACGCCCATTCCAGGTAAGCCTGGGCTTTAAAGGGACGGTGAAGGCAGGTGGAAAGGTTCTGGACTGTCAGCGGGGGGAATCAAATTTTTCCTTGTGATTCTCTATGGCCCGATAACAAAATATAAACCATTTTTATAGCACTTTAAATAGCTTTTCAGATATAAAAACAATACAAAAACATTTTTGTTGTTTTTTTTTGGTAAAAAATGTACGAAAAACGATCAAAAAAGGTAAAAATTTGGAATCTAAAAATTAAAAATATGTTACATAACTTTCTAGCAATCAAAAACTACTAAAAACACCATAAAAATACATTATTGATCAACACGGGTGTTTATCAACTTCAAAAGGCATCAACAACAATAGGTGGAAAAGCAGAAGTGGTTTTGCCCCTGCTAAAAATCCCCCCCCCCTCCCCGTTAACAGTCCAGAACCGGTTTTAGTGATAAAGTGTCCGGTTTTCGAGCGCATCACTCAGTTCGAATCCAGCTAGGGGATCATCCTTGCTTTTTGCTGAAAAGGCTCCGATTACTTCAGGGTAGCACCTTTGCCGGCTACTCGCCGAAATTGGCGGCGAATGAGGAGTGGATCTACACGGGCGATATCTGCCGCCGTGACTTTCAGGGGAATTTTGAAGTGGTTGCCCAGAAGGAGGATTTGATCTATGATGCGGTAAAATAATTTGAAATCTTTTAGATATTTTTTTAGGGCAATCGCCTGGTGCGACACTGGGATACGGAGAAGAACTTGATCCGCAGCGAGCTGTTGAAGGGATGTCAGGTTGGGAATTTTTGCCATAGAGCCGTAGAGCCTGGCAGAGATGTTTTGAATTCGTGGCCCTCTAGCATAGAATCTTTTGGTAATTACTCGAATTTTAGCTGGTCTCGGTGGCGCCGGGCGAGCCGATGATAGCCGTGTGTGTCTGCAAGAATCAACAATCGCATCTACACTTTGTCCGCAGCGAGCTGCTCAAAATTTGTAACAATGCGAAGGTAAGGTACATCGGACTACTCCGCTCCGCCGAAACGCGCGCGACCTGGCTCACTACGCCCAAAATCGCGCAAAAAGCCGTTTTTCCTACCAGATTACTAAAATCTATTTTTAAGTATGAAAATGAAGTTTTTAAATTCGAATCTTGATCAATTTTGGGGTTCCTGACCCGCTCTTAAAAAAAGGGAGGAGAAAAAAAAAAAAAAAAAAACCCAACCAAAATTACCTAAATACCTTCCCGATGGCTTAAGATACCCCCATGGCTGAAATCCCCTTCAAAACTACCTAAATACCTTCCCCGATGGCTTAAGATACCCCCCATGGCTGAAATCCCCTTCAAAAACTACCTAAATACCTTCCCGATGGCTTAAGATACCCCCCATGGCTGAAATCCCCTTCAAAAATTACCTAAATACCTTCCCGATGGCTTAAGATACCCCCCATGGCTGAAATCCCTTCAAAAATTACCTAAATACCTTCCCGATGGCTTAAGATACCCCCCATGGCTGAAATCCCCTTCAAAAACTACCTAAATACCTTCCCGATGGCTTAAGATACCCCCATGGCTGAAATCCCCTTCAAAAACTACCTAAATACCTTCCCGATGGCTTAAGATACCCCCCATGGCTGAAATCCCCTTCAAAAACTACCTAAATACCTTCCCGATGGCTTAAGATACCCCCATGGCTGAAATCCCCTTCAAAAACTACCTAAATACCTTCCCGATGGCTTAAGATACCCCCCATGGCTGAAATCCCCTTCAAAAACTACCTAAATACCTTCCCGATGGCTTAAGATACCCCCATGGCTGAAATCCCTTCAAAAACTACCTAAATACCTTCCCGATGGCTTTAGATACCCCCCCTAGCCGAAATCCTCACTAAACCTTAAAAACAAAAATAACGACCGACCGGATGGAATGATAGAAAAAAAGAAATGAAATCCCCCGTGAAAATTTTCATCCACGAAACGCGCGCGACCTGGCTCACTATGTCCAAAATCACCCCAACCTCCGTCCCCCACCCCTTTTACTAAGGAAAAAACTTTCAATGTTAATTTTAATAAATTAAACTAAAAGTTTTTCATAATTTTTTTATCAGTTTGGGGGTTTCTGACGGCGCTCGATCCGAATCCGAAGAGAGCTAAGCTCTAGCTCCTTTCCCCTTCGAGTTGAATTCGGCTTCACACAGACGGACAGACGGACGCGTCAAGAAAATTATTATAGTTGATTGGAATCCTAAGTTCAAAGCAAAAACTCATCGATTCACCTAGGTGCCGATCCCTCAGTTGTGGGCATTTGTCGATGATTATCCAAGGGTGAATTGCCGCATTCAAAAATGGAAACTACGCCAGATGATCCGCGACAATTTGTTTCCAGTTTTCTAATCATTTAAAATCGTCAACTAATTTTTATAATAATAAACATTAACTTAAATTTGCATTATTACATCGACACGAAAATATACAATTTATTCCGCGTAGCACCACGAACAATTACAAGCACAATTTAGCAGGCATACATTTAGATTATTTTTTGACCGAAAATTGAGGATAAATGGAAACAACGAGAGACCACGTGTCACCGAATGATCTGAAAAAAGTGATGGGGCGAGGGGCAGCAAAAACGACAAAAATCATGGTGGCAAAAATTCGAACATTTTTTAAGTAATTTTGGCCTGAGGAGGGTTGTAAAGGACTCGAATACAACACTTGAAATTAGCACAAAAATTGACGATTAAATACGGGCAAGAAAAAGCGTGAAAAACAGGGCAAGAAATAGTGAAGCGGATGCCGGGCTGCCGGAATCGTCCATCCCGAGTGGAGCCGTCTGAAAAATGGGGGGTACTGGCCGGCTTGGAGAGATTTTTAGGGAAATTTTGGGTTAAAGGTGGAGGAGGGCACTTGACTAAAATATAAATTTCGATTTTGTACAGCTTTAAAATTGGCAAAAGTCGAAATAAAATTAATTTTTTCTAAAGTCCTAAAACCTTCAAAAGCGGATCAGAAATATTAGCTATCAAATTTTCAAATAAATTTAATAGTGTATAATAATTAAAATTTAATTTATGTTTTAAATTTAAAATAGTTTTATTTAATTTTAATGAATTAATAAATGCATAATAATTTTAAAATTTTCACAACTTCAAATATAAATCTTAATTTTATTAAGCTAAAATCGTCGAAAATTACCTTAATTAGCGCCTAAACTTTAATGTTTTTAGCTCGAAAAACCCTTACCGCATCCGGATAGTCCTCCTCCGCCTCCTCCCGCTCCCTCTGCTGTTGCTCCAGCTTGGCGCGCTCCATTTCGCGGGCTTTCCGGTCTTTTTCCGCCTAAATTCGTAGGATTACCATCTTTTCATAGCGTAATCGATTACCTGCTCGCGCTCAATCCTGGCCAGCCTCTCCTCCTCCATGATCCTTTGGCGCTCCTTCTCGCGTCGCCGTTGCAACATGTGCTTTCTAAAAAAATTCCTTTCGGCTCTCCGCTAGCTTGCCCACCTTCTAAATCCATAGGACACGTCATTATGCCCCTCCTCATCCTCGTCCCATCCTTGTTCCTCATCCTCATCCTCCTCCTCAACCTCCTCTACCTCCTCTTCATTCCCCTGTTTCGCCTTCCTCTCCGCCTCTTTCCTCCGCTTCTCCGCATCGGCTCGTGCTCGTTCGCGCGAGTTTTGAGGGGTGGTCTCATCGCCTGGCTCGTCTTCCTCGTTGTCCTAAAGTTTTTTTTGATGCTTGGGATTGGGGAATCGGCTCTGTCACGATCCCTTTAAACTGGACAGCACCCTTACCATTAAAGCCTCTTTCTCCTCGTCTTCGAGGATGAGGTTCAGCCGGAAGTCCTCCTCGCGCATTTCTTCGGAAATTCGGCGTTTTGCTTCCTGGAAATGGTGATGCTCAGGGGTAGGCTTACTTGGGGAGCCCGAGTAAACCAGGTCTCAGAAATGGCTGAAGATCGTATAGCTACTTTCTAAATCGTAAACCTCATAATATGATGGTGTGGTAGTGGTGGTGGTGGTAGTGGTTGTTGTGCGGCTCGTGCTCGTCGTGGTCATCACTTTATGGTGTTTATGATGATGCTTATGTTGATGTCTATCCCCATCCCCTTCTGCCAGTCGATAGGCCTTTAGCGTAGTGGCCGGCGGGTCGGTGGGCAGCAGTTCCGCCACGATACGCTTGTCGACGATTGGCGATTTGTGCACTTTGCCTTTGACCTGGAATTTGGTGGGTAGGTGGGATGGGGACGGGACGGGTGCTACTTTTGGCTTAGGCTTACGCTTACCCCGTAGGCTTAGGCTAAGCTTAGACTTAGGCTTGGGCTTGGCTTAGAATTAGGCTTAGGCTTAGCTTAGGCTTAGCTTAGGCTTAGCTTAGGCTTAGGCTTAGTTTAGGCTAGGCGTAAGCTTAGCATTTTTACTAGAAACAAAGGCTACACGTTCCACTAGGGGTGCGAAACATAACCGTGCTCACATGAACCTTTCCGGTGACCCGATGCCGATGTTGTGTGGGTGTAGTGGCCGTAGTGGAGGTGGTGTGCATAGTACTCGTCGTACTGCTTGTGCTCATCCCTTTGGTCACCTTCAGCGGTGTCGCCCGTCTTGTCGGCTTTTCCGTCGTTGTTGCCGACGTCGTCGTCGTCGGTGCGACCCTTTTCTGGGTGACCTCGGAGATCTTTCCGGTTTTCACCTTTTTCGTGGCGATGCCTGAATTTAACGTGAAAATTTGATGAACAAGCGGACCTTCAGTTTGAGGCGGCTTCTGAGGTGTGTCTTCTTTTGGTCCTTGGGTGAAGCTGTCCTGCCATCTCTGGAACACGGCTTAGTTAGGGGTATTTTGGGGGCTTTAGTTAGTCTAAGGACGACGCGGTCACAAAGGCTGTTTTTGGACTCTAGAAACTACCTGCCGGCCGGCGAGGAGTTGCTGAAATTAAGGAGAGAATGAGGTTTCTTTCTATCTATTTATTTATGTCGCTCTCTCTCTCGCTCTCTCACTCTTTCTCTCTCGCTGTCTCTCTCTCTCTCTCGCTCTCTCATGCTCTCTCTCTCTCTCTCTCTGTGATCTGTCTCTCACTCTCTTTCGCTCTCTCTCGCTCTCTCTCTCTATCTCGCTCTTTCTCTTTGACTGCCTCTCGCTCTCTCGCTTTTTTCTCTCTCTCGCTCTCTCTCTGTCTCTGTCTCTGTCTCGTTCTCTCTCTCTCTTACACTCTCTCTCTCTCTCTTCTCTCACCTGTACGGCTAGATTCCCTCCCTTTTCGAAAGCATGATAGAGTGCCCGGCTCGTCTCCGGATCGTTGCACCCATCCCTCCCTCCACACCAACATCGCACCGATCCCGCTTTCTTCCGCACGCAACCTGAACGTCATCTGGAGCATCACGTCGTCATTAAAGGGACTTGACGTCAGGGATCTAGGCTGTGAAGGACCCTAGACCCCTACCTTCAGCGTCCCTTTAAACGTAGCTCTATGCTAATCACGTGACTCCACTACGCGGGTAGGGGAAATTTTTGAGCTCCAAAAAGAAATCGGGGTTTCCAGGATTACAAAATTGATTCGATACCATGTTTCAACGACTGCTTGTCCACTGCAAGCCAAAAAAGTCATTAGTACTCTTACGGACGTGGTTAGTCTTATAAAACTGTTTTTCTGACTCGCTAAAACCCACCGGAAGCCGGATGTCTGATAATTCCTTTTGAAAGTTTTGTAAGAGGTTTCGAAATTTGGGTGAATGTTAGATGTGTATATTCGAGCAGTTAAGAGGGAATTAAAAAACTTAAAAAAACTAAACTAAAACTTTGGAATTTCTAATGCCAGGATTTCACGTGCGAAATTTACCTGCTACGTGCGTGTATTCACCGGGCAATACGCAGGCCAGCTGATTACGATCGTATAAGCGGCTGTATTCGTACCTGAAATTTTATAGATTACGATAGGAAATGAGAAACTATTTTTACGGGGTTCAATGCCTAAGTCAAGCCTACGGCTAAGCTAGACTAAGTCAGAACTTAAGCCTGAAGACGACGCCCAAGCCAAACCAAGCTTTAGAAAGGTCTATGTTAAGCCTAAGCCAAGCCTAAGCCAAGCCTAAGCGGGGCCTATACAAAGGCTAAACAAAGCCGAGGCCGAGTCTAAGCTGAGCTTAAGCTAAGCCAAGCCTAGCTAAGCCCAAGCTAAGCCCAAGCTAAGCCTAAGCCTTTGAAACCCACCACTGTATCGAGTCACGGTCGACCTTAATTCTGCATCCAATCGCCCGGGTCGGACACTCTTCTGAGACCAGTCCAAAGCCTGAAACAAAGAATTTTGAAAAAATACGCTTTTTAACCCTTTTACTTTTTCACTATTTGTTGCGTAATATAAAATTTCATAAAATAATCTTCGTTAAAAAAGGAAATTCGGACTCAGATGGCCCCTGTGCCACAGTCTTCTCACATTTGTGGCCCCCAAACCGGCGGGGGCCGTCAATAGGCACGTTCTCGTCATCGTCCACCCCGGCCGGGGGTCGAACCCGGGTTGCTTGGGCTGAGAGTCTGGGGCACCACCCAGTACACTACACCGGTAGGGGGGACTAGGAGGCGGGCACATAGCTATCAGCCTAGATTCGGGTATGAGGGACTATTAATGCATGAATATTGTCGTATTGCAATTCTTTAAAATTACGACTGCTAGAAAAATTCACAATTTTATAAAAAAGCTTTTGAAATTGCGTAATTCCATTTGGAATAGAATTTTCTAACCAAAATATTGTAAACCTAAAAAGTTATCGCTAAAAACTGATTTTTCGGAAATGCTGGTACTCATTTTTGGCGATGTTTTCGCAATTAAAATGCAGATTTTCAGTAATTTTCCGAAAATTGGTCATTTTCGGGCCGATTTCTGCCAATTTTTTAATAAAAAGTGATCAAAAGGCGGAATTTAGACGTCATTTTCGTAAAGCGAAGAATTCCTGCGGGTGGAAAAAAGTGCACTCTTCATTTTTGCTAAGCATTTCGAGGCCAAAATCCGTCAAAATCCTAGTGAAAGTGGCAAAATAAACCTTATTTTCGTTATAACCTTTTTGTTTTACAATATTTTGCTTGGAAAATTCGACTGCAAATAATTTTTATGGGTCCCCATCGATGGTAGAAATTGGTCCCGATCCGATAGAAAACGGCCAAATGCCGAGGGGATTTTTTTGGACACCCTGTCTATGCAAATCTAGGTCGATAACATTTGATGATAAAATTCGTGGTTTAAGTTGTTTAAAAATTTTCCGCTTTTCCCGACTTTTTCGCAAATAATTTGGTACCCCCCGGCTTATGCTCCAGCGAACACCCGTCGGAAAAAGAATCCATCCGCGTGGTCATCGCTCATCGTATACATTTTCATGTTTCCTTCTCCCTCCCTCCCCTTGAAGGCCCCCAAAATTCCCCTTGGGACGTCGAATCATCGAGATTCCGGACAACGCCCTTCTGGACGTCACCCCCCAAAAGCCCAAAACTCGAAGCAGATGACGGATGATTGGGGAAAATTCGGAGGGAAATTAGAGCGGCTTCAAAGGCTTTGCTTGGGCTTCGCTTAGGCTTAGGCTTAAGCGTAGGCTTAAGCTTCGCTTCGGCTTAGTGTAGGCTTAGGTTTAGGCTTAGCCTTAGACTTCAATTAGGATTGGGCTTAGGCTTATGCTTAAGCTTAGAGAGCGGCTTAGGCTTAGGCAAAGGCTTTGGCCGAGGCTTGGCTTAGGCTTGGGCTCAGCTTAGGCTTAGCTTAGGCGTAGGCGCAGTCATACGAATCCTACAGAACCACGTGTTTCTGCTAGCTTGCCAAAGTCTCAAATCGTCTCTGCTAGCCTTCCACCTTCGAAAATATTGTTTTGAAGCGCTCCGCCAATCGTTAGGCCAAACTCAGCGCATACCTTCCAAAAATCGCTGCTCGTTTGCCCCTATCGCTCCCCGGAAAGCCCCGGCGATAATCTGCCGGCTTGTTTATCTCCCTTTCGTGTGGTGTCAGTCTCAAATTGCCCCGTCAGCCTCCCCCCTAGCCGAAAAGCCGAAAAAGGGTGGCCCAGTTGCCCCGTGGGAGCGATTGCGGGTCGCGCAGATTGCTCATTTCGGGTGGGGGCTCCTTCTTTCTGGGCCCTTGCCTTAGGGTCCACTGCTGACAATGGGCCATCTCGAAAGGGGCCAATCCCCTGACACGCAACCTCGGCTGGTGGCTGTGCCAAAAGTTTCAGCGTTCCCGAAAAAGGGTTTCCACTAGGGGGCGGGCACAAATACTACAAAGTTTGGAAGATAAGCCTAAGCCTAAGCCGTCTAAGCCTATGCCGAAGCCTAAACCTAAGAATAAGCCCAAGCCTTGGTCTAAGCTTAAGCCTAAGCCCAAGCCCGCTTCAGCCCAAGCCTAAGCCCAAGCCTGAACCCAAGCCCTAGCCCGCTTAAGCCCAAACCTAGGCCTAAGCCCAACCCCAAGCTGAACCCAAGCCTAAGCCTAAGCCCGAAACCGATCCTACGACGATCTACGTCCCGTGTCGTGGTACGAAAAAACCCAAACCTTTCCGGACCCTTGAAAACACCCCTTACGCTGTCATTCGCCACCTTCCGAGCCGCCAAGAGGCTGCGATCAACGCGCAAATTTGCGTGTGCGTGTTTTGGAGTGTAGCGGAGGGGAGGGGGCCTGTCGCCCATTCCATTCCTCTACACAGATTCCCTATGCAAATATCATCTCATAGGCAACTGGGGGGTGTAGGCGCCTTCCACACAAAACATTCATCCAAAGGAATGGGGGAAACGGAAGGGCGGAATGACGCGGAATAATCATGCGAAGGCTACTATTTTTTGGCAAGAATGGGTAGGACAAGCCTAGAGCTTAAGCCCAAGCCCAAGCCTAAGTCTAAGCCTAACCAAAGTCTAAGCCTGAGCCTAAGCCTAAGCCTAAGTCTAATCCTAAACTTCAGCCTAAATAGAAGCCTAAGCCTAAGTCTAATCTTAAGCCGAAGCCTAGGCCTAAGCCTAAGCAAAGCCTAAGCTTAAGCCCAAGCGTAAGATAAGCCTAAGTCACTCCCCGAGGCTAGCTAGCGGAGAACACTTCCAGGGCTTCACAGACCGTCTCTTCATTTGCCTCAAAATTTGCATACGTGCGGCCGATTTAGCCGGGAGCTATGTTTGCTATGCTTGCTGTGGCCATTGTCTCCGGCTGCTGGCCCACACAAACATTCATTTATGACATCTAGGCGCGTTTTAAAGGGAGCGTGCCAGCTGGAAATTGGTTGGGTTTCGGTGCTGGACTGTTAGTGGGGGGACCACTTTCTGTTTTTTCCACCTATGATGATATATTATGTGTATTTTAATAGTGTTTTTAGTGGTTTTTTATCGCTAGAAAGTTAAAAATATTTTTAGAAATTTAAAAATTCGAAAAGTTTGACTTTTTGATCATTTTTCATACATTTTTGACCAAAAAGTAGCCTTTTCAAAAATTTGTGATTATTTTGGCAGATTGTGTTTATATTTAAAAACTATTTAAAACGCTATAAAAATGGTCTATATTTTGTTATAGGGCCGTAGGGAATCACAGGCAAAAAAATTTGTATTCCTCCGGCTTAAAATCCCCCCGCTAACAGCCTAGAACCTAGAATTCTTCCTCTAAAAATCTCTGCTAGACTACCCTCAATACCGCTATTTCCTCAAAGAATCTCTGCTAGCCTGCCCCTCCAATTCCGCAAAGATTCTCTGCTAGCTCGCCCTGAATTCCCTCTCAAGCCCAATCCCGGTAATCCAATCAGAGAAGCCACTAGAATTTTGTCAAGATTCCCCCCAACCGGGCCGGCTTGTTCGGTTCTAAATGGATTAGCATCCACTAGCACGTCTCGTCCGTTTTCGGGGTGTCAAAATCCCCCCTAGCTTGTCCTTCCCATCCCCAAATTTTGCCCGCCGGCCAGAACGGGACGGAAATCAAATTCGCAAATTTTCAAGGCATCCGGATAAATAGGAAAACCCACCGGGTCTGACGACTAGACAGCTCAAAGCCTCGATTGATGAGGGACACAAAATGGAGAAGAAAAATAGGAAAACAGGCAGCCGGAGGGCAGCTGAAGATGAGAAGGAAGTGGGCATCATCGTGGTGGCCAGGTCATCATTTAGGAATTGGTCCTGAAAATGGAGATATTTTGGCGAGGGGAAACGAGGCAAGCTAGCAGAGATTTTTTGAGGAATTGGAGGTGCAGGCTAGCAGAGATTCTTGATGAGAATTGGAGGAAAGGCTACCAGAGATTCTTTGAAGAATTGGAGGGCATCCTAGCAGAGATTCTTTCAGGAATTAGAGGGGCAAGCTAGCAGAGATTCTTTGAGAAAATAGCGGTATTGAGGGTAGCCTAGCAGAGATCCTTTGAGAAATTGATGGATTGCAGGCAGGCTAGCCGAGATTCTTTGAGAAATCGAAGGATTAAGGGCAGGCTAGCTGAGATTCTTTGAGGAATTTCTCCTGTCTCCAGCTGCCAAAATAGGCTGTAAAGTAGCGGCTGATCCATTCATACGGCTGGCTGAACAAGGCGAAATTTTGGGGACGAAGAAAAAGGGTGGGGACGCCCCGGAAAAGGGGGCGGTCCCAGCCCGGGTTTGTTACCCCCCCCCCCAGCTTTTCCTTGGTGCAGCTGGAGAAATTAGCATAACAAGAGGCCACGCCCATTTATGGTATTTGTTGTAGGCTGGTTTATGGTAGGTTGGTAGCCTTGCAAAATAGCAAAAAAAAAGAAAAAAGCCTGAAAAACTTTACGAAAATGTCTCTTCGTGGATTGTCTGGCCGCGCACAGCATTGCCGCGTACTCGGGAATTCATAGCGTAGTGGAGTGGAATACGTAATTTTACGATCACCCGTCACGACCACCCCCACAATTCACATGGGTACCGGAAGCACGAAATTACTAGGCTTAGCTTAGGCTTGCTTGGGCTTAACTTAGGCTTAGCTTAGGTTTAGCTTAGGCTTAGCTTAAACTTGGCTTAGGCTTAAGCTTATGCTTGCTTAGCTTAAACTTACTTAGCTTAGGATTAGGGATAGACTTACCTTAGGTATGCTTCGCTTAGACTTAGGCGTAGGCTTCGCTTAGGCTTAGCTTACTTAGCTTAGGCATGCTTAGCTTAGGCTTTGCTTAGGTTTACGAGTAAAACTTTTGACTGCTATTCGTCGTGTTCGTGCCGTGCCCGGGGGGCTATCCGCCCAATCCTCCAACAAAATACGATAAACGTCCGTCCCCCCTGCCCTGGGGGGGATGGCTGCCGGGTCAATCTGCTAAGCTCATTGTCCGGGGGGTGGCTGTGCCCCAAGACTAGTTAGTCTGCTTCTTTTCCAGCCTCATCCTCCAGAACTAGGGCCCCAACGTCTATAGTAGCCACCCGGAACGCTACGAATCCGCCCCCGAGGTGCTATTTTGAAATCGGGCTGAAAAGGGGTTTTGTACACCTAAAATCTAGATGTTTTGTCGATTCTTTGTGGCTTTTGTAAAACTTGGAAAATCGCGAAAATGAGATCCTACGGCGGCCGCAGGCAAAGGTAGGCACCCACCCTACAAGAGACGCCCAGTCCCGTTCCACCCCGTGGCTTCTGTGGCGCAATCGGCAGCGCGTTCGGCTGTTAACCGAAAGGTCGGTGGTTCGAACCCACCCAGGAGCGAAACTTTTTGCTTTTTGGCCCAAAGACAGGAAACGGATGAAAGAAAAGTTTTGTTTTTTAAGTTTCAGAAGTTTTAAAAGAAAAGAAAAGAAAAAGAAAAGCTAAAAGAAATATTAGAAGAAAAATAAATTTAAAACTAATAAAAGAAAAATAAGTTCAGCCTCGTTATTTTGTCGTTTTTAGGGAATGAATCCAGGTGCGAATCTGAGAAGTGTGGCCGCCAGGTTCCCCAGGGGCTTCGTCTTATCGTCATCGACCGTGGGGCCACCTTGGGCCCTAAGAAAAAGGGGGAGAAGGCCAAGGGGGGCGGGCGAAGAAACACAATATCCACACACCCATACATACCCCTCATCCGACGATGATGCTTGGCGTAGGAATCGGATATTGGGATTACGTAGGAAAGGAGAATTTAAAGTAACAAAGAGCCGCGTTAGTTTTTCCGCAGGCATCTCTGCTAGATTGCTTTGCGTATTTTGAGATATGTATTTCCAAATCACCAGAAAAATAAAAAAAGCGACTAGAAATTGATGATTTGGTGGTTCTGGGTTCAATTCAGGGGCGCGGTATGCAAATCGTAGTGATGAGCCGTCAGCCGGGGGGTTTGGATCAAATCTTCGGGTGGGCGGAGGGGTATTATTTGATGGGTAAACAATATACACCATCCCCAGAAACCACCCGGAGGCCATGATATAACATGAGAACGAGGGAATGGGCATGCTAGCAGAGATTCTTTGAGGAATTGGAGGGCCAGGCTAGCGGAGATTTTTTGAGGAATTAGAGCTGCATGCTAGCAGAGATCTTCGAGGAATCACCCATCCGACTTGTCGATTCTTTCCCGTCCCTGTAATCAAATCAACCGACAAAAAGGGTTCCAGAGTAGGTGGCTGGATCGACTCCCCCGGCGGCAAGAAGCAATGGCAAAAAGTGGCGGAATGAGGGGAGGACTGGCATTTCACTTTCCGAACCATCTACCACCACCCTATTCCCATCCCTTCCAAACCTATACCCCATTTTTCTCTCAAAATGTCGATATTCTTAAAAGGGGCCTCTGCTGGCGCGATTTTTGGCATATTTGTTGTTATAATTACGTGTTACTGCCTATTCCATGACTTGCATGAGCACGAGCTGACCATCGGCGACGATCTGCACGAATTTGAGGTTAGATTTTGTGAATTTTCACTTTTTTTTCAGTTGAGTCGTGACGATGTGTACGCAACGATACGCGGGATATACGACGCAAAGTCGCGAGCGAAAAGGAGCGGAAATTATCGAGGCTGTCAATGTGATCAGAGGCGATGCCCGAAAGGACCTCCAGGGCCGCCAGGAGATCCGGGAGATCGAGGGGTTGATGGTAAGATCGCTTGGCTTGGCAGCTTTTGAAAAAAATAACATTGGCCTCTTGATTTTTATTCAAATCTCATTCTCGTACCCTAAAATCCCGAGTTTAGTCTCCCATAGTTCCAGGTAAAACGTACGTAGCGTCCGTACGTATGAGCGTAAATAGGTGTGTTTCGTTTTTCGGGTTCTGCAAATAACTCCGTTCGTCTAAGGTATTTTTGCAAGTTTGATTGAATCTTTGCTCAGATTCGACTATTTCCAGAATTTTGAGTGGTTTAACCACAGAAATTTATGCAGGAATTCCCAAGAACCGCTTCGTTTACATTGCTTTTGCGGCGAGAGGGCGGGGACGCACATTATTAGGGCGTCATTTGTATTGGTACGTCGCCGACGTCTATCGGAGCTATACTCGGGATATTTTAGGGTAATAACTCAAACGCGCAAGGCTGAAAATGGGGCCTTTTACGCTTTGGAAATGCCCTGATTTAGGATACGACGGTATCCCTGGACCAGCCGGTATGGATGCACCGAATGCGATCAAAAGTGGTCGACCACCGCAGGAATGTGTGCAATGCCCACCCGGGGCCCAAGGACCCCCAGGATCTGCGGGAGCAACTGGTCAGCCGGGCCCCCCTGGACCCCCTGGATTCATTGGAAAGGTAACGAAATTAGAATATCGAAACGTGTTTTTCGAAAATTAGCTTTTTCGTAAAGCGGTTCTGGACTGTTAGCGGGGCGTATAAAATTTTTTGATGGCATTTTACAGTTTTTAGATGTAAAGAGAAAATAAAAACTATCAAATTTTCGAAAATTGTTTGAATTTTCAAATTTTTCAAATTTTTTTGTAATTTTTTAGAAATTAAACACTACTAAAAACAGTATAAAAATACATACAATAACATCAACAGGTAGGGAAAAATAGGTGGAAAAACAGAAAGTCCCTCCCCGCTAACAGTCCAGAACCTTTTTCGCAACACGTCTTTTCGAAAGATTTGCAGAGCATCTTTTGCCCCCCGTTGCGGCCTTTTCCTATGCCACACAACTCCGTTTCGTTCTCCGTTTCGAAAAGTGATTTATGGAAATTTTATTGTGGAATGGTTCCTGAAGAACCCTCAAAAATCTATGTTAGCCAGCCTCCCTTTCAGGCCGGACAAGATGGAGACCCAGGCGAGCCAGGGCCCACCGGAGATCCCGGAGTGCCAGGTCCACCCGGACAACCCGGTGAGCCCGGTCAACCGGGAGAACATTCGGTGCAAAAAGTCGGAAAACAGGGGCCAAGGGGGCAGATTGGCCCCGCGGGGCCTGTTGGGCCACCAGGTTCGGCGGGATTTGGTCTTAAAAAATATCATAATTTTCTCAGGAAAAACCGGGTTTCCGGCCTATCCGGGCCAGCCGGGTCCTACCGGAAAACCCGGCCCGCCCGGTCCGCCAGGAATGGATGGCGTCAATGGCGAGAATGGATATGTGAGTAATTGACGTTGTTTTTGAGTGTTTTTATTCTATCAAAATGTCGAATTTCTGTTCTTTTGCATTATCGGGGGGAGCCCAACTTTTTTCTAGGGATCTCATTTTTTCAAATATAAATAATATAAATGTTTCTTATGGTTTTTTACTATTCCTGAACGGAAAAATTTACCATCTGTATTAAAAGTATCAAAAAAATCGAATTTTCGACCAAAAATGCCGATTTTTTACCAAAATTTCGAATTTTTTTAAGGTTTTGTAGATATTTTTTTTAGTCGAAATAAGTTATATATTACTAAAAACACTATTAAAACACTTTCTATTAAGTTACTAGGCATTTCTAGATTCATACAAAAAAGTTCGATCTCCCCCCCCGAAATGTGAAAGAACCCGCAAATCTCATTTTTTTCAGGACGGCCCTCCAGGACTTCCGGGCCGTGATTCTGGCTACTGTGGATGCCCTCAAGCTCGCCCTCAACCTCCGGATGATGATTCAGAAGATGCGGAAGAAGACGAAGACGTTCAACCGGCCCGGCCTCAACAACGGGATAAAATAGTCGATATGCAACCGGAAGAGGCTTACGGTGAACCGGTTGGTCATTTTTAAATTTTGGTAGCTTCGAAATGCGTAATTTAGCAAACTACACCTACTCCATCACCCAGCAGCCGCCTAATTGATGCTCAAAAAGAGTTGCAACGGCAGACGCAATCCAGATTACGGTAATTCCACTAAATATCAATATTTTATTATTTTAGAGCTCAACTCGACGCGCATCTCAATCAAGGCGAAGATAACGGATATGGTCTTGATAGTCAGAGGTACGATATTTGGTTCTGGACTGTTAGCGGGGGGAACCAAATTTTTCCCTGTGATTCGCTACGGCCCTATAACAAAATATAAACCATTTTACATAGTTTTTTAGAGATAAAAACAATATAAAAATGATAAATTTTCGATATTTTTGCTTTTTTGGTCAAAAATGTATGAAAAATATCAAAAAAGGTTAAAATTTTCGAATTTTCAAAATTATTAAAGATATTTTTAGACCTTTCTAGCTATCAAAAACTACTAAAAACACTATGAAAATACATTATATATCATCAACAGGTGGAATATAGATGGAAAAACAAAAAGTGGTCCCCCCCCCCCGGCTAAGAGTCCAGAACCCGATATTTTCGGGTTTCGGAGCTAATTTTAATTTTTTTAGCCCCTCCGCCAGCCCGCCACCCGTTCTCCCTGTGGCCCCGGCGCAAGGATACGGGTTTTTCCAGAAACGCGAGGTACGTGTGCATTAGAATAGATTTTTAAGTTTAAAAGTTTCAGTTTCAGGTTTTTAAAAGGCTGATAAAGTAACGCTAAACCAGGAAATTATGTTAATTTAGCATTTTTTTTTTAGTCGCCACAAGTCCACTCAGCCCCCACACCGACACAACTTGAAGCCGTTCAAGTTGACCAGGTGAAAATTTCGAAATTGTTACCCCTAAAAACATTTTCTTTATCATATTGAGAAACCATTAAGGCTCAAAAACATTTTTTCTTTAGCAAATTTCATAAAAAATGGCATTTAAATAGTCTAAACCAATTTAATTCAGTTAATTTAAACAACTCATAGGCCCGGCGCCAATACGCCTACCAGCAGCAGTTGAGGGCAATGGCCCTGGCCGAGTACGAGCGGCTAGCCACCGCCCAACAGCAGCAACGCCTCCAGCCGATTCAGGGCCCATTCCGATACGGTGGCCAGGGCACCGTATATCAACGTCAACAAGCACAGGTTGGAAACTTTTCATTTTTGTCAAATTCCTTTAGCCCACCCATACAATCCCTGCCGCGTACTTTGGGAAGTAGGACGAGAGCGAGAGAGAGAGAGAGAAATGTTAAAGTTATTTATGCAAGTATCTAATAAAGAAAATAACACATTAAAATCAAAGACACACATAATGAAACCGTGTCGACGTTGACGTATTTTTGGCGGAAGGGCAAGTTGCTCCATTCTGGAAATACAATTCCGGTTGAGGGTAATTATGCCATAACTTTATCTAACGGTATGATTAAAGTTAATTAAATTAAATATTGATTCACTTCGTATTAAATCTTATGAAATTATTAAATTAAACCAGGGTTGAAAAGCCGCTTCGCGACTTTTCAACCCTGGCCCCGTCTTACCCCCATGCTTCATCACTTTGCATAAAATCCTGAATTCCTGTCAAAAAAAAAGAAAAGCGCGTCCTCTCCCCCATTATATAGGCTCCTCACACTTCCGGTGCATGCAAATTGATTCCTAACAAAGAGACCAAGTGAGATTTTTACAAAAACCCATTTTTAATGTTGAAAACAGCTGATTTTGAAAAATCTGATATGCGTGCAGTCGTGTCATGACCATTACGCACCTAATGATGTATCATACGTACCCTTAACTTCCTCCCCTATTGAGATACCACTGGAACATACGGACGGAAGTTGCATGCAAATGCACACACACACACACACACAAACACTATTTTTTTATATATATTAAATTAAATATTGATTAATTTTCTAATCGAATAATTAGAATTCGATTCCTTAAATGAGCAATACCGTCGTCCAATCTCATTCGTTTCAACGGCTCGCCCCGATGCCGTCTAATCGTCTCGTAGAGAAATATACGGAGTAGTTGCGCCGAGGTGAACGTCATTTGGATTGCCCAGTACCACACTGAAAGGAAAAGATGTAGTGATAAGCATTAGGATATAAAATTTTTGATCCTATTTCATAAGAAAAAGAACCCACCAATCCTTGGGAATGTCGAGAAATGAGGGGGCAGCTCCTTGATCAGCCCGCGCATGTAGATCGTCAACAAGAGCAGGTTGGAAAGCAATAAAAAGCAAGCCTGGAAATGACTCAAACGCCGATTTCGTGCCCTACCTGGGTAAAGCTCAGTATAGGCGCCAATGCGGTGATTAAGCCTAAAATTTGGAATTTGACTCCATTCTTTCAATCCTGCTGTAGAGATCACTTTAAAAAATACCAAAAAGTATCGACGGCAGGACGAGCGTGTAGAAGAAGTACGGGGCATAGCGCGTGAAGGTTACAGTATTCGAGGCGACCGACCTAAAACTGACCATAACTTTTCAAAATGTTCGCCGTAATCGAATTACTATAAGAAAGTTGTTTCCTGACGCAAAAAATTGCTAGACAATTTTTTACAAGATTTTAAAACGTGTAAAGATCAAGTCACCATACCTCAATGTATTGAAGGTTTCAACCTCAAATATTTTCCTTTTTGCCATTGTTTCGATACAAACGTGATGTAGCCTTATTCTACAGAACAAGAGCTACATTTTGGTACCATTGACAACTCTGTAGGTCCAAGGAGCGCCGAGATACGAAACCTCACTTTGGACCACGAAAAACTAATTAAAGAAAACCCAGAGTTATAATTGTTACAAAAAATGTTCTAACAATTTTTCACGTAAGGAAACAAATTTGCATAATAATTAGACCACGGCAAAAAATTTGAGATACTCCACGCATTAACAGGGCGTATGGCCAAAAAGTTGCGGCTGGGGGTCCTCGATTTAGCCGAAACTCACACATCACCGGGTGAAGCCCTCTGGTCCAGGAATAATTCGTCTCCACTGTCATCATGACTCTAAGACAGTACGATCTAACGCATAATAATCAAAAACTTACAATGTATTGGATCTTTGCCGAAATCGAGTTTATCGTGAAATCGGCGATCTGGGCCTTCTTTTCGCTTCGTAGAGCAGAATATCCTAAAGAAACCCAGAAAATACATGTTTAGCCTGAACTTACTCAGCTTGAGCAACATCTCATCACTGGGGTAATAGGGCACAAGTTCAGCGCTGTTTCAACAAAAAACTATTTCACAAAAACAAAGCGTTACCCCGCGCTGTATTCCACCATATGAAAAGCGCAAACGTGCTTGTCGTACGGGTAATCCGCTACGTCCAACACGCACCCGACGCGGAACTGGAAATTCGGGCAGAATAGGCTCGTAGAGACCTGAAAGGTTAATTTTGCCGTGACAGCTGCAAACCAACATTTCTCTTTGCATCCATGAAAATGCTGCCAATACTGCGGCCCGTCGCGACATGACTGTCGATTTTATCGAACCTGGAAAGTACAGGGTGTCCCAATAAAAAAAACACCCTCTAACGGTCCGCAGTGATGTCCGATTTTTACGATTAAGGTATCTATCGAAAGCTCTCGACGAGCTGAGGAGATATGTGCTCTCCGATTTGTGAAATTAGCAAGGTACCGATTTTCATCGTTTTTTGGGCATAAATTAAGCAATTTTTTGGAAAAATTTAATCGGCGTCAGCTCTATCCAAGCTGTGTTTTCACAAATGCCTTCAAAAAGCGGGTCGTGGGCTGCCAGGAAAGATGCAAAAATTGGGAAAATGGGGTTTTGTTAAAAAGACTTGCATGGGGGAAAAGCATCGAAACTCAGCCAATTTTGCAAAAACATCAGCGAATGGCAGAAAAATTCGAGAATTTCAAAAATCGGTCTCCTCAGTTCGTTGAGAGCTTTCGATAGATACCTAAATCGTAAAAATTGGAAACGTATGCGGCCAGCTAAAGGGGTTGATTTTCTTGATTTTCTGTAGAATAAACTAGACGAATTCATAAATTAGCTACCTATAGAGCGGCTGCACATCGGGCGTCCAAACGTTCCACCGTGCCACTTGAATAGTCTAAATGGGTTGTTTTGACTATCTAGTTCTACCGACCGTCACTCCGTCATATTTTGCCGGGTCCCATTTGATGAGTGGATCATTGTAGAGCTAAAAATTAGTGTGACGTTACTGTTTCTAGCAAACCGTGCAAATCCTGCCAATAACCCTCATCGAGCCCTCCGTCTGATTGATGGAAATGTGGGAGATTTTGTGAAGCAAGAAACGGATCTAAAACGATAAAAAAATACAAATTATGAACTAGGAACTATAATTAACCTTGACAGTGCCATTGCTTGGATCAGGACGGCGCCTCTGCTCGAAGGACAGCTTGTTGATGACGTCATTCTCAAGCTTTGTCATCGACATCTGATAAGTGTCACGCTCCAAATCTGAAAGAGTCCAACGAGCTGGTCAAGGTGTTACCCAGCGCTTCATCCCTATCATCGACGGTAAGTGCTTCTTCGTCAGCAGCCACGATCCCGACGGCTGCCTCATCTTCCTCCTAGGTGAGAGGCGTCATGAGTTTCAAGCAATAAAAATACCGGCGTCGTCAACGCGATTCCCGCCCTAATGAAAAGTAATAGAAAATAGAGGTGCATCAATTGGCAGGTGCGATCGAATGGACCCCAGTTTATAGACAAGCCACAGCCACAGGAGACTGTGCTACCTGATGCGCCACGTAAACAATGTTCGTCGGTCGATTACCAGTGTTGTATTTCACACAGTCTTGCAATACTCTGTCTTTCTTGGATCAAACGTCTCCAGGCCCCTCACAATAAAAGTTTATTGTGCAACATCATACCGTGTGAGTCGGATAGTATGTTCCCGTAAGATGTGCGCGTTCGGAAAGCCCATAAAAATACGTAGCGTCGAGTAACCTTACAAAAGCAGAGGGGCTAGACATGAATCTTAAGCAAACAAAAGGATAATACATCAGCGTTCGAGATCAGACCAGGAAAATGAGACTCGTGTATAAGGGAAAGGCACCGGGAATTGAGCATCACAAAGGCAGGCACCTAAGAGATATATTCGAAAATGTTCATCGACTCGTCGGATCGCTTCAGGAATTCGCGTTCGATCAACGAGTCGATGGCTGCGCGAATCTTCGGAAGGGCCGGGTTGAAACGACGCTGCAGCTGCTGGATGACCTCGGCGATCAGCTCGTTGTGCACCAAACGCTTTCGCATTTTCATGATGCGGACGATGCAGGCCTGAAAGCAATGTGATTGTTTGGGAATATGCCATTATCTCGAAATATCAATAAAGCTAAAGATATTTTTATCGAAATCGCGCGCAATTCCCAATTCTTGCGCTTGGATGCCTTTAGTAAGTTCGAAATAATCAATTTTGATATCTTGAGTTACGAGCTAAAAGCCGGTCAGCAGTTTTTTTACCAGAATTTAAGGCTGAAAAGGGAGAAAAAATGTATAGAAATTCACCTCAATGACGACACGACGATCTTCCTCGATCTGCTTTGTGTCGACGTCGCTCTCCTTCTTCACCTCCGAGCGCACTTGCACCTTCATCAGGTCCACGCGGAACTTTTTGGCTTGGAATTTGTCCTGGATCGCGAATTCGGTGGTGTCCGGAGTGGCCGAGGTCAGCTCCTGGTCCTTGGACACGTCAACCGATTTCAGCACCTCGGTCTAAAAAGCAGGGTTGACAAAAAGGGGCATATATTTTACCTTGATCAAGCTGCTGATGATTGGCAGGAGAGCCGGTCTGTCGATACCGAGCAGGGCGATCAGTTCGGAAAGCGTATACGAGTCCTGCTCGTTGTAGAGCATCAGCACCGCCATCTGTGTCGTCCAGGCCTGAAAACGAGTTGTTTATTGAATCGCGAAAGCAGGAACACGCTTCCAGCTAATTGCTTACCAGGAACACGTATTTCTTCGGATAGCGGTTGGTGCTGAGCTCGCCGCGGGCTTGTTGATACGACCATCTCAGCTTGCGGCCGGTGTGCATCGTGTTGTAGAAGCCAGTGAACTGCTCAATGACGTCGGTGAGCTGATGCGGAAGATGCATTTCGACAAGCGGCAACGTGGGCCAAGATGAGACACCCAGCACCATCACGTTCACGTCGACCGCAAATTGAGCGTTCTTTTCCTTGCAATGCTCCTTGAACTTCCTGGTGATGTCCTAGAAAACATAAAATAAGCGATAAATAAACCTCGTACCTTGCTAATCTCGGTATCGTTGAACATGCGCTGGAGCTTGTTGGTGTATTCGAAGCCACACGCCGTTTTCAGCTTCGAGATCATGGCGCTCTCGGCTGAATCGGAGGCGCTGAGTCCTTGGATGAGGCGCTTGGCGAGCAGCTTCGTGTAGTACTGCTGGAAGATATCCTTGTCTTGGATGTACTTGAAGACATTGATGACGTTCTGCAGCTGATCATCCATTTCCGAGTCGTCCGGGTTGTCCTTCGACTTTTTGAGCAGCGAGTCGCAGTATCGGGCGATCAGCTCGGGCACCTTGTTCACGGAGTGCTTGCCGTCACGCCCAAAGTGTTCAGTGATGGCGTTGCGGTTGATGAAGTTTTCGGCGGCCTTGTCGAGGGCTTGGATGAAGCCGGGCTCGTTTTGGAAAGCCTTCGTGACGAGGCCGTGGTAACGCTTGTAGACCTCCAGCGTTGAGCTCATGAACTCGCGGGGATCCTGGAAAAAATAATCGATTGACCTAACAACAAAATATGACATAAACTTGCGCTACGCACATTGGGGTTCTTAGCGGCGACAGCAGCGAGTACATCAAGGCCGTTCCTTGTAACGTGGTTCTCCAATGCAGTCCTCAGCTCTTTCAGGCCATTCTCGATGAGGCTGCAGAGCTAAAAAATTCAGATATCATTGAGAGGGAGAAAAATTATTTACCTTGTACATACGGCCCAAGTCGTCATCGCGCTGGTCCTCGAGCAGCGGCCCAAAGTCGCGTTGGTAGAGTTCTATTTTGCGCTGGATGAGGACCTCTTCGCACTTGTGCTTGAGGGGCGCCCTGGTGCACGAGGCAAGGCTTTGGGTGCAACGGTCCGCCTCATCAGCCAATCGACGCTCAACCTAGAATCGGAATAATCACTGGCAGCAATAAAATTCATACAATTTGCATGTATATCGTGAACGGGTTATCTTGCAGCCACTTATCGGCCTGGATCGTGTAGTACTCATCCGTTTCTTTCAGGAAAGCAGCCTCGAAATTGTCTTGGTAGAACTAAAATAGCAGAGTTTGGCGGATTGGAATTTTTATATACCGTGTGATCGCTGCGCTTGCACTCATAGGGCTGTTCTTGGATCATATCGTCACTGATGCCCAGCATCACTAAAATATGGCTAAAATGTTGGTTGAAAAGCCTTACCGTAGGCACGGACAATCTTTGAGACGAGCGCACGATCGGTGGGGTTGCCGTCACGATCCTGACGAATCATATCGAGGAGACCGCGCCGAACCTAAGAAAAAACCCGTTGCATCAAAAATCTATTGATTTTTATACCCGCTCATCGAGCTTCATGTGGAACAAGTCTCGCCATTTGACCAATCCCAACAGGTAGACGTAATAGTACTGGCCGCCCTTGCGCTCCTCGATCTGGCGCTTTATCCAGTGCTTATTCAGGTAGCTGAAGATCCCGTTCGTCACCTATAGCACGATTTGTTAAAGATAAAAATATGCATTACCTTGAAATAGAACAAATACTGCTCTAGCAGACCACTGTAGCGGCGCACCAGGTCCTCATCGTTCAAAGCAGCTGCCTCTTGGTACGCCTTCTCCACTCTACCCGCCAGATAATCGGCGAGCTTGTAGTAGACATCTCCACCGCTGAGGTCCATATTTGGATTCTTCGTCTCCATGCCTAAAATTGTTTGTAAGAAAATAAGACATCCTTACGTTCATCATCGCGGGGCCCGTTAGCGCAGTAGTCGTAAACATGAGTGTAGAGTTGCATGTATCGCTTCTCGTCGAGCCTCCGCTGGTGGAAGATGTCATCGAGTCCGATTTCAAGCGCCGGCCAAATCTCCTCCTATACACCAGATTAGTTTTATAAGCGTCAATTTACCAGCGTCTGAGACCGGACGACGCCAGCGACCATCGTTGAGAAGTTTGCCGGTCTAAATGATCGTATTGGCGACTCAGATAGCCGAAAACGAAATGGAAATCAAAGAAATAAGCTGCAAATGTTTGCGAAACGGGAGGGATTCGGGAAGCGTGAATCAAATGAAGTCAGCAGAGCTAGGCATCAACGAAAAAGACATCTGGATGCGACAGATGATAAAAACCGAATGTCAGAGTTTCCTCAAACAACGCACTATTGATGAATTGATAGCGCCAAATTAAAAAGTTAGACCTAGCTAGCTATTGGAAAACGGGAAAGCCAGGTCAAACTATAAATGCTGCGAAGTCGGGCGTCGTAATTGCCCAAGATTCAATATTGTGTCATCACATAAGGCGAAAGCTCTCCCTGATAACAAGAATCCGTGTCACGAAAAAATGGCGTCACCAAGGGAGCTTCCGCTCGTTGAAATCTTCAAAAAAGCATCCCCAAAAACCAGAGATTCTCATGCGAAATTTAATGGGAACGTCAAGATCGCGCAACACTATGTTTCCATTAGGAAATCGTCTTCAATCTCCGTTAAAAAGTGAGAAATGAACGGAAAGAAGCGCAGGGGGCGAGTGATTCATCATTGTTGCGTTTTGGCGGCCCTCCTATTCACTTCGGTCCCTGACACTGACCTTTTCCCGCGCTAATGTCAAGTAAAACTGCAATATCGATAAGAAAAGGAAAGTTTTGATTTTCGGCAACTAAGAAAAGAAAATCTCGAACTGACCATCCAAAAGACCGCTATTTACAACATCGTCATTAGTATTCTTCGTAACTCGGAGGCGCTATTTTAAAAACGAAAATAACTAAGAATATCTATTCAAATGTTACATTTTCTATAACTTTTTATCACATTTCGACGATTGCGAGTCTTTTGAGGGGCAACGCGCCAGGGATTTGTGTTAAAATAGCCGAGAACGGGCTTTCTCTTTTATTTTTTGGGTGGTGAGCAGTGAAGGGAAGGGAGAAAACGAGAGGCGCAGAGACAGCACAAACTACAAAATCTGGGCTGGTACCAAAGTCGATTTAGCCCCCCCCTTAGATGATCTAACCCCCCCTTTAGATCATCTAAGGGCCCCTTTACGGCCCAAATGGTTTGGACCTTAGCGCGGAGCCTTCTGAGCGAATTTTTTTTGGAACTGGGTTTTCCGGAACATAAAAACCGCCTCTATCCGATGGCGCTTTCAAAACAGCAGCGCTGTGGATAGATTTTGCGCTGACACGCTGGGAAGATCTAAGGGGGCCACTAGATGATCTAGTACCCCCCTTAGACGATCTAGTAAGAGTATTAGATGATCTAAAACCCCCCCTGTTAGATACAAGCGGTCAAAAGGGGGGGTTAGAAACCAAAATTTCGAATATATTTAAAGAAAAAGCTAAAGATTTTAGGGTTTTCGACAAATGCCTATCCGATGAAAAAAAATACGGAGAATTCGATGTCATTGATCCCGAAAGCCAATTTTGGCCGAAGCTTCAGATAAGGCCCGGAAAGCAATCTAAGCCCCCCCCCTTTAGACGATCTAAAAGAAAAAACTATACTTAGATCATCTAAGGGGGGCTTGGACTAGTTTGACGACTTTTTGCTGTAACTTTTCGATGTCAAAAATGGTTTTCGGGCTTTAACAAGGTGTCATGCATGTCAGATGGGTAGTTTGGTATACCATAGGTCATATTTGAAGTTTTTCATCATTTTCATCCCCAGCCCAAACTTTTGGATCGCGGTCCCCATACGAGCTAGTCGGCTTTGAAACATTCCAACAGGTCCGCCATAGTCTCATTAGCCAGAAAACATTGCGTTTGAGTAAAAAATGACAAGAAATCAAATGCTTGAGCACGAATAGTTGAAAAGCCGATTGGGTAGGTTTCTTAGCGTTTAGCCTTGTCGAATCGGGTCGAACAAGGTCCGGGTTCGAATCCCGCCCGCGACATGACTTTTTGCTTTTTCATCAAAAGCTTGGAGTTGAATCTCTCTTTAACGGGAAGAAACCTTTCAGCATTTAAAGAGGGTTAGATTCAACTAGGCGGGCATAAATCGTCGAAAAAAGAGTTAAAAAGGCATCTAAGGGGGTACTAGATCATCTAACGGGGGGATTAGACGATCTAGTACCCCCCTTAGATTGGATCTAACCCCCTTAGATAGGAGGGGTTAGATCGACTTTGGTATCGACCTTTTTTTACGCGACATTGGGTAGATACAAACTATTTTTGGCATCATTTTCCAGTGTTTTTTGACGCAGATATCTTTTCAAAAAGGTTGCGATTTATCGTTAGGTGCACATATCTTTATCTCCACAAAAAATAATACCGACAGCGCAGTAGTACACACAAAACGTGGGTTCTCGGGCACCATATACCTTGGAATCTGGAATTTCAGTAAGCGATCATGGAATGTGATGGCGCGGGGAGAAGGCTAAATAAGTAAAAAAATGTACAGAATAAAGCTGAGGGGGTGAGGAGAAATGAGAAATGTTCTGCCGGCTTTTTGGATGGATTGAGCACTACCCGCGAGCTGTTCCGAGACAAAAATGAAGAAATTATTGTTGTTGTTTTGAGGGTTAGGGTTCTGGCTTCCCGTTTTCGGTGCCATTCTCCTTTGGCTCCTCGACAGCGGCTTTCTTTCGTTCTTCCTCTTCTGAAAAGGGAGTATTTACTAGAGATGATGTGATCTTTGGTATAGAATTACTATTTTCTAAGAGAAACATGCCCTTTGCTGCTTTTTCCTTCCACAATCCCTTGTTCTCATGAAGATATCTGGTCCACGGGTTCGGGATCTCGAGCTTGCCGCTGTAGGACAGCGGAATTTTGCGCACAGATGTGGCATTGTTTGTGGAATTGGAGCGGCTGAGCCTGAATATAGGTTTTGTTTTGCCAGAAAAGGGAGACATACTTTTCGGGTAATGGCGACAGGGCTTGACTGGGTGATGTGCTGTCTTGACCGTCCTGTTGTGGCGGGAATAAGCTTAAAAGTTTTTTTTGATGAAGTTATCTCTTGCTTTCTGCTAGTTTTTGGCATGAAGGGTTATAAACTGTGTGGAAGCGAGATTTCGCGAAGTTATTTTAGGCTTACCTATCCGTTGGTGGCAACGAGACGAGCGGCTCCACCATTTTCACGAGCAATTCTCCACAAACCACCATCGTGGGTTCGACGATAAAGTCGATGAAGCCGATCTTAAACGGCTTACTGTCTTTGAATCAGACGTTAATGCTTTTTTGCATCGTATCTCTCTTGTATAGCTACATACCTGACTCTCCGCTACATGAACGGTATGCCGATCGCACAGTGGAGAGTATGGTAATCCCATCGAGCTCTCGAGGTCACCCTATAGAGGAAGAAGGTGCTATTTGATGACTTGTCAAGTCGTACCTGTCTGAAGAACTCTTCGAGAACCCCCTCGGTCCATCGCTCGTGCAAATTCCACGGTTTCGAGGGATGTGAAATATCACACGCGTGTACGATAAGGCAGAGCGCCTTGTTTTTGTCGATTCTGAATTATGACTAGGTTTCGGGGGTTTGGTGCGATACCCTTCTGGTAGTGACAACATATTCTTCATCGTCTTGATTTGGACGAAATGGGTGCTCATGTCGGTGGCGAGCACGATTTCAATTACCATATTTCGGAGTTCTCTGGAAATGAAGGGGAGTTGGCTAATTATGAGCTTGGCGGAGTGGTTGTACTCTCGTATGAACGACACTGGTTTGACCCCTGCGTCGTAAAAAGTTTTTTGTTGATTTTTCGCTTCCTTGGACCCACCTGAATTCGTCTCGACTCAAATTGCCAAAGATGTTCTTATCGTCTTCTTTCATCAACCGGAAACATGCGGAAGCGTGGTGATTCTCGAGGACGGAGCGATCATTGTAGAGCAATGCGAATTGTGATCTGACAAGGTGCGGTTTTTAGGTGATCGTGGAATTTTGCGATGTGACACAGCTGATTCGATAGAGCTTGAAATTCTGCACCAGTCCCATCTTTCAAAAACGGCTGAACAACTACGGTTTTCGAGAAAATTAGCTCTGAAAGGACCAATTTTGAGCATTTTTGGCCTCGCTTAGCAAAATGCGAGCTTCGAGAAACTTATTCTCGAAGACCGTAGACGTTCAGCAGTTTTTGAAAGATAGGATTTGTTCAGAATTTCAAGATCTATCGAATGAGCTATGTCACATGGCAAAATTCGAACACCTAAAAACCGCTCCTCGTGAGCAAGGCTTACAAAGAGGTTTGGCATTGACCTATTAGGCTTACCCGGATTGAATATGAAAGCTATTTGTATGACCGGTATGTTCATAGTCGTGGATGAGGGCACCGAACAGCACGGCAAGCAGTTCCAGGTCACCGAGGCTACTCTAAAAGGGATTTCATCTTCCAAAGGCTTCACCCACCGCCAGCCCGGTCTGACTGAGCATAAAGTGTGAGCTCTGTGCGACGTCGGCCGCGTGAACGACGTTATGGTATGGGTTGTTGTGTTTGGAGTACCCGATCTCGAGGGCCGTCACGTAGTTCTCGAGCTGCGGTAGCGGGATCTGTGCTTTGGAATGTAATATGGTTAGAGGGTAGCTTACCTTGAATCGATCCATGAAGCCGTATCGGTTGAACAGCTCGAAGGCGACGTATTTAAGGGCGTGGCCCTCGGAGACTTCATTGAGGTGGAACGAGTCGAAAGACCATGAATTGACGTCTTGGGTCTATAAAGGATTAGGTTTAGACTTAGACTTAGCTTAGGATGAAGCTTATGCGCTTATGCGAAGCCAATTCCTTCCACCCACCTTCATCAAGTTTGTGATCTCGGCCGGGATCGGGCACTGAACGCCTTGCTGTCGTCGGAATAACCTGTAAAATCGGGTGGGTTAAGCCTTCGCATGTAGTGTGAACAACTTGTCGAAGAATATGCCGGTGCGGATGGCGTTGGCCACCGATTTGAATTTGGGCTTCTCCCGTTTCTTGCCGGCATTTTGTCGGGTGAACGTTGCCGCCAGCCATTCGCGTACCTAGAAGATTTTAGGGGATTGATTTTCTAGACTTTTAACAGGGTTAAGATATGAATTTTTGAGATTAAAGGGGCTCAGAATTCAAAATTCGCGCTTGCGGGGATTGAACCTATTGGTCAAAAAAACGAAAGGGTCACTGCCTAGAAACACCAGAAAAGTGATTTCTTTGTAAAAAGCGTGAAATATTTTAGTAAAACCGACATTTTCTTGGGGCGCAAAAGACTTATTGGGTGCGCGGCGATTAAATGTTGTAATGCCTTGTCAGGCACCCAATCTCTCGATCTCAGCGATTCTCGGATCAATTTTCATCCTTAAAAAGTCTAGAATGATCCAAATTCGGTGAGGATCCCAGAAAAAACGCCAGAATTTTTAAATGCAAGCGTTTCGACGTCCAAACAGGCTCAAAAGGTCATGCGGTGCGGTCCTGTTGCGGTTGCATCTGGCTATTTGCCAGGAATCAACGCAGGGGCCGTGAACCAGATTTCGGAGCCCTTTAATCGAAGAATCCCGAAACTCAAACCTCATCTGGCACCGTCTCGGGGGTAACCTCTGCCAGGTCATCGTCCTCATCGCATATTCGCCTGTAATTTGGTCTATAGAAATATTTGGCATAGTACAGTATCCTATTGTACCGTAGCCCTCGATCGACGTTCCCAGCCCCTTTAAAATGATGACACTTCCTTATTTTGTGGCCGCGCCCAATAAATCGTGATTTTCGCGTCGACGTCCCCGGGGCAGCTAGGCCAGATTATCCGCCCGATATTTGCCCGGCCTTTTTTTAGGGAGTACCAAGCGGATTTTGGGGGCAGTCTGGGGGTGACTACGCGGTGCTACAGATACCGCAAAATATGATGATTTCCTGGGGATTTCCCCTGGGGAACGGCTACCGTAATCCCGGGCGGAGCAGGTCGGTTTTAAAGGGGCCGGGAAGGAAGGTAGGCCTACCTGGTCTCGTCCATATAGGCAGTTTCGAGGACGAGGGCCGCATATTCGATATTACGCTTCAGATCCTCTAAGGGGAGCTGGCCACTATTCAGCTGATGTAAGATGTACCGTAGTCTAAAATGAGCAAATATTGGAATAGGTAAATGACTTGGGAATACTGATTTTTTCGTTTTCGTTTTTTTGATTTTTGCAAGTTTAACAGCAGATAGCTTCTGTCTGTTTCTCTCTCTCTCTCTCTCTCTCAGGCTCAGGGCTACGTCAGTGTACGAATGACACGACAGGGCGGATTAGAACGAATCCCGGATATATGTAGAAGAAGAAGAAGCCCTTCTCACTCTCTCTCTGTCTCTCTCTGTCTCTCTCTCTCTCTCTCCCATATGGCGTGCCCATAAATTGAGCCCACAATTTGTGCATTTATTAACGCGCACCCCTGCCGCGCGGGGTGAAGCCAAACTAAAATCGATTCGAGCGGGGGCTTTCCGGTTCCGGTTTCCGGCAGCTTAGGCCTACGAGGCTAAGGCGCTTGCTCGGGCTTAAGAAGCCTGGCCGAAGCTTAGCTTTACGGTCTTAGGCTCGTGCTCATGCTCACACCTGCAGGCATGCTTTCGGAGAACCAGCTGATAGAAGCCGAACGTGTCGCCGACGATCATCATTTTTGGCACTATTCGGGGAGGAATAAGGGGTTAAATTGAGGAAATGAAAGTACAGAAAAAAAATATAGGCAATTTTAAAGGGATAGTGACATTTTAGAGGTTTCTGGATTCCGGTCAATGGTGGAATTCAGGTGTCACGCTCCCTTTAAAAAAGGGATAAAGGGATCGAATGGGCGATGAAGAAGACTTGATATGAGTGTTACGCTATTTAGGCTTGGAATAGCTGAGAGGTGATAATCGGTTTCGGCTTAGGCTTAGACTTAGGCTTTTGTCTAGTAATAGCTTAGGAATAGCTTAGGCATAGGCTTACAACTTAGGCATACTTAGGCTTAGCTTGCGCTTAGCTTAGGCTTAGGCTTAGGCTTAGGCATAGCCGAGGCTTCGGTATAGGTTTAGGCTTTGACTTAGGCTTAGGAATAGCTTAGGCTTAGGCTTAGATTTAGTCTTAGCTTAGGCTTAGACTTAGACGCAGGCATAGAAGAGGATTAGCTTCCACATAGGCTTCAGATTCTCCTCAATTAAAAAAAACCGGAAAAAATGGCCGTTAATGGGTAAAGTGGCGTAGCGGAAGGGGGTAAAGACGCCCGGGAAGACCGGATGGAAGCCGAATGAAAAATGGGCGGAAATCTTCCGATATGAGGGGGGAGGAGGGATGAGATGTGTCCCGGAGGGCAATATGGTCTCCTTGGTGACCAGCGGAGACATGGGGATCCTCAAAACGATAGCCGAGAAAGGGGGAGGAAGATTCGTGTGTTTTCTCATCGCCCCCAGATGGGGGGCTTATACCGGTGGGGACACTCATCGGCCCATCCCATTTTTTGGTGGATATGGTGGCTCAGACAGCGTCGGGATTCCGCAAAGAATCCCGGCTAGCTGACCGATGTGTCTTTGAGAGCTATTCGTTGGCTAGACGGAGCATGAGACAGAGTTTTTGTATGATTATGCGAGAGGAGAGCGAGGGAGAGAGACAGACAGAAAGTGAGAGAGAGCAAGTAAGTGTGAGAGACTGAGAGCGAGCGATAGAGAGTGAGAGAGAGAAAGAGAGAGAAAGTGAGAGATAGTGAGAGAGAAAGAGACTGAGAGAAAGAGAGCGAGAGAAAGAGAGAGAAAGAGAGAGGGAGCGAGGGATCGAGATAGTGAGAGAGTGAGAGTGTGAGCAAGATAGAGTGTGATAGAGTGAGGGAGAGAGAGAAAGAAAGAAAGAAAGAAAGAGATAGAGAGAGATAGCAAATCTTCACAATCACCTCTTCTTGTCTTTGTTTTTATAATTTCTTTGCATATTTCCCAACTTTTCCATGCAAAAAACCAACTTTTCGAGTGTGTCGAGTGCTGGCTGTGGATCGAGTGGTTTGGCCGGCACGTCCTAAATATTTTATAGAGTTGCGGGGGCACAGAGCATCTTCTCCCCTGCTCTCCCCCCCCCCACACGGATCAACTGACCAAGGCCACGATTTTGACCTCGATCCGGATGCCTGACTTGGGTGCCATCTGCTGAGCTGCCATTTTGCCGCCCGACAGATGATAAATCTAGCCAGCGCACTAAAGGCGGGCGAACCGGTCTTCTTACAAGTAGACCGCTGTTTTATTTAAATGAGCCTTACTCAATAAAACATTAAAAATCATACCTTTATTATGTTATAATATGCCGCATTTTAACGTACCGTGGGGTATTTGGTCGTGAAACTGGCTTGTAGGGGTCTATATTCTCATGAATCGGTGCTTTATTGCATATTTTTAGCTATTTTTGTGAATGCGTTAAGCATTCAAAAAGGATTTTCATTAGTTGCGACCCATTAATGATTTGCCGAGGCTCGCTGAAGAGTCGCCGTTTACGTCGCCAATTGAGAACGAAAAAACGATTAGTCAAAGTGGAAATTTTCAAGTTCGAGGCTATGCTATACAAAAACTTTCATTCGTATTATTGGTACGAAAGGTACTAAACCAGAAAAAATTATTGCAAGAAACAAAAACTCTGGGAACAGCGGGGGATAACGTGTGATTCGCAGACAACGTTTCAGATAAGAAGAACGCACAGGTAGGCAAATATAATATTACTAAACTAATAGCTGAAGACGCTTCAAATAAACTATTTCCCTTACTAAAGGTACTAAAGCAAAAAAAAAACGGCTAAGAATGTGCAATAAAGCACAAAACATGAAAATATGGACGCCTACAAGCCAGTTTCACGATAAAGTACCCAATGGTACGTTAAAATAGTGTATATGTTAATACTACAGGTATAATCTTTAATGTTTGATTAAGTAAGGCTCATTTAAATAAAAAAGCGGTCTACTTGCATGAATACCGATCCGCCCGCCTTTAGTGCGCTGGCTAGATTTATCATCTGTCGGGCGGCAAAATGGCAGCTCGGCAGATGGCACCCAGGGGAAGGACCCAGATCGAGGTCAAAATCGTGGCCTTGGTCGGTCCGTCCCCCCCACACATCGTGAATCTACCCAAAAAAACCCGCGAGAAAAACCTTCAATTTAAACTTTCCGGACCCCGTCAATAGTATTCCTGCGTAGTCCACTGGCGATTAGCCAAAATTCGCAAAAAGTCGCGCGGGCTTCTCGGATTTCCGAGGGTCCCGTTTGGTTTCGAATTGCACTTTTGGGTGAGACCACCCGGAAGTTTTACTGGCATTTTAAAGGGATATGGACGCTAAAAATTTGCGCCAACCGGTTACGCCATGCAAAAAATGGGGAATAACAATTTCAACCACGTTGCTCTTTTGGTAATTTTCATGGATTTTGACCAAAAAGCCTGAAGCTGGTTAATTTGAAGTGAGCTTTTAATATCTAATGCTGTCTGGGAAAAATTGGTCCCCCGCTAACAGTCCAGTACCGACTGGCCCTGTCACACTTCCCTTTAAAACGCTCACCGGTGCCGTGGAGGATGAGGGCTCATTCCTGGATCGAGTGGCCAATGATAGCGGCCGGGCATTGTCCACAGCGTCCACTAAAAACGGATGGAAAGATCGTTAGAGCAGTCGGTTAGAGCCTTGATCCCGCCCTGGAGACCCGGGTTCGAACCCGGTCCGTGTTTTTAATAGGTATTTTTTATTTTCTGCTTAAACGAAAGTTTTTAGTTTTTTTACATGCTGTTGCACGTCTCATATTTTGCGTTTACCCACCAATGCTGTGAAAAGTTCTCCTGAGATACTCCACCATTCGACATTGAGGGCAAATTTCCGGGGGTGCGCCGGGGGATTTGAAGGGTTTTGGTGGCCGACCTAGATCGACCTAGACCGTAGGTCGGGCTCAGCAGAGGTTGGAATAAAAGTCACAAATAAGTTTAATTGAAAAAGGTGGCTACAAAATTATGTCTAAGTCCCTTTAAATCAAAAAAAAATGTAAGATTCGATGCGGCAACTAGCCGAGACTATTTGGGAAGAATTAAAGAGAATGGATTAAGAAACTAAATAACCCAAAAAAATTACTTAAACGCTACTGTGATATAGAAAAAACGATAGGTTGATAATGCAAATTTGACAAGGACGCGAATATACGATTGAGTACGACTCAAGGTAATCGGATCAAAGCGGAAAATTGCCTAAAAAGTACGGTAAACGACATCTGACGCTTTGTTATTAAAAAAAGGTTGGAAGCGGTTGCTTATTTTATTTTATAAAAATTTGAAAAAGTGTACTTCCTACAATCCACAATTTGACAAGTACGTAAATTTACTCAAGATAGTCGGACGAAAGCGGAAAATTGCCGTAAATTACTGTAACCAACATTTGACGTATTTTATTAAATATTATTTTTTTATAAAAAACGTTAAAAACAGGTCGCTAAACTTTTAAACAATTCGGAATGTCTACGCTCTGCAATCCACGAATCGGGGCAAAAAGCCGAAAACGGCAAGTGGTGTGGCCCGGAATAACGGGCCAAAAAGGGGGGCGCAGGAGGGGGGACATCCCGGCCCGATTCGGGCTTGTGAGGGGGGACACAGCCATCCCTAAGTGCCCCCAGGGCACAACCGCTAGGGCCCCGGGCCCTGGGCCCTTTTTCGGGACGGCGCGGGACTGATGTGCTGACAGCTAGCTGCTTCTCCACCCGGTTGCATTTGGACACACGGCCATTTAGGCATTGAGAGAAGCCACCCAAAAAGGGGGCCATTTGGCCCCAATACGGGACAATTTCAATTCCGGAAACCGGAGCGGATTCTGGGACGGAATTTCGTGGCGCCGGCCAAAAAGCAAAAAGTTTCGACCACGGAAGGATTCGAACCTTCAATCTTCTGCTCCGTAGGCAGACGCGTTATCCATTGCGCCACGCGGCCATGGGGGAGGGGACGGGGGATTGGGATGATGAAGGTACCCCCCTAAAAGGGCCCGGGTGGGTACCACCCACGGGTAGGGACAACCCACGAAAATGATTGTTTTTGTACTTTGTAGCCGAAGGGCATGGAAAATACGTAAAAAGGTGTGCTACGGAATCGGAAGCGGGCATTTCAAAGGATTTCGATGTATAGCCGGTTGATTGAGGGGCATAAAATGGGGGGTTTGGCGGGAAAATAGGCAAGAAATCGCCTGGGGAAATGAGATCTCGTTACAAACCGCCCGTTTTATCGTAGCGTCGATTTCGTTTTATCGGGGCCATGTGGGCTTTAAATGAAAGTAATTTGGGAGGGTCGTCTGGCTGGGAATTGGGAGGGAAGTCTGCTGGAAAATTACCCGGATAAAACTATCTAGACCTCTAAAATTCACGCAGTTAAAGTTTTAACTCTTGAAAATCAAGTGGCGCGGTAATGATCAAAGAGGCGAGCATTTTGGGGAAGCTCTCAAAAAGCGGCAAGCTGGATGCGCTTTTTTGGGACTTGGTCTTTAAATGGTCTCGAGGGGAATCAAAAGAATGGGGGGCTCACCAAGGATTTGTGGACGGATAGCTAGCAACGCGCAGATATGATGCGAGCAAGGACCCAAATGGGGCGGAGTTTAGGCTTAGTTGGGCTTCGGCTTCGGCATAGGCTTGAGTTTATGCTTATTAGGCTGAGGCTTTGCTTAGGCGAGGGCTCAGGCTTAGGAGGCTTAGGCTTAGGATTAGGAAGATCTCAGGCTTAGGCTTTAGTGGCTTAGCTTAGGCTTAGCTTAGTAGGCTTAGGCCTCGCTTGTGCTTAAACTTGGACATAGGTTAGGCTTAAGCTTAGGAGGCTTAAGAGGCTTAGTGTTAGGCTTCGGCTTCGGCTTAGCTTAGGGTTAGCTTAGGAGGCTTAGGCCTAGGTTTAAGCTTAGTCTTTGCTTCGGCCCAGGCTTAGGCTGCGGTTTCGCTAAGGCTTAGGCTTAGGCTTAGCTTCTTTTCAATCCTTTTGAACACCTGCCAAAACCACAATATATCTTACCTTTTCGTGGACTCTTCGCGAGGCAAGGCATTGTCATGGGTCTTTTTGGGGGAAAGGTGCCGTCAGGGCATTCGGCTCATTTCCGATCCTATCTGCATTCAAAAAATTTGTATACGGAAATTGCGAGAGAAAGAAAGAGAGAGAGAGAGAGAGAGAGAGAGACAGAAAGAGAGAGAGAGAGAGCGAGAAAGAGAGAGGGAAGGCGAGAGAGAAACGTGAAGCCCCGAATCCCTCCCATTCAAGCCAAAATTTGCATACGGTAACCATAGAACGGTGCGGGGCGTTTTTTGATAAAGAATGATGCGGAGGCGGAGGTGAAAGGAATGGGGAAAAAGCTCAGAAAAAATGTTTACAAGCCACACGCTCCGCGATGAGCCTTTTGACGGGCCGTGGGGGAATTGGATTTGGCGGAGTGGTGCGGAAAAGAAGGGAGCACAGGGTTGACCCTTTCTAGGGGAGAAGCTCAACTTGATTTTGTCTCATGGTGACATGGAGTATCTGGGAAAAAATGCTGACTAAAACCTCCTAGCTTTATTCAACAATAGAAAATTCATTCAAACATTAAAAAAAAAAAATAACCCTCCTAATTTCGTCAAAAATCTTTGCTGGCCTGCTCCAGCAGCCTCGGGAATTTTGCCACTTGAATATCGTGAAAGCGATACTCATAAATTGGCTGCCGTGGATGATTAATTGGGGGTAGGGCGAGAGAGGGGGAGAGAGAGCAAGAGAGAGAGAGAGAGAGAGAGAGAGAGAGAGAGAGAGAGCAAAAAGGCCCGCCAAAGGGCCCAGATGGGCCCCACGAAATAAGTGATGGGTCAGTGGGCATCACACACTTTGCCCTCACCGGCCTTTACCCCACAGCAAAAAGGGCGATCGAATCGATTAGCGGGAAAGTTGCCAAAAATATCGCCGAAGTATTGGGCCTAAATTCTCTCTGCTAGCATGCCTTGTCATTTTGGCGTGTTTTTCAGCAAAAGATCTTTGCTAGCTTACCCTTGCCCTGCGGTCCCAGGTTCTGAGAAACGCTGCCAGCTTGCTCACATGGAGATGTTTTTGAGTGCCGTCCGGAACTTGGGATGGGACCAAGCCTATCTTGTGAAGAATTTTGCGCTGTTCCCGGATATGGGTACCGTTTTTGAGGAATAGCCAATTATCGAAAGTCATGAGCGATTTAAGTCGGAAAAAGCCACAAATCATCCACTTTTGACGGACATAAAAAGCCTCCGAATTTTTCTGAATAAGATGCACTAGCTGATTGTTTTTAAAAAACCTTCTCCGATGCCTTTTATGTCCACCAAAAGTAGCCAATTTGTGGAATTTTTTAGGTTCAAATCGTTTAAAACTTTCGAGAACTGGCTAAAATGGTCATCCGCAAAATGGTCATCATATTCGGAATCAGCGCAAAATTCTGCACAGGATAGACTTGGTCCCAGCCCAAAGTCCAGACTACGCTCAAGAACGTCTCCATGTCAGATTTCCTCAAATGTCTTTGCTAGCCTGCCACGCGCTGTTAATACGGCATTTCCGTTCCTCAAATGATCTCTGCTAGCTCCCCCGGAAAAAATAAAATCACCAAAATTCATAAAATCCGAAGAACAATGCGCCAAAAACTGGCTCGGCCACGAAAAAGGACAGGCAAAGCTGGGCGCCGGGTATGGAAGGTGCTAAAAACCTCGTAAAATCTGGAAAATGGCATGAAGATTGGGAATCTGCCAATTTTATGACAGGATCGCTCTGAAGAGAGAAGACGTCATTTTAATCAGCGTTTTCTTGAATTCCAAAAATCCACACTTTTCGAGGATGGAGGCCAGTCTTAAATTTTCTTCAGGCGTTCTCTGGGGCTCCCAGGCGGGTGGCCGGAATTTGTTGTCCGCCGGAACGGGCCCCCCTTTTGTGTTGGGCGCTGCGTGTTTTCCGGAGCGACCGGTTGAGTAAATTTCGGATTCAGGGGGATGGGGACAGGCTAGCAGCGATTTTTGAGGAAAATTTGAAGGCTTGGGCAGGCTAACAGAGATTTTTTTGAGGAATTCGAGGAATTGGATGGGCTGGCCAGCAGAGGTTATTTGAGAAGGCGGAGGCAGGCTAGCAGCGATTTTTGAGGAAATTCAGGGATGGGGCAGGTTAGCAGCGATTTTTGGGCAAATTCGAGGGATTGGGGCAGGCTAACGGAGATTCTTTGTGGAACTGGCCGGATTGGGGGGCAGGCTAGCAAATATCATTTGCGGAAGTGATCTACCCAAATTGGGGCAAGCTAGCAGAGGTCATTTGGGAAGAAACCGACCGCTTTACGGCCGAAATAATACCCAGAAACCCGAGCAAATCGGTGTCCCGTCTCGTCGCGGGGTTGGCCGAAAATCGGTGTGTGCGAGGATGATTGCGCTGCGCGTATTTTCTTCCGGTAATACTTTTGAAGAAAGAGAGAGAGAGAGAGAGAGAGAGAGAGAGAGAGAGAGAGACAGAGTAGAAGAAATGCTAAATTTCGCCGCAAATGTCAAGCCATTTGGCCCCTTGGGGATGGTTGGCTTTCAATTTTGACACTTGCCACCAGTCCAGTTTTTAACCCCCGAGCCCCTCAATTTATTCCATATGTTTCCGAGAGCATTTCCCCCAAAAATTGCGGGGCGCTTCACTGACAGGGGTCATGGGAGGGCTTAAAAATCGGGGGGCCGCACTGGAAAAAGCATAAACGGAAGTGTTTTGGGGTGAAATAGAAAGGGGGAGGCTAGCAGAGATTCTTTGGGGAAATCCGCATCCCTCGGAGTACGTAGTACAACAACTCACAACACTTTCCGTCGATAGCATCAAAGTGGAGCCGCCGCGGGCTTTT